TAGTACCGGCACGTAAGGTCGGTGTCGAGTATGCGTGGGAGTGGGACATGGAAGAGCAGAGAAGATGGAGTGTGTGACGAGAAATGATGAGACTGTGCTCCCCCAGAGTTCTAGACGTCTAAATGGGCGAGTGTGTAACTTTACTGACGTGGGGATGGTTCACGCTCAAGAGAGCCGAGTGAACCGGGCAGAATGGAGTTTAATGGGACACGGGAAATGACTCGACGTGCCAGTCTACGGCCCAGAGCTTACTGATACTCCGCCTGTGACAAGAAAGATCGTGAAGAAGAAAGTCTGGGGGAGGAGGGGGGAAACCCGCTGAGCAGACAACTGGTTGCCATCGTCAGTGAGACCGGGGCTTGAAGTCAACACCCGCCGAAAAGGAGAGGGGGGGCCGCAAAAGAATTGGGAAAAAAGCATCATATAGTAGACCCTCATATTACTGGCTGGGGCACCAGTGACCGAGACAACCGGCGGTCCCGACTGTTCTCGTATCGACGCCGCGAACAAGAAGGAAAAGGCCTCGTGGGAAGGAGGATGAACACATGGGGAGGAGGAGAAGGATCAGTAGTACTACTACTAGTAAAAGCAGTTGGCAGGGCAGAGGCGAAGTGAATAGTTTCCGAATAAGGGCAAGACGAGCGGATTAGCAGCGGGAAGGACACAGGGAATAAGGACATTAACAGCCAGTAAAAGCGGGAGCAGTGGTGTGAGAGTGCTGTCTTCACATAAAAAAAGCGACGGAGTACCGATACCCTACCGTAATGAAGCTTCGGGTGACCTGGGCAGACAAAACAGCGAGAAAAGGCGGATTTCATGCCAAGAGCCTTCGATGGGGTCAAAAACATACAAAAAAGGGCATCTTCGGTGTTTGAGACGGAACGCAGAAAAATGAAAAAAACGTGGCCGCCCTGCACAGGAACAAGCAAAATGAGATGAAGCAATTGGGACGGTGGATGCATCACGACTCAGACACCCATAAGTAAAGTGAGGGCACAATAAGCAGAGTGGGCAGAATGAAATCAAAAATGAGATGAAAGGGGTCTGATCCAGATATGAAGACCCGGGCCGCCACCATTTTTTTTTTTTTTGAAATTTCCCGCCCATCCGCCTTGGAATCCAATCTCACGCAAGAGGCGGTTTCTACCTTATTTTGGCGTGCTTGGGTATGAAATCTGCCTGCCTGCATACTCTCCGTTCACTCGTTTAATTCCATCTGCTTCAGCCATAAGGGAGGGGGGAGAGTAGCAGGAGGCACTCGGCGTCACGCTCGACTCACAAAACCTCGGGACACATCAGAATTGGTTTTTTACGAGCTGGAGGGGGGGGGGGGGGGGGGGTTGCTGCGGATGCAATTCTGCCAAAATTGGATAAGGGGGCACCCCTGGCCTAATCTTCTGCCACTTGGCGACAAGAGATCATCGCTGCGGGGGAGAACTCTGTCGTTTTTTTTTTCCTCTCCTTCTTTCAGCGCTTCCAGGCCCAGAGACCCCGGTGACGGTGGTTTGGGGGAAAGATTTACAGGTGGGGAGAGACAGCTGGAGTTTCTGGAGCCTCGAGCAATTACACATTGAATTGCTGCTAGTAGTGAAGGTTCGCAGCTGGATTCTAGCGAGGAATGCGGGCATCATGCCTGTGGAATAAACATTGGTCAGGCACCCAGGGTGCTACGATACTGCAGACACTCTCTTCTCAACTACTACCACTTGTGCGTTAGTGCATGTGGATAGGGACATAGTACATACAGAGAGCTATTGCTATGTATGGTGTCAGATCCACCCATCACATATTAGCAGCTTCTATGGCCTGTGCGTCCGTCTCTTGGCAGTGGGGAGTGACGACATTGGACAGGGTGCCAGGGGATCGGGGGACCAGGGGAGGACAAGGACCGGTCGCGCAGTGACGGTAACGATCAGATCAGATCATCATGGCTTCCGGGCTGGCGGTGCCAACGTTGGCTAACAAAGATGGATGATGAATGGTTCAAGGGGAAATATACATAGGTAGCAGTCAGTGGTCCCCTCGAGACTTGGTAAGGGGACCGGATGCGAGGCTGTAAGTAATGGTAATATACCATAGTAGCACTGCTCACAAACAAGTGAACGGCGTATGTCTATCCACTCGGGCAGTTCAGTCGGTCCGCCCGCACATTGCGTTTGATTTCGATGTTCATCGAGACCCTGCACACCTGACAAGTGCTAAACTGCATCCAGGCACACACACCTTCGGGATGGATGCGCCGGCCGCGCGGGCGGGTTCCCTGGAGCGTTCTCAACGGCCGTGATGTTGTGTTGGCGCTCAAGTACTGGCGCTGTTGGCCATTGAAGCCGTGTTTGGTCGGAGTTGTTATGTTATGTCTGTATGAAATATAGTGATGGATATAGTAGGCAAATTTAATTCCCCTGCCGTAGGGCCCCAGAGGAGGGTGATATGGATAAGGCAGATAAGGATAACACCTGCCCGAAGAAGCTCATTTGCGGAGATGTGAATAAGGAGGGCCTGCCTATATCCGTAGTGCAAACAAAACAAAAAACGGGCACAAGGACCAGTTGCTCCCTGTTATTCAGAAAGCCTCTGTTCATAAGTACTAACGCAGTAGCTCATCATGGTCATGGTCGTCTCTGGGCTTCCAGATGAGCCAATTCAGGGCTGGTGAGGTGAGCAGCAAGAACAAAAATAAAACCCCAAACCCCAAACCCCAAACCCCAAACCCAGAACCACATTGACTTATACCTATCTCCCATCAAGTCGGTCAGTCAGCCAGTCAGCCACCCCAGCCGATGGTGCGATGTTGCTTCTTTGCACACCTATTGTTTGACATCTACAACGTATTCTTGGCCATCGGTCTCCATCCATTGTGACCATATGACTATGAGTGACTGTGACCGCCCACCGCCTGCTGCACAGCACAAACCACACAAGACAACATTCATGAGCAAATGGCATGGCATTGCTGTCACCATGTCCCACTTTGACAGTCGCCCCGCGGTTTGGGATTAGAGACCCATATTGCCCGAACCCGAAGCCACCCCCCAGCCGTTGTTCTGGTTGGTGGTCGGGTCGTGTTCCTCACTTTCTACTCCCTGGTCCTGGTCCTGACCAAAAGTCCGCAATAACCACCACCACCACCACCATGACCCCTGGTCACGTCAAACCCACTCTTTTTTTCTGCATGTTCCAACCACCCACTCGTTCCATCTTCCAGTGACTGCAACATTGGTACGGGGTACTTTGCCTACCGCTATACACGGACAACAGTACATTTCCATTGCTGCTGATTCCCAGTTGCTAGCGCCTCATCATCCACCCGCTCGCACACCCCCAGCACCCTCTCATCCTCTACAGCTATTACATCGTCGCTATCCGTACCTATCCAAGGTAGCTAACTAATGACCAAGCCGTCATTTCCCATCCATGGTATCCATAGTCACCTCTCTCTCTCTCTCTCTCTCACCATCAAGCCTACCCTTTTTTACCTGTAACCTCCCTCTGGTCGCTCCACCAGCTGCTTTCCATACTCTCACACACACACACTCTCTCTCTCTTTCTATTTCTCTCTCTTCCCTCTTCCCTCTTCTTCCCTGCTTCCTTAACACCTTTTGGCCTTAGCTCCATTCGTTGCCTCACTTTTTGTTTTATTTTTATTTCCATTTTTTATTCTCTCCCATTCTTTCCCTCATTATTGTACGAGGTCTCCGCCTTTTGCGCTTTTGCCTTTCCTGGTAAACCAAGCACCCCCCGGCCATCTCCCGGAAAGAAAAAAAAAAGAAAAGAAAAAACAACCACCAAGCTCCAGCACCACCCACAAAGTCGCTTCGCTGCAGCCAACACCTCGTCTCTCGCTCCCCTGCCCTTGCTTGCTTGGGGTCTTACTGTTGCTTCCGCTGCTTCTCTGCCGGTGTCGCCTTTCTGCTGCAGCTGCAGATACCTTGCGGATACCGGTCTCCAATCGTCCTGCTCTGCACCAACCACTTCTCTCGCTTGCCTTCCTTGCCTGCCTCTTTCGCTTCTTCTCCTCTTGGCTCCTGGTTCTTTTCTACCCAGGACTGCCTGACCATCACCACCTCCTAACCTTCAACCTCATCTTTACTCTCTCTCTCTCTCCTCCTACCCAGCCGACCGGCAAAAGGAAGAGTCCTGGGATTCCGACAACGGCGTCATTCTGGCTTTAGCCCTGTCGACCTTACACACTCCAGGTTGTTCCTTGCACAACCACCCAACCACGCCAGCGACCTCCTTCACTGAGAGGAAGCTCCCGTCATATACCACTTATTCCGCCTGTTTTGTGCACCTGGCGGTCTTGTCTCACAAGTCTCCAATTCTTACTCACTTTCCACGCACTAGTAGTCTTTAGGGGCAATCCTCCAAGTCACTTTGTGGATGCTTGGCTGTTCTCACTAGTATTGTTTGGCGGATTCACTTTGATTTCACACCCGAACCTTTTTCTGCCCTCCGTCCACACTTGGCGCCAACAAATCTTGGACCGACGCCACAAGCCGTCGCCTTCTTCCCTTCCCTACCTTCTTCTCCCGTCCAACCGGCTACATCCTCGTTCGAGTAGGGACCTTCTCAAAAAGACCCTTTCATTCTCGCCGCCCGTAAACACGTCGAAACATTCGAGATCCCAACGGCAATTCAACACAACATCTCCCGACTACGACCTTGGACGTCTTTGTTGCCGTCCTCGCTGAAGCGTCGACTCCCGAGTGCCGTTTCCCGACTATCTTGCGTGGCCGAGTAGGACAGACTCCGGATCACACCTTTGGGAAGTGGGAATTTAACCTTTTTCCTCCTGCTGCTCTCCGCCCGATCTGGACGTCAGATGTCAGCTTTGTGAGGCCTTGAACCCCCGGGATTTGTGAGTGGCAGACCTATCCCCAATCATGGTTTCCCTCGAGTCTTGCTGCTCGAACCTTAATCAACCCGTGCCTCCTCTTCATTCGAATGCCAACGCTGACATGGTCCCCATCTTCAGGCTTGCCCATCGAGACGCTGCGAACATGGCCTTCTCTCACCGAATTACGAGACATTGGGGCATCTTTGCCCTCGTCCTCTTATCATGGGTTGCTCTGGCCCATGCCACGCCTAATCTAAGTGTGCTCATGCCTCGACAAGTTCAGCAGACGCTCTGCTCAAATCAGAACACTGCATCCACCAACGCAAGTACGTTTACATTCAACGGAGGACTTGATGTTTCCAATTGCTTGGCAGCAGAGAGGGATTCGTTTTCTTTGCCAGTAACCAAATGGACCAGCCCTGACTAACCCTTGTACCTGTTAGATTTAAGTATATGGCAAACAGGCGGACTCTGTTCAGACTTTTGCCGAGAAAAGAATGCCGCATTCGCCGTCGTCCAGTGGCAGTCTTGCTGGTGCTCCGACGTGGCTCCGGCCTCGTCAAGTCAGGCCGAAATAAGCGACAAGTGCAATGACATCTGTCCCGGTTACGATATCGAACGCTGCGGCTCGCGGCCGAATTGGTACGGCTATATCCAACTCGCAAAGACCCCTACCAGCACTGCTGGTGGTGGAAGCGACACCACAACCAAGGCCCCGTCAACAACATCAACAGTGAGTATCTTCCTCCCCTTGCGGCTTCCGTGAAAAGCATGCGTGATTTCATGTGATTTCTTGCACGATTGCACCACCCCAGATTCCTGTCACCGCCTTCACCAACCTGTGTGATGCCCTTGTTTAATCAATCGTCTGGACTTCAGGCCCCTCCGGCCCCTCCCGCTCCTCCAGCTCCTCCCGCTTCAACTACTGTTAAAATTACGATAACTGAGACTGAGGCCCCTCAGGAAACGTCGACATCCAGCTCGAAAACGACGACTTCGTCAACAATCTCTGTATGCCTTGCCTCAACAGCCCTATCACCACGCCGTGCCCGATTCTTAGTGTTCTCAGATGATACAGACATTGTTTACGGGCGTATGCTAACCGAATTTTAGACCACGAGCAAGCCTGGAACCACTATTAAAACGGTCACCGCCGATGGTACTGTCAAGACAGTTACTGTTACGCCGACAGCCACCGGAGCCGATGGAGCAACCGGTGCTTCAGAGTTGACACCCTCGAGTCGACCGTCAGGGAACGGTATGAGCACAGGTGCCGTTGTGGGAGTCGTGGTTGGTGTTATCGCCGCAGTGGTTGCATTTGCGGGCCTGGGTCTATTCCTGTTTTTCAGACGACGCAAGCAGAACCAGCAAAAGGATATGGTGGACACGCCCAGTCACCGCGGAAGCTCATCCGGCCACGCCAGCTCGCCGCGCAACCTCGAGATGGTAGTTACAGTCGACGGCGGACGATGGGATGCCGACGCAACCAGCGATCATCGACGCAGCCGCCTCATGGCACACGACCCTCGCATGGAGCCTCTCGGAAGAGGCTTGTACATGAACAACAAGAGCGCCGAGAGCATCAACACATTGCGCGACGACCAAGATTATTCTCGCAAGGTTCACAAGCCAGTTCTGCGGGCGACCAACCCCGATCCGGATCCCCAATAATGGGTAACGGAGCCTAGGGGCGGACCAAGATGACAACACAATCATCGTTCACGACGTACACGAATTCGGTCCCGGTACAAACATTTTTGGTCTTTGCATTGAGCTTTTGAGATACCAGGGCGGCGTTTCGTTTTGATTTCGCGGGACACAACAGGGAAAGGCATTGGATGAGAGAGGATCCTTCACAGCAACAAGGGGCCCGGGAGGGCCCCCAAAGCTCTACGACATCTGCAGCAAAGAGACAGCATGGACATCAGACCACTGAGTCACGGACACGAACACACACATCACATTGGCAACACGATGAGCGCCGATGGACGGCTGCCCATAATTTCGATTTCATCATTCCCCGTTTGAAGTTGTGATATTCGGCGACGTAGGGCGAGATCGCAAGACAAAAGCGGAGGGATGGGGGGAATAGTAGTATAAAGCAGCGTTCAATGGTCATAGACGGAAGCGGCACTTCATATCGATTATGAAATTTGATCAATGAAACCCCGTAGGTATAATGACGGACGGCAATTGTACATACATGAGCGAAACGTGGACAAGACGATAAGTCTGTCACGAGCGGTTTGGATGGATTGAGATTGGTTACAACCGGTAACAATTGACACACCATTGCGCGTCTACATGGCACAGTTTGCGGGTGACGATGCTGAGACGACACGTAAGAACAGGTCACGAATAACGGAGGAGGTAGCACGATGTTTGTCGAGCTGAGCTGCGGTGAGCATAATCTGTGTAGCGGCGCGCGGTCTCAGACGGCATGAAAGCAGCAAAAGGCTGCATGCCGGTTGGAGCGCGTATAAACCTGAAAACAGGTTTTTTTTTCGTTGTTTTTATTTTTGTTCTTTTAGTTGCGAAAATACGTAATAACAAGCATACTGATGCGCGCATTCTATTGTTTCATGATTCTTGTTTGGCCTCCCTATGTCGCGAGCGACGGGATTGAAGATCGAGATTATGCCCAAAGCCGCCGCCGTCGTCTCGGAAGGATTGATTTCGGTACTACTGCTTCGGGCCGGGGCCGTTGGGGGGGGGGGGGGGGGGGTTCCAAGGGAGGTACCTGTCTTTCTTAAATTTGGATACTTGGATTTGACGTCGGATCATGGGATGATGATATTTGGGCCTCTTGTGAGTGACGTGCATCATTCTATTGTATGTTTTATCTAATTTTTTTTCTCATTCATGTTCATTTCGTTTGGGTTTACATGTTTACGGCGTCAATGGTCCCCACAGCGCGCGTATTTAATACGAGGGGCGAACGTTGGAAGACGGTACCCTCTTTTTTTTTTTTTTTTTGGGTCTACCTGGGTTATGACCGTCAGGGGTGATTTGTTCTCTATGTGTGTATGAAATGATCTGATAGGGGGGAGTGAATTTGGTGTGTGTAGTCCGTCTAACCACCCCTCCCCTCCGACGCGCCGGCGGCTCACGCTACGGCGGGATGGATGGTCGGGACCGGCGCGGATAGGCCGCGGTGTGTGGTTCTTGTGTTATTTTTTTGGGGGGGGGGAGAGGATCGACGTGTGTGGGTTCTAAATACACACATGTTAGCCCTGGCGGAGGGATCCAATGGGCTTTTTTGCGTGAGGATTTGTTTTTGTTGATGTCATTTGTAATTTCGCAGAGATTTCGTAGGTCAGGGGTTTGGAAAGCTTAGCACTTGTGGAGGTGGTGATGTGCGAGTACAGAGTACGGAGAGTGCGGTTTCTGGGAGATGGGGTTTGTGGTTTTGCGTATGTCCTGGGTGTGTTGTGATGTATCGTCCTTCGGATGGTGTAATAGATGATTACTGGATGTTTACGATGCTGTATTGTCTAGTTGGACTGTGTTGTTTACACCTTGAGACATATCCTGTCCAAATTTACCTACCTCGGCTCTCTGGAAGCTGTTGATGGCACTACCAGTTCATTTTAGCTGCGTGGAAATTGCTTACACGGCTGCATTATTTTTTAGCCAGGTGAGTTGGACACATTTAGGGGAAGCTGGCAGTCAATCGGTGGACTGGACGACGTGAAAGCCCGAAGCTAGCTGAAACCAATTCGCGAATGACGCGATGAAGAAGAAAAATCCACGAGGCTAAGCATTAGTCCGCTGCCGGTAGTCGAAGTAACGGAGTCGGGTCTTTTTTGGTGAGGTCAAATGCGCTCTGTAAGGGGAATAAAAATAAAGGGGAGTGCTACGTGGTATGGCGTCGATAGTGGCTTATTCGTACCCCATATGATCTAGTGAGATGGTGCCCCCTATACAGAGCATGATTGATAACAATGGTAGACTCATGTGTTTCTTTTGCAGTCTCCCTTTTCGGATCGGATGTCGCTGCCGTTTGGCGTTGGTCGATCATGTGATGGTTGAGATAAGCGTAGATTGGCGCGGGATGGGAGGAGGCAGGAAAAAGGAAGGGTGCATGTTTCGAAACGGGAGACGGTTCGAGATTGATGGCGGAGAGACTTTGTAGCTAGTGAAAGGTGAGAGTGATACGGCAAGGCGAGACGTGCATATCTGGAACAATGAATAAGGCAAGGGAGAGACGTTTCGTTTGATTGCAATCTCGACGACGGCGTTATGAAAGATGAATGCTGGCGGTGAACGTTCGTGGTGATTGATTCGGCATGAGTCGGATCCTTCGTATTACACACGGAAGGATATACGGGGCAGTGTAGGTGGGCGGAGTTGACGGTGATCCTCCGCCCTGTGGCTGGGGGCGGGCGGAACTGGTAGTGCACTATGGTCGTGGGAATAGCTTCAGGTTCCCGGCTGTCAAGGTCAGCTGTCAGTTCAGCTTCCGCCCCAATGTGCGGCGCGGAAAGTGGGAGGTATGCCCGGAAATAGCTGGGTTTGGGCGGCGTGCATTAGGTTGGGCTTTTTATTTTTCTATTTTTTTTGTAATAAGGTGGTGGTGGTCCCAGAGGGGCATTTTAGCTCCGTATTATGGCAAAAGTACGGATCCTCCGACTATTGATGCATGGCAACGCATAGCAACTTTGGGGCCGTGCCCCTGTGACGTATTCGCCTGTCAGTTCAGCTGTCTCGTTCGTCTCATCGAGGTTTCTGCGTTTGATCATCCTGCGTTCGGCCTAGAAACAACTCCTTGGTCGGGGCCGATTTGCGATTTACGGGCAAGGAGCCGGGTGGTCTCCCTGCATAAGGCAAGGCGACAGATTTGTTCGGGGATTTATTCTGCTCCCGTTTGGGTCTGTTTGCTCTTCGTCTGTTACAACCGGGAAAGGCGAAAGAGAGAAACTGAGGGAGGGAGCCGCCGTGAGGGTCCCACCCCTGCTGATGAACCCCCGTAAGCTATCTCCGTGCGGACTACGGAGTATATCCGTCCAGCCTTATTTGGAAATCAAATAATCAAGGTGGCCCCGTTCGTATACGCGTTCTCCGAGACGGACGCGGCGTTAGTTTGAGGTGACAGAGCACGACGTCCCCTTTCTAACTGAGAAAGCGCTCGCTCACTAACGAGGCGAACACATTGGACGACAAAAGTCAACCTCAGCTCAATGTTCTGGAGGAAGAGCTTCCATGTGAAGGGAAACCCCCTGAAAGCCCAAAGACCGACGACTATGTGCTGGCCTAGAAGTGGTAGGGGTCTCGTTGCTGACTGGCCAGCGTCTTCGTCAGCGGCCCTGTAATCTTAGCGCGCCGACTTAGCGACCCTTGGCACAGCCACCCGACTCGACAAACGGGGGGCCAGCAGCAGCGGCAGGAGCAGGACTTGTGACCTTCTAACGACCCCGGATCTTACGGTTACACCTGTCGCATTCCATTCCCTCTCTTAACTTTTTTTTCCCTCCCACCATCTTTCTCCCTCTCCCTCATCTCTCAATCTTATCTGGGCTGACAATTATTTCGGCCTTGGTTCTTGGGTTGCGTCTTCTATTCTTTGTTTTTTTTTTCTTTTTTTTGGTTCCCTTCCACAAATCCATTTTACTATTTGCTACGGGAGACGTTAGACCGCAATCACCTCCTCCTTCCAACCCAATTATATCCTTTTTTTTAAGTTGCGGAAACCCAGACGAAAGCGAGATTCGAACGAACGCTTGTAATTGCGCCAGCGACGGTCCTTAATTTTTTGTGGAATTTTGCGAGAGGAGGATCGGCCTGGACATTGCTGAGACCCGCGGCTGCTCACACGACCCAAATCATTACGACCTTGGAACTGCGACTCGAACAGCTGGCACAGTCGAGAGAAAGGGAGCTTTGAGCCGGATAACAAAAGACGAGGAATAGCTTCATTGGGAAAATTCGTCCCAATCCCCGCCTCCACCTCTCCCGAGAGACTTCCTTCTGCGAATTGCAGACACTAAAGCCACGAGTGATAAGCTCTGCCAAGACCAGCACACGCTCAGTTCCTGCAGCCGACGGGGGGGTCTTGGCGATCGTAAATCCCACCCACACCCACCACACCCACAGCACCACACTTTACTCTTAACCTCGTCAACGACACTGCCAACGGCCCTCGGCGGCGTCGCTTTCTTCTGCCTCACTTTTTTTCCCCTCTGATACCGACCGTTCCTCTCGAGGACGAGGACGTCGGACCGTCAAGATGAATCTCACGTGTAATTCCACCCTCGAGGATATGAGGAGTACGTCATTCCCCCCCAGATAACTCAGCCCAGACTCTCCTGTCCTTGTCTTCCAAGCTAACATGTCTCTCCTGCGCCCTAGTCCTCCCCGGCTCCGAAATCCTCATCGCCGGCCCGTTGACCTTCCATGACCTGGCTCTCATTATCGCCGGTTCCTGTACCATCATCGCCATCTGCCTGTCCCTCTACCTCGTTTTCATGCACGCAAACAATTACACGAAACCCCGCGAGCAGCGCCAGATCATCCGTATCCTCTTCATGGTCCCCGTCTATGCCGCTTCCTCCTTCCTCCAGCTCTATTACTACTGGCATGCCGTCTACTTCCAGGTCATGAGCGATTGCTACGAGGCCTTTGCCATCGCCTCCTTCTTCGCCCTCATGTGCCACTACCTCGCACCGGACCTGCATACTCAGAAAGACTACTTCCGTAATCTGCATCCCATCAAGCCCTGGGTCTGGCCCGTGAACTGGTTCGCAAAGTGCTGCGGCGGCGAGAGGGGGCCCTGGCGCACTCCCAAAAGCGGTCTGACCTGGTTCAACATCAATTGGATCGGCATCTACCACTATGTCTTTGTGCGCGTTGCAATGACCCTTACTGCGGTTGTGACGCAATATTTCCACCGCTATTGCGAAAGCTCCAACAACCCCGTCTTCGCCCACGTCTGGGTACGTCCTGCATCCAGGGATGGTTTGTTTACATAGCTAACTGATCGACAGGTAATCTCCATCAATTGTTTGGCCGTGACGATTGCCATGTACTGTGTCATTCAGTTTTACGTCCAGCTGCGTGAGCCCCTGGCGCCGCACTCGCCATTCCTCAAGGTTCTCGCTATTAAGCTGGTTGTCTTCTTCTCCTTCTGGCAGGTGACTTGCATCTCCCTCGCCACATCTACCCTCGACCTCGTCCACCCGAACAAAGTCCTCGCCTACCCCGACATCAAGGTCGGCATCCCCGCCCTGCTATTGTGCGTTGAGATGGCACTCTTTGCGCTTTTGCATCTTTGGGCGTTCCCTTGGAGGCCGTACGCCCCTGGCGCGAAGCCAACCTACTACCCTAACCCCGATGCGCGCGACATTAACGCTCCTTTGCGGGAAAATGAGCACTCGGCTCCGTCCGGCGGCTGGCTCGGCCTGCGCGCCGTCGGTGACGCTCTCAACCTATGGGACTTTGTGAAGGCCTTTGGTCGCGGAATGCGCTGGCTCTTCTGTGGTGTCAAGCGCCGCAAGGAGGATCGAAGCTACAAGACCGCCGCCAGTTTGGATATGGACGACCTCGATAAGGGCGATACGGCCTACCGCGCGGATGGCGCCAAGAGCACCGACCATCTTCCTATCGCCCATGAGTTCCGCCGCAGCACTTACCTCCAGCCTTCAAGGCCTCCCCCGCGACCATCCCGCACCGATAATGAGAGCGACAGCCTCATCGCCAACGCTCAGCCCCACGCCTCCGAAATGTCGCCTCCCCGCCGCCCAGCGCGACCCCTATCTCCCTTGTCGCCAATTTCGCCCTACGAAGACAAGGACTTCGAGGCAACTGGCATGGCGCCTGCGTATCGTCCAAGGAGGGACCCGGACGCTGAGTGGGAGAGGACGGCTCTGGCGCCAAGTCCTGGAATTCAGGGGCCTCGAGACCTGACGCAGCAGAGAGTCGGCGACGCCCTTTGGGGATCACGTAGCCCTGGGCCCGAAAGCCCTGTGCATCCGATTAGTGGCGAAGTGCATCCGGCGTTTAGGAACGAAAATGGGGGATATAACGGCAACGCGGGACCCGGCCAGGCGTTTTGAGCTGGGGCAGGGTTGCGTGAGGATATGAGCCCTGTATACGGTGCCATTTTCACGCCAAATAAGGGTTTTGTATTATGGGCGGATGCTTTGGGCTTTTGCGTGCATGGGATGGCGTTGTTTCACGAGATACCACATCATTTAGCTGATTGTGACGATACTACAATTCATGAGTCAATTTCATTAATCGTTGGTGTGAGGTCCGATGGTGATTGTACATGTTTCTCTGTGACTTACCGAGATGCACTTGCTCTGCCTTACGAGAAAAAAAAAAAAAAGGAAGAAGCTTGTTTTGCATCATGCGAGCTAGCTCAGTAGTTCTAAAAGCTATACACAAGCTTTTAATAGTATCAAGGGGTGGTATATCGTCGTATTTTTATGTCCTTGCTGGAGTCATCACGCCGTGCCAGTCATGGTTCGCATGTCTAGTGGCCGGTGCCCCACTGCACACACCACTTTGCGATTTTATCCTCGATCAAATCAGGCGACTTTTGGAATTGACGACAGTGTCACTCGGGCTAACAACCACAATATCCTCGCTACACCCTAAGGAAAATAGGCAGAAAGGGGAAGAAGGGGCAAGGAATAAGTCCCTACCATCAAAATTAGAAGAAAGGAGGAGGGATTGGGACCAAAATTAAGAAAAAAAAAAAAAAAAAAAAAACCCATCCAACGGAAATGAGAGAACTCCCCATCCGCCCCTCGGGCATCTTCTGGCAAGACGACTTCATCACGGCAGAGCACGAGGCCGAGCTCATCGACATCTTCCGCAACGAGCTGGAGTGGCCCGAGCGCAACGGCCGGCTGTCGCTGCACTACGGGTACACCTTCGACTACAAGACCTTCGGCGTCGACCCGGACGTCCCCTTCATCCCCTTCCCGGACTGGCTGCGCCCGCTCATCCCGACCGCCGAGGGCCGCGACCCGGACCAGGTGTGCCTGCAGCATTACCCGCCGGGCGCGGGCATACCGCCGCACGTGGACACGCACTCGGCGTATGATCAGCTGTATGCGCTCAGCCTCGGGTCGAGCGTCATGATGCAGTTTACGCTGACGCACCCGCCTGCTGCTGGTGCTGCTGGTGCTGCTGGGGATGCGGAAGGGGAGAAGGAGATGGTGGAGGTTGACCTCGTGCCGAGGAGTATGCTTCAGATGTCGGGAGATTCGAGGTTGCATTGGACGCACGGGATCAGGAAGAGGAAGACGGATACGTTGCCTGATGGTACTGTCAGGCGGCGCGAGGATAGGTGGAGTATCACGTACCGGTGGGTTAGGGAGCCTGCGGTTTGCGAGTGTGGGAATCTGAAGTTGTGTGATACTGCGCAGCGGAGGGCGGGTGTAGAGAAGGAGTACCGGTGGAAGAAGGGGGATGAGAAGGGGGATGGGACAAGTGAGGCTGCAAGGGAATCATGATGAGAGAGAGTGTGTGTGTGTTTGGCTATGGAGGTGGTATAGATGTGTGGTTGGTAGCGACGCGGGTACAGTTTAGGCTGCTAGAGTTGTACACACGGTTGACTGATGTCGAAAGAGCATATAAGAGACTCACGGGCTACAATACCTTCTTGGGAGGTGTGACGAGATGGACGACTTTTGGACATTGAGGTTCCTGTTGAAAAAGCGCAAGTATCGATACTAGAGGAACTACGTGTGGTGGGTTTTTGAGTTTTCCAGATACAGCAGCGGCATCATCGCCCACGAACTGGCCGGTAAACTATTCTAGTTTTCTTGCCAAATGAGAAGCTTCTAGAGCGAGTTTCAACTTGCTTATTCCGAAAGCTCCTGGCTTGACCTACCAAAGGTTTATCCACTTAGGAGTCGCTGAGGTCTGGGTAAGGTAGTGAGTTGAGTGTTACAGTGCCCGCGAAAGAAGCTCTGCGGCGATCCGCCCTGAGCTTTGTGAGCACGTACCGTCTGGCAGCTGGACAATTATGGTACATAATCTGTGGCTATTGGGAAGTAACATTCATTAGATATATCACAACTTATCTGCCAAATGTCGGGTGACTTCAACTATACCTCCATCCGCAATGCTGCAAGCAACTGGGGCCGAATCTGTCCTGGTTCTCCTAGCATATAGACTATAACTACAGCGCTCTTTATGCAGCATATGAGCTTCTCAGCAGTCACTACAATCTTGAAGTCTCATCACTGCAAGTATGTACTGCGTTGTCAACCGTAGCCAATTGAGGTGGATGGCCGGGTATCACAACTGCCTTGGGCAAATACCCCTCGCAGCTGGGCTGCTAGGTCAAGCTTTAGTTTTTCCACTCCGCCAAGTAAGAAATAGCCTCTTTTGATCGCCAAAATTTCCTTATTTTGCGTCTGAAGGTACGCTATCTAGGGGTGAGGGCAGCCATTCTTCACTTCACGCGTGAAGGAGGAGTTCTTTGTGCGCTGGCGCTTGTTAATTTTACGTAACTCAATATATGCTATTCTACAGTCATGTTTATTAACCATGAAAACATTGCAAAACACATCTCCTATTCTAAAAATCAAAGGCAATGGTGTGCGAGTATGCTGGCTGTTGAAATCTTTGTCGTAATTGAGTAGAATTTCTGCACACAGACATAAGTTTCCTTCCTTCAGAGACTGCCGGCCTGACGGGTCATATTAACTCAAAACCCTCTACTTCATAGTGTGAAAGTTCCATCCGGCCACACATCCTTATGTGTACCTCAACCATTCTTCTATACAGACACACTAGACATAAGAGGAGCTGGTCCGGCATTAAGTGTTGATTGACCCCAGACGACATACGAGAGAACGTGGGGTATGGGGTTCTCAGTCAGTGGATCATGGGGGTGGATATATGGCAATGGGCGTATTATCCAAAAGACAGGGACTGGATGAGTAACCTAAGCTAGATGACTGGACAACCTCTGGGGCGTGCATTTACGTCGCTGCCAGGTCAGAAGGATCGCAAGACAGATGATTGGCCACACCTCTCAATTCCCAATGGCCAACTCCCATATTAAGTGCCTCTATAGACCCACACCTAATCACGTGCTGCCGCCCCCTTGGTGAGTCGCTGCCGGCATCGGGACTCGTTTCCTACTCGAAATGCGTAAAAAAAAGTTTTTGATCTTCGGTTTTGACTTCTTTCGTCTTTAAACCAGTCATTTTTACCGCGTGGTTCATTCTGCGCAACCGCATGCCATGATGCGCCGGTCAGTAAGTAAACTCCCCTTCGCCAATTGACATGCCCCCTCTGACTCTTCAAGTTTGGGCCTCTGTGGACTCGATCGCTCTGTCTTGCGAGCAGGCGTTTGCCGCTCACGACAATCAGCCATGCCAAGCTTCCCGCCGTCTCGCCACGCCTCTGCGCTCGCCCGCTGAGCACGACAAACTTCGTTCGCTCCCAACCCATCAGTGCACAGGATGAAGCCCTCTCCTCTTTGAACAAGCCGTCCCAGACTTTGACCGAGAAGATTGTCCAGCGCTATGCTGTTGGTCTTCCCGAGGGAAAGCTCGTCCGCAGCGGTGACTACATCAGCCTCAACCCCCAGCAATGTATGACTCACGACAACTCTATGCCCGTCGCCCTCAAGTTCATGTCCATGGGAGCCACCAAGGTCCACCGCCCCGAGCAGATCGTCATGACCCTCGACCACGACGTCCAGAACACCACCGAAGCCAACCTCAACAAGTACAGGAAGATCGAGGAGTTCGCCAAGAAGCATGGTATCGACTTTTATCCCGCCGGACGAGGCATTGGCCACCAGATCATGGTTGAGGAGGGATACGCTTGGCCTGGTACCATGGCTGTCGCCTCTGACAGTCACAGCACGCATTACGGCGGTGTCGGTTGTCTTGGAACCCCCATCGTGAGAACCGATGCTGCCAGTATCTGGGCGACGGGCCGCACCTGGTGGCAGATCCCCCCTGTTGCCAAGGTGACCCTCACCGGTACCCTCCCGACTGGTGTCACCGGCAAGGACGTGATTGTCGCTCTGTGCGGTCTGTTCAACAGCGACGTCCTCAACCATGCCGTCGAGTTCGTCGGTTCCGAGGAGACTATGGCCAGCCTGAAGGTCGACAGCCGTATGACCATCGCCAACATGGCCTGTGAATGGGGAGCTCTTACCGGTCTGTTCCCCATCGACCGCACCCTGGAGGGCTGGCTGCGCTACAAGGCGACCGAGGCCTCCATGCTCGACCGCCCGACCAAGGAACGCATCACCCACGAAAGAATCGACGAGCTGTTCGCCAACCCTCTGAAGGCGGACCCCGACGCCGTCTACGCCAAGCAGCTCTACCTCAACCTGTCCACCCTCTCGCCCTACGTCTCTGGCCCTAACTCGGTCAAGGTCGCCACGCCCCTCAACGAGCTCGCCCCCCAGAAGATCAAGGTCAACCGCGCGTACATTGTCTCTTGCACCAACTCGCGTGCTTCTGACATTGCGGCTGCCGCCAAGGTCTTCAAGGACGCCGCCAAGGCTAACAACGATGTCACCCCCAAGATTGCCGACGGCGTCCAGATGTACATCGCCGCCGCTTCTTCGTACGAGCAGGAGGCCGCCGAGGCCAACGGCGACTGGCAAATCCTCCTCGAGGCTGGCGCCCAGCCTCTTCCCGCTGGCTGCGGTCCCTGTATCGGACTGGGCAAGGGTCTGCTCGAGCCCGGCGAGGTCGGTATCAGCGCTAGCAACCGTAACTTCAAGGGACGCATGGGTTCGCGTGACGCCCTCGCATACCTGGCAAGCCCCGAGGTCGTAGCCGCCAGTGCCCTCAGTGGTCTCATCTCCGGCCCCGGCGCCTACCAGGTGCCTACCGACTACAAAGGCGTCGAGCGTGGATTCGGCACCGGCCAGGCGCCCACCGTCGAGGACGAGCTCGCCGGTATGCTCCAGCAGATGGACTCTCTCATTGACCGCGTCGAGTCCGCCGCGGATACCTCCAAGTCCGCCACCGAGATCCTGCCCGGCTTCCCCGAGAAGATCACCGGCGAGATCGTCTTCTGCGACGCCGACAACCTCGACACCGACAGCATCTACCCCGGCAAGCTGACCTACCAGGACAACGTCACTAAGGACGTCATGGCGCGCGCCGCCATGTCCAACTACGACCCCGAGTTCGACGGCCTCGCCAAGGCCAACGACATCCTTGTCGCCGGCTTCAACTTTGGCTGCGGTTCCTCGAGAGAACAGGCCGCGACCGCCCTGCTGGCCAAGGAGATCCCCCTCGTCGTCGCCGGCAGCTTCGGAAACATCTTTGCCAGAAACAGCATCAACAACGCCCTCATGGGTCTCGAGGTGCCCCGCCTCATCGAGCGTCTGCGCGCCACCTACGCTTCCGCCGAGCGCAAGCCTACGCGCCGCACCGGCTGGACTCTGACCTGGGACGTCAAGCGCAGCATGGTCGAGGTCAAGGAGGGCGAGAACGGAGAGAGTTGGACCGAGAAGGTCGGCGAGCTCCCCGCCAACGTGCAGGCCATTATCGCCGCGGGAGGTCTGGAGGCTTGGGTCAAGGGAGAGATTGCAAAGGCATGAAGAGGATATAAACCATTTTTCTTTGAATCGGTGAACTTCGATTACCACCCCCCCCCCCCCCCCCCCCCCGATGACCCGGCGCAGGACATGCCGTAAGAGGATGGCCGCCGCCACAATATCAGGAGGGAGAAAAGAAAAATGCCCTTGAGTGGCAGAGAGAGAACATCGGGCAATCGCAACCAACCCACGACAGTCTTTGCATTGACGAGCTGGGTCCCGGAAGATCTGAAACTGGTCTTCCTCCGCTCCGGGCCTTACTTTTCCATGGCAACAACCTCTTTTTCCACCCTCCCTCTCTTTCCTCCAATTGCCTCCTCGTCCTGCTCTTCGAACAATTCGGCCGGCGGTATATAAGTCTCGGCCGTCACGTGGAATCGACCTCTGGTTTCCCCGTCTGACAAGTCGTGGAACCTCCAGCAAGGAGGGGGGCACTCGTTCCCGAGTCAGAATCTGACTGTGCTGGAGTCCAGTCTTGAAATCAAAAAAATAAAAATAAAAGAAATGCAGAGAGAGAGAAAAGCAATAGAGTGTATTAGTAAAGCGAAAGCGCGTGAAGTCTAGAATGCTGTTTCTACGCATGTCGACCGCTCGACGATATCAGCAAGCAACAGTTTTCCCCCCCTTTCTTCAAGCTCGCCTGTTAGGATTATCTAAGCAAAATAAAATAAAAATAAACAATTCGATAGACGTCGAAAATAAGCAGGCGTTTTTCTTTTTCTTCCATACAAGTATCCAGGCCGTTTCTTCTTATCTTGAGCTGAATCCTGTCCCGTCCGCCTACCTGCCTGCCTGCCTGCCTCCCTGTTGTGATACAGTCACTCCTTTTCCCGATAACGCCGTGGGCGGAGATGTGCAACGCTCTATCCCGCTACTAGTACGATCATACAGGAGCCAGTATCTGGACTCGATAGCTTTTTGTGGGCGCCAAATATAATGCACGTTGAAAAGAGCCTCTTTAATCGAGGTAATTTACAGTTTGTTGATAATTGCCAGCCTGGTGGTTCTATGTCCCATTCGTGTGCTAGGGAGGAAAAGTTCGGGGCGGTTGTTTGAAAATGGTTGGGTATCATAGAATAATAGTTGCCCGACGGAAATAACATGAATCATTATGTGTGTTTGCGTGTATGTGTGCCATGCAATTCTTATGAATCGCACATTTGGAATGCGTACGATTGTCCGGAAGGATGCAATATCAGGCAGAGAGGGTACTGGTATCTTGCCCCTTCTTCCCTGGTGACCCAATCTGCCTGAGCGATGAAGTGATTGACACTGAGTGGATTGTCTTTGTATTTGAAATTGAATTTCGGCCTCCCCTTGACCGGTCGTGCAAAATGTGCAAAGTAAATAATAGAAGCAGTGTAATGAACGTTCGTCGCGGATGTGTGGTCTCCTTCTCGCCCAAACTGTGCCGCGTGTAGTCGTATCAACCCAGATAATCTCTTCTTTCCTCTTTCGCAACCTCAACACACACTCTCCATTCGTCTCTAGTCGAATTCCGTCTCCGCTCAGTCGAGTCTTGTACGATGCACCTGCCTCAGAGTTCAAAAGCCCCCTAGCGTCTCTGCCTCTTCTCGCGATCGTTCGAAAGACCAACAGCATCCTCACTCCTACGCTTCCGGCCGCGTTCCTCTCGCGGCTCACGTCGATCGTCGTTCTGTCTCGGCCCGCCGTCACGATGTCCTCCTCTAGGCGTACCACGCGTGTTTCCACTCCATTCTTCATTTCTACCACCTGAACCACCCTCTCCACGTCCTCCCTCGCCGCGATCACTGCGGTGACGCTGCTCGCGCCCACTTCCTCCCATGCTCTCACGGTTGCTGCCATGTGGCGCATTTGAATGGGATTCACTGGTACTACCAGAAGGATCCCGACCTGATCGTCTTGGTTCGCGCTCCTCCCGATTGCTGGAATGCCCTTGGGCCCCGGATCTTCGGTCTCTGTACTCACGCGGCTCCTTCGGATCTCTCTCGCGCTCTTGACTGCGTTCACGTTCGCGACTGCCTCGTCTAGATTGTCGACCGCGATCCGAGCGGTGTTCTCGTCGGCTACGGTTATGCTCATTTTGCATTTGGTCGTCTCCGTTGGGTTGAACGCGATCTTGCCGGACGGGGTCAGGGCGCTCCTGCGTTGGTGTAGATATGGGTGATGCGCCCGTCAGAACCTGGGCGTCGGAGCCGGCGATGCTACCACGAGCTGCCCCACGGCCTCTTATGTTGGTGCTGCGGTTAGACTCCGGCATGGTGGCTTGCGCTTGTTGTAAGGTGTTGTTGATGCCTGCAAGTTGCCTGCGACTGCCACCGCTACGGCCCCTGTCGTTTGATGCTGGTCCAGAAGGCGGGCCCACGTCCATAGGACCGGGGAAGTTACCAGTAGGCGTCCTTATGTTCCCTCCCGGACCCCCCATCGGGCGGTCTGGGGTGTTGAGAGGTGGCAAAGGCGGCCGAGAATGGCCGTGGTTTGATGGCTGTCCTGGAGGAGGCGGGGGCGGGGGTGGTGCAATTTGAGCTAGCCGGTCTGGATGAACACCGGGACCTGATGGGCCTCCAGAAGCAGGTGGCATTGGCGAGCCAGCTGGGCCAGAATTTAGGGCCCGAGCGCGATCTGGATGTGTGGCAGGCGTTGGAGTCGCAGCCGTTGGCGAATTGAGAGACTGATTCGAATCATACTGGTTCCTACGGCCTCTGCCAGAAGCAGGCCCAGTAGGAGGGTGCCTCTCGTCTGGCGCCGGGCTATCAGTGTTGGTAAAGCGTCCATCGCCGCGTGAGTTGGGAGTGTTCATGGCGCCGCCTCTTGCGGCTGCCCGTCCGCGACCACGTGGTCCTGAAGGTGGATCGTTGGTAACTACAGACTGTATGGGATTCAGACGTCCGTAATTGTGATCTTGACGATTGTGGTCAGACTCTGGGCCTCGATTCGGGCCGAGGAACGCTTCTCTGCCTTTGTCTGGCCCAAACCGATCGCCCTCCCGGTCAGCAGGGCGATCGTTTCTAGGGTTCATCGCAGGCAAGTCGTTGGCCATTTCTCTTGCCGAGGATCGGTGATCTGAATGGTGGGACCGGCCATGTCTGTCATCTCTGCCGGCATCAGGCGTATCCGGGTTGAAACGTCCGCTTCTCCTCGGCGAGTGTCCACGGGGTGTTCCTCTGTCTCTGGCCTCATCTCGTGCAGGACGTGCTGGGGGCTCCGTTCGTGTTTCACCAATCAAGGCAGCACGCTCCGGATTAATTATGTCAGAACGATCCGGGTCACCTCCACGTGGTCCCCTACCACTCCGTCGGTCTGTCTCAGAGGACCGTGGTGGTCTCTCTGAGCGGTTTGATCTTTCCGGTTGTTCACCCTGAATTAGAGCAAGTCTGGCGGAATTGATGGGTGGCTCTTCTGGTGGCTGTTGCGTCGCTTGAGGCGGAGGCGTCGAGTTTGCAGCTTCCCGAGAAAGTCGGCCTGATTCGGACCCACGTCCGTTGGCCGGAGGCTGTCTATCGCGCGGGGGGCGGCCATCACGTTCATGAGCACTGTGGTCGCGGCGAGGAAGAGGCTCCTGTCTCGCAGGCCAGTCCTTCTCGGACAAACGACCAGGGTCTCTGGAGGCGACGTCAGGGCCACGTCTATCTTGGTTGGCATATTCGCGGCCGCGCTCGGGTCGAGCAGGCTCAGGGAACCTAGGATCTTTGGGCTCTCGTTGATCCCTATGATCCCGGGGTTCGCGAGAGTCTCTTGCATCTCTAGGGCCACGAGGTTCGCGCCCATCTCTTTGGTCGCGGCGCTCCGGCAGGTTCTCAGGAGTAAAGTGGTTGCGGTAATGGCCTGGGATGGGTACGTCTGGCCGTTTAGGCAAGCTGTGGGCATTTCTGTCCGAGGCCGCGTTTGAGGCGTTATGTTTGAAATTGTCTCGGGGATTTGAATTATTTGCCGACTGGGCACCAGCTGATGATTTCGGTGTTGATGGTTTGCTTGATGCAGCAGAGTTGGCCGCAGGTCCAGCACCTGATTTGAATGAATCTCTCTGAGCACCAGAAGGTTTGGGGGGGAGGTTGGCATCTTTTTGGCCAACAGTAGCTGGTGCCGATGAAGCTGGCGAAGGCTGAGGTTCAGCGTCCTTGCCGTCCTTAACCTCACCATCTTCTTGTTCAGTCGCGTTCTTAACTGAGCCAGGCTTGAACTCGGTAGCAGTTGGGCGAAGTGCCAGAGAGCCAGCTTCACCATCCCTGGTTTTCCCTTGGGCTTGCCCATTCTGAAAAGTCGTTAGAATCAACAATTGATTGTGCATTTGGGGTCGATTTACTCACCATATTCGGGCGGAAGCCAGCTGGCAACACCCATTTCGCTTTCCTTCTTTGTAGTTCGGACAATGCACCTTGGGCGGCGACCGAGAGATCGACACGGTGCCCCTCCTCATCAGCAGTTGCAGTCTTTGATGCCGCCTCGCGGTCGGTAATGGTCCTGAGCTGCTCGATGAATTGGTTGCCCATGAAGGTAACGGCCGGGAAGAACTCCAGAACGGCCTTGAGGACTGTTATGGCATTACGAATATGCATCCACTCCATACCGCCAAGGCAAGACTTCAGAGCCAGATTAAGCTTGTTGTGCCACCCGTACAGGATGTCTCGAAACTGCGCATGATCATAGTATGACAGCGGCTGTCCGTTCTCATCAAAGTCGGACGCAAATCCCAAGAGGCTGCTGCGCTTGCCGACAGCTTCTCTCTCGAAAGTATTCGTGTCTCGGTGCCATTTGGCAAGATCTTTCAAGATGCAGTTAAGGAACCTTCCAAAATGCTCAGCCTCGCGGACAGTACAGGTAAAGATCATCGACCGCAGTCGATTTACATTGAAGATCCTGTCGTATAACGCCTTCAATCGGAAGTTAGGTGCGCCAAAGCTGTGAAGCTTCTTGATCAGGGCGTAGGAGTACTCGGCGTCGCTAGCGGAGAGCACCAGCCTAGGAAGCAAACATTGCTCGAGGATCGCATCTGAGACGCCGTTCAACTTGGTGATTGATCCTGTGAACCAAGTATCCATCTGGTCGGACATATAGTCTCGAACGACACGCGCTCGTTTCATCTGCAAGTCCGCCTCCTTGGGAAGCTCGTTGCTGATTTTCTGAAGCTCGGCTTTCTTGGTTTCCTTTTTGTTGATGCCGTTTCGGCTCATGTCCGAGCGATCTCTGTTGAGGTCTTTTTGCAGATTCGTAATTCTCTTGTGAGCATTGTTGTAGCTCGCCGCGGGTACTTCGATATCACCAAGCTGCAGAGCCCAGAACAGGACGTAAAACTCGGGGCTGAGCTTGCTCCAAGAGGAAGCTGGAGTGATGGATTGAATCGATGCGACAAGAGGTTCCAGAGCCTCGTGAATTTGGCGCATGGCATCCTTCTTCCCCTTCTCCCGAACCTCCTGGGGGGTAAGCGACTTTTCTTCGGGCTCGCTGGCCTCTCCAGTGGTTTCAGTTGCTTCAGTTGCACTTTGCGCCATAGACACATCACCATCGGTATCTGCAATGGTTGCCGGCACGCTTTGCTTCTTTGCGAACATGTTGTGGGAAACGCTCTCTCTGCCGATGAGGAACGCCAAGCTTGCATCGAGACCAAATTCGTCCATTAGCCGCACGATGGCGGGTACAAGCGAGTCAAACTCTTGAGGTTCGAGATTGGTTCTTAGAAGGTCAAGGTACTGAACCAAGATCTGATGGCTATCGTCGATAACAGAACCAATGTACTTGATGTGGGCCTCATCGTCCGGAAGCTTGTAGATGGCTGACTGTCGATATTGGGCAACGTTGATGAGAAGGCGACCAGCAAGTTTTGAGTCGTTCAAGGATTGCATTAGACGTTTGGCGCTACGGCTTGATTCGAACCTCTTGTCTTGAAGGCCGAGCAGTGTTTGCCGGCGCAGTACCTCTCCTCCCGACATGGCAAGGATCTGTTCGTCAGTAAAGTCAAGAACTTGAACAACACCACCCATGGAAGCCACGAGCTCCTTCAGGATGATCAGGTCGGTTGAGTTGCCTCGGAAAAGCTGATCATTGACGTATTGAAGGATTGGGGTGGGATCCAAAATGGAGTACCGTTTGAAGACCTTGCCGGCAAATTTAGATAGAGCTTGGAGCCATTTACTAGTCAACAGAATAGATGACTCTTGGGTACGGCTGCGCTGTTTGCCACCAAGGGAGCTCATCAATGACCATACCAAGACATCGTAAGCCAAGTCAGTGAAGTACTTGGCGCACTCGACAAACGCCTCGATAAGATTGGCATAAGATTCAATCTGGCTTAAGGCCTCCTTGAAAACGATACCTGGCGAAGAGTAACTGGTTTTGGCCAAAGACTTGGCCATTTCGCTAAGGTTGGTCAATGAAATACGCTTCATTACACCTCTCGTTTCGATGCGGGTTCGCGCGAATGCTGCCTTCATTGCAGGCAACCTAGATATCTGTCCTTCGAACCATTCGGCGTAGATCGAGTATCGGGTTGTCACGGGGTAGAGCTTGAGAAGGTCCCAAACAGAGTTGACAATTGCCGCGTTCGCCGTTGTCATGCTGAGAGCAGGGACTAGAACACGTCGAAGGAGTTCTTGCCAGCGGTCAAGATTCTGCTGAGAGCAGTCCTCCCCGAGACTCTTGGCTCCGATACTGACAAACTTTGCTAATAGTGCAGAGTCCTTGCCAATATTCACGCCAGAGATGTTCAAGAAGGTGTCACACAGAGTAAAAACGTCCTCTACGTTCTGACAAACGGGCACATTGTCGGCCCACTCATCCCAGTAGAAACGGTAATGTTGATCTCTTCCGTCAAATCCGTCAGGGAAGGGCCACCGCATGGACTTCTTGGTAGGAGTGTTGGTGAGCTTGATACTACCTTTGGGCACGCCACTCTGGTCGACATCTGCCACATTCTTGGAGGGGCATTCGACCGAGCAGATGGCGGTCGGTCGGCTTTCTTGGTAGACCTTCTCGATACTGTGGTTGAGGATACGATGAATTCGATCCAAAATTTCGGGGAATGCTTCTGGAAGCCAAGGAAAGCGGCCGAGAATGAAAAGAGACTCCGGGATGGCGCCAATCGTCAGTAAGCAGATGAGCAACGCCGCCTTCTGCTCCATGGGTTCTGGCAGTTTCTCCTTCTCATCCTCGCCGCCTTCCGTCTTGGATTCCGCCTCGGTTTTGCCAGTAGCGTCTCGCACGCGTGTATTTGGCAGAGAGGGTGTGTCGTCGGGCAGTGCACCTGCCATGAGAAGTGCATTTTGTGCTGCACCGGGTCGACTTTGTCGTTCCTTTTCCTCGAGTTCTTTCATCCGCTTCTCTCTTAGGGACTCCATGTCGTTATCAAGTGGCCAAAGATGAGGGTAAATGTCCACCAAAGACATGAAGCCGACCTTGATAAGAAGGGCGACAAGATATAGCAGGTTGGCCGGCAAGACGTCGTCGATATCTCTGGCGTCAGAAGAGTAGAAGCGTAACTTGAAGCCAAGCAACTGGGCAGCAGTGCGGTTGCCTGGCGGGGGGAGCGTCTTCGTTGCCTTGATCCACGCCGAAGCAGCATTGACTTCAGCTTCGGTAGTGGACTCGGAGGCATCTAACAATTGAAGATTCTGATCCGTGACCTCTCTTCCTCCAAGTTGAAAGAAAGCATCCAGATGGGCCTCCCGGGCCCTGTTCCAGAAGTCAACATCTCGTTGACGTCTCAACTCAGCGGCGTCTGCTTCGGACTCATCGCTGGACATCCAATGTGACGATTCGGGCAGAGCCCAAGGGGGTAGGCCGCCCACGTAAATTGACGATGTGGAGTTTGAATTGCGAGGCCACCAGGAGCTCACGCGGAGCAGCTTGATAAAGAACCGGAACTGCTTGATGAGGACGGCTGCAAATACATCGAGAGTAACATCAAGTACTCGGCCCACGTCCAGATCGAAGGTTCCGATTAACCCCTTCAGGCGTTCAAATGCTGCATGGGCTGCTTCGGCAGTAGGGGGCTCTGAGCTACTGGTGGTGAAAAGCTCCGTCATCAACTTCGAGTAACCTTCTGTTTCCTCACGCAGCAGGTTGTAGTTTGCCTGTCGGTAAAGGAGGTTAGTGGCATGTCTAATGCCAAGCTTGACAAAAGTGCTGCGGATAAGGCCGAGATCCTGCAATAACTGGGCATCAAGGACCTGGCGCAGAAGTGAGGGAGCGATGCCAGTGCATTGAATGAAATCGCGGAGCTGGGGCTTGAAAAGACCTCGATCATTGTCGAAGATGATGGATAGCGTGTCGAGAAAGAGAGTGTGAGGCTCGAACGAGAAAGACTCCTTAATCATTTCTTGCGATTCCTGGCCCAGAATCTCTTTCATACAACCGCCAGCATCAGCGGGCGACAGTCGGCCCTCCAAGACTGCATGAATGAATTCTTGGTAAATGCTAGTTAGTTCTTCAATGTCGACATCTATCTTTGATTGTTTCGCATGCTCTATCAATTCTTGTCTGCGACTTGCCGTCCATGATACGATGGCATCGTCAGTGATGTGTTCGTAACAGTAGCTGGTTGGCACCAGGGACGGCGGATGAGATATCGGGGCGGCAGGCTGATCTGCTGAAATCGGAGGCGGCGGTTGCGACTGCGGCTGCGGCTGCGACTGCGATGCTGCAGAGGGCGGACGCGCGATAGTTGGAGACGTGACGCGGGAGGCGCTTGCAGAGCTCGTCGCCGGCTGCTGTACCTGTTGTGCTTGTTGTCCCTGCTGTCCTTGCTGACCCTGTGTTGAGTCTCGACGATCGTTCCTTCTCGCGTGTCTGCCACCACGACCGCCTCTTCCACCACCCTCGGAGAAGTCTCTGTCGCGCTGGCCCATGGCAGTATCCCCAGGTCGATGAGGGGAGGGTCTGTTTCCGTCGTTGACAAAGCCTCCACGAGCCTTGCGCTTGGGAGGCATCGTGCTCTCGATCGCGATTCGTTCAGGGTATCATTGGGGACGCGGTTGATTCGTCTATGTTCCTCCTGTTGTCATATCTGGTTAGCGAGGGTTGGATTCTTTTTTTCTTTTTTTCTTCTTTTTTTTCTGGCGCGCCGTTGGCTGGGGAGGAAAAAGTACCAGATGGAGAAAACGATGGAGAAGCTCGTCGCGTAGAGCTTGATCAAGAAATGACGTGCACAAAGGAAATTAAAAATAGGCACAATCGTGTCTGACCAGAAAGCCAAAGTGGACAGACAATCAAAATTGCAAAATGTTGGGGAAGGCGTCGCCCTTCGGAGTTGGGGTGACTATTTTGGGATTGGCAATGGGAAGGTGAGGATGAATGATTTCTCGCGTGAACACGCAGTCGCAGCAATGCAGCAGAGCTTCAGACCCACTCAAATCACTGCAAGCGGGCAGCAGCCTCATGGAAGGGCGAGGCTGTCGGCTCTGTGTGGAGCAACGTATTCTGTACCGGTTCGCGGCATGTATCGGTTACTTGCAAACCGACGGGGGTGTCCGTAGCGTTTCTAGTCGCGAGAACCTGTAGCCGGAAATCAGAGGTGCTGGCTCCGATAGACTGGTTATCAGCTGACTCATCGACCCCGCGCAGCCAATGAATCACAGAAGAAAAAAAGTTAGAAAGTACCGCAGTACCCCAGAGCAATTACGCCATTTAGGGTGCAGGTCTTTGGTTTCTTTTGCTGCATGACAACCAGTCACAAGAGTCACTCCTAGCGATTCGAGTTACCGAATTCTTCATTTACCTGGAATATCTCGCCATCGCAGACGGGCCCAGGTGATTACAACCTTACCCTTTCCAAACTTGGTTCATTGCATCTTTTGCATCGTCAATTGTACGGCGCTGCCCCCGAACCCGCAAAGCTTCTGTTGCCCCTCGTCGGTTCCGAGATCGGGATGGCTGCACAAAACTTAGACAATGGCTCTCAGCCAAAATACGGTCAGTATACCTTCTATTTCAAGCACGTTATTGCGCCTTCGTACATTTCCGCATGCCCATATCACATAATCAGTTATGAACCCAGCGATTCTTGGTTTTTCTTTTTCTTCCCTCCCAACCCCCTAGCCCATAACACTCTCTGACTCCTCCATATCATTGTTCGGTTTTGATGAGAAGACCGGTGGCTGAATACCTGTAAGAAAGAACGCAGACGCAGCCTGAGAACCCGTTCGCTGCCTTAATTCCGGAGCAGCAGATTGCTATCATTCCGTCCTTCACCCTCGAATCCGGAGTCACTCTTCAGAATGTGCCCGTCGCCTATACTACCCGTGGTAAACTCTCGCCCAACGGCGACAATGCCATGGTGATTTGCCACGCCTTGACCGGCAGCGCAGATGTCAGCGACTGGTGGGGTCCTCTCCTTGGAGGCCCTGGCAGAGCTTTCGACACCTCGAGATTCTTTATCGTGTGTATGAACAGTCTCGGCAGTCCCTACGGCACAGCAAGCCCAGTCACTGCCAAGGACGGAGACCCGTCGAAAGGCAGATATGGACCCGAGTTCCCTCTGACCACGATTCGCGACGACGTCAGGTGAGTCCATATCTCCAATACACTATCAACCGTATTGAAGCTAATTGGGTCCTTTAGCCTCCACAAGTTGTTGCTGGACGAGCTCGGAGTCAAGCAAATCGCAGCAGTCGTTGGTGGGTCCCTCGGCGGCATGTTTGTGCTGGAGTGGGCATATCTGGGCAAGGACTACATTCGCTGCATTGTGCCCATTGCTACATCTAGCAGGCACAGCGCATGGGGTATCAGCTGGGGTGAAGCACAGCGACAAAGCATCTACGCTGATCCCAAGTACGACGATGGTTACTACTCGTTCGACGACCCGCCGTCGACTGGCCTTGGCGCCGCTCGCATGTCTGCGCTGTTGACTTACCGCAGCCGCAACTCCTTCGAATCCCGCTTCGGACGTAACATTCCCGACCCCTCGAGGCGGCAGACTATCCGAGAGAAGTCCAGGCCCAGCACCCCCTCCGAGGCTCACTTCCACATTCACAACGACGGTCACAACGTCAAGCGGGTCACCATCTCCCGGCAGAACAGCCAGGGAGGCACGACCGAGACTCCCGTAAATGGCGCAACGGCCGACGCTGTCACGGAATCTGCTGATCCCCAGTTCCACGGTCCCCAGACGGATAGTCTGACAGGCGGCGACAAGCTCCCCACCTCGACTTACTTCTCCGCGCAGTCCTACTTGCGGTACCAGGGACAGAAATTCGTCAAGCGATTTGACAGCAACTGCTACATTGCCATGACGAGAAAGCTAGACACTCATGACGTCTCCCGCGGCCGCGCCCCGAGTATTGCTGAAGCGCTGGCCCTGATCGAGCAGCCCACACTTGTATTGGGTATCGAGAGTGACGGTCTGTTCACCTTTGCTGAACAGCAAGAGATTGCCGAGCACATCAAGACGGCTAGGCTTGAACGTATCGACAGCCCCGAGGGTCATGACGCCTTCCTGCTACAGTTTGAGCAAGTCAACCACTATGTGCTGGATTTCTTAAAGGAGACGCTGCCTGATATCATGGGCAAGAAGGGCGAGGAGGTTGAGGAGGTCGGTGTTGGTCAGCTGACCAAGAGCAGCACTTTTGGGGAAGCCGAAGTAGACGATATTACTGCTTGGTAATATCCGGGGCGAAGAAATGTATGGTGAATATTTGCGTGTTTGTTTATGTTTCAACAGGTCTGGATTCTTTCAACAAGTCAGCGATTATGGAAATAGACGGGGTCGAATTGGAAATGGGGGCAAAATTGGGTCAAATTCATGCATTGTCTGTGAGATTGCCATTTGACATGTCATTCCTAGAGCCTCGAAAGAGCGGGACAAGTACCCGAGGGCAATTTCCCACTTGACAGAGGCAACATCAGGCACGTAACTCTGCATTCGGCATCCAGGGATGCTAATCCTCAACCGCGTGATCAGCGTGAACGCGGAGCTTATTGAACGCCGAGAAAGATGAGGGGGGGCACCGTACGGCCGGGAACTCTGACACCGTCCGGTGAGTGATTGAACTCGAACGACCGCGACAGACGAGATGTTGCTGCCTTCTTTACGTACAGTGTAGATGTCTGATCGTGGCCAAAGTCTCCGCATTCGCTCTCGTTAACGACTGCTTCAACGGGCTGTTACCTGTGCGTAACACAGGCCTGACCAACGGCTTTTTAGCAAACCAGCGTTGGCTTGTCTAGCCCAGGTGAGCAAACAGTAATGGTGGGAAGAAATTGGCTAATGGGCTAGATAGAGCAAGAACAGATGACTCGCTAAACAGCCGAGAATAACGACTGAAACAAAACTTTACTGGGAGTAAAGATCGCAAGCTTTCCGTTTCTTCTTAAGCTCTGCGGAGGCCAACTCCCGCAGCGATGTATTACGTCAGCTGACGCACAATAATACGGTAAGGGTAAGTAAGCACGATTCTACCAAACGTTGAGTAGTGCTGGATCAGTGGTTCCAGATGTCTCTAACAGCAGGCACCACCAAGCTATGCAACACACTGACATGTGTGTCACCGAGTAATACGCGTTGCAATCGGTAATGAATGGGTATGCGGATTACGGCCTGATACCCCCATTCAGTGACTGGAAAGCCTCGAGCTGGGCCCACGTGCCGTAGGGAATCCCTGCCATTGGTTCGGGGATACCCTGTTGGTGACCCCTTCGTTCGGTGAGAAGGTAAGCGAGTGCATTGGCAGATCTGGAGACTGTGGGGGGTTCATTACAGTGCTGTCATCAGCCAGGCAGACAGGAGGTCCTGGGACGAAGGTATGAGTTGTCCAGGCTGGCAAAGAGCATGGATCAATCTAGGATGGTAGATATGGGTTGTCTCTTAAGCTTGGACGGCCACTTTGTTGAATGCAGAAAATATACAAATATGTTTTCGACATGTTTTATCTGGGCATCAAGCCACCATCGTTGAGAAAAGAAAAACGGCTGGGCGCACGTCTTTCTGTCTAGACTTTTTGGTTGAGATGGGACTGATTGGGAACGGATCTGCTTTGGTGTGCGTCAAAAGAGTTCCGTGTGGTTGGTGTTCCAGCTGCCTTCTAGAAGGACCACCCCTGCTTTCCCGAAGTGAGTTTCAGTGGGGCGTACTAGAAATGGACCACCGCATAAAAGGCGCCTTCCTTGCTGGGCCTACAACCGTGCTTTGAAAAAGACACTTTAAAGGCCGTTCAACAGTGAAGAAGTGGGGGGGGGGCAGGAACAGAGGGTTGCACTTTCCTTTCCTGCCTTGTTCCGCCTGCATTTCGTGTACTAGTACGGTACCAGTATCTCGTGCCTCCCTCAGTGTCTCCCATGGCCGGCTTTCCGGATGCAAAATGTGGTCAGGGCCAGTGTCTGTGACAGTTTGACAATTGATCGTCCCTTCTTTCTGGCCTGTCCCTTTCCTCCATCATCTGCGCGTTCCTGTTACCAATGCTCGTCTCTCGTCTCAAATTCACCAACACTTGGCCCTCGCCCTTCTCTGCCGATTTCCCTAAAGTGTATCGCCAAAGAAAACTTGTTCTCCTGCCTGCCAGGGCCATCTTACGATAATATAATATTGGGGGCCGATTTGCCGTCCACGTTGCCTCTTTCCCCTGTTGACGCAACATCCCCTACCAGAAGCGCATATCAACAGCACGTGGCGCGGAAATAATTACAGCCCTTGGCCCATGTTGTGTCATTTTGTGCCACTAGTGATAGCACCACTGCTGATTTTCTGTCTGAATCCTGTAAATAACGCCTTCTTGTTCATCTGTATAATTCCGTCTTGACAAGCAAAAAGAGGCTTGTCTCCCCCGCATCATTCGATGTTTCTTTCTCTAGCGTGACTTGTTGAGACATATTTCCCTTCGCTATCAGACTTTTACTGTCCCAAAACGATGGCATACTTTTTTTGTTCCCACCACAGTCACCCTTTTTGACTTTGTGTGGTTCACCGTTCCTGGACTGTGAGGTCCCCGCCAACCCGGATCCGGGAGGGTGCAAAGAGATCGTTGAACCTGACAACGTGCGAACCACACGCTTTTCGCCTTATTTCTGCCCCGATTGGCTTTCCATAATAGCCAGACTTACAGTCTAAAATCACGCTTTTGGTACTGACTGCCTACTCAAACGTCTTCGCTGCTACAGACAAGGCCAACCACACAGACATAATGTCCCCCCCTCCCCCTCCTCATACCCACGCTCCATCCAATCGGTCACCTCGCGGGCCATCCCCGTTCCCCTTGCCCTCCTTCTCCCCTTGACCAGGCATCCCCTTGCAATAATTATACCCTGCCCATGTCCAGCCCTCGCCCGCCCCATTATCGCATTGTGGTGCGCCATTCAGAAGGTCCTGCAGAACGGATCGGGCGGGATGCAAGTGGCATGCGTCTCTGCGGCCCTTGGTTCTTGGGCACAATCCCTTTAAACTCTTCCACGCCCCCTTTCGTTCCATACACCTGCCTCCGGCCCGCCTGAACTTTGATTCTGGCTTCTGACGCCCAGAAACCTCAGCCGCAACGTTTGTCGCTCGATACCCGAAGAATTGCAACAAGGCGTTTATCATCTCCGGCAGAGCACCTTTGAACCGATCTGTACGCTTGCGACGACGACTAGTTCGCTTTGATTTGGGGAAGGGATTTTGATCCTAGGGGAATACTTCGATATACGGACTTCTCTGGGCTCCACAATGGCAGCTGGGTGGCCTAGTGCGCCATAAACTGGGCAAGACTGCCATCGTGTGAACACTCGATATCGTCCCTCGAGCATTGAATTCGCCAGACAACCAAACGATGGATGATATGCTACCGCCGCCGATGACCCCCTCCGAGCGAGGGGGATATCGGCGGACTAACGGAGGCAACAAAGCCTTTCACAATTTTTACAACGATTACTCTCACATATCAGATCCCACGCTACGGCGACGGCTGGCCTTGAGCGAGATTGACAAAGTCCCCTTTGGCTTGTACCGTTGGTCACCACCTTTTCCATGATGCTAACCGAACGGTTACTAACATGCTAAAACACAGATGTCAGAGCAATATTGGTTGCTGGCGTTGGGTTTTTCCTTGACTCTTACGACATTTTCGCGATCAATCTGATTATCACTCTACTGGGTGTTGTATTTTGGCAAGGGCCTCCAGAGCAAGCCACACATGGTTACGGCGGCAATAACGGCGAGCTGCCAGGTCCAGTCAACTCAGCCTTGAAGGCGTCGACCAGTGGCGGAATCATCATTGGCCAGATCGTATTTGGCTGGCTGGCTGATGTATTTGGCAGACGGCGGATGTACGGCGTGGAACTTGGTATCATCATTTTGGCGACCTTGAGCGCTGCGCTTGTATCGCCAAGCCAGTCCGTCAGCTTTACGGGGCTGATGATATTCTGGAGAGTCATCATGGTAAGAACCCACCTGCTGGGTGCATTGATGTTCTTCTTGTCTAACAACATCTAGGGCGTGGGAATAGGTGGTGACTATCCGCTTAGTTCTGTTATCACTTCTGAGTACGTTGCCCTTGTAGCTGAAGATTGTTGCTTTCCTACAGCTCAAGCTGATGTCACTTGCAGGTTCGCGCCGACTCGCTGGAGAGGTGCCATGATCGCAGCCGTGTTCTCGATGCAGGGTATGGGTCAGCTAGGCGCTGCTGTTGTCGCTCTCATTACCGCCGAAGCCTTCAAGGACTCTTACATCGATGTGAAGAGCATTTCCACCTGCCATGCCAGGTGCCAGCTTGCTGCCGACCGTTCATGGCGCATCATTGTCGGCGTTGGGGCCGTCCCGGCCTGTCTCGCCCTGTACTACCGAATCACCATCCCGGAGACACCCCGTTACACTTTTGACGTTGAGCAGGATGTCGAAAAGGCGGATGCAGACATCAGGGCTTACATGTCAAGTAAGTCAAAAGGCGACGTCGACCCTGAACTTCAAGCGAGAATGAAGAAAGAGTCGGGACCTGCCTACAACACCCCTAGCGCATCGTGGCGTGATACGTTTGCATTCTTCAGACGGTGGAAGAACTTCAAAGTCCTCATGGGCACTGCTCTGTCATGGTTCTTCCTTGTGAGTATTGAAGAGGATGCAAAAACGGGGGCACGTGCTGACAGCAGAACAGGATCTGGCATTTTATGGCCTCGGACTGAACAATACTGTCGTGTTGCAAGCCATCGGCTATGCTGATGGCGATAACTTTTATCAAAAATTACATAACCAAGCAGTAGGAATGATCATTCTATCGTGCGCGGGCGCCATCCCGGGATATTGGGCCAGCGTTTTCGCCATTGATACCATTGGCCGCAAGCCTCTGCAGATGCTGGGGTTCTTTGTGCTGACGATACTGTTTTGCATACTGGGTTTTATGCTTCACCAGCTGTCGCACACCATTTTCCTTACTCTCTATATCATCGGCCAGTTCTTCTTCAACTTTGGCCCAAATACCACAACTTTTATCGTACCGGGAGAGTGTTTTCCAACGCGCCACCGCTCTACAGGCCACGGCATATCTGCAGCGATGGGCAAGGTTGGCGCCATCCTTGCGCAAGTCATCAGCATCCCTCTCTTATCGAAAGACTCCCCCGCCGACTGCCACGGCAACGCCTGTTCGCCTTGGCTCGACCGTCTTCTCGAATTGTTCGCCTTGTTCATGTTCCTCGGCATGGTTTCCACCTTGCTCATCCCCGAAACGAAGGGTATGACCCTCGAAGAACTAGCTGGAGAAGCACCAACTTCGTACAATCGAGGCCGCAACGGCAGTATATCACATTACCCGCGCCAACGATCCAAGTGGAACCGCTTCGCTGGCGGACAACCTGCAGGCTTCTACTATCCCCGTGCCAGTACCGTCAAAGCCGCGCGCGTTGGTATCATGGCATCACCAGACCTTGTGGCCGAGGAGGAGCGTAGAAGGAGGAGTCAGGCAAAGTCTTGGCGAAAGAGACGGAGGGAGAGGGGCCCAGGTAGCAGCATCGGGGGGTCGGAAGACTACGCAATGAGCTTCCGCAACAGTGGCGTATCGTCCTCATACGGACGTACCATGGGCGCTGTAGACGAGCAGATGCCGACTGAACAGCAGGTCGCGCCCGGTGTGTTCCCGACATGGGGCGCCGGATGGGGCCGGGTGGATCGCGGGGCGCAGCCGATGGAGAACGTGAAGTTGCACGACGTCGGTAGTTTACTACGTCGAGACTCAAGGGCATGATCTTTCTTTCAGGGAAGCGGGCGTTGGACTGGCTTGTAAATCACGGTCTGTTTAGAAGACCGTTCTTCGAGATATAGTGTACATGTATAATGTCATCATGAGGCCGCCCACGCGGTCATGTCATCTCGCAACAATTTTACAGTGTATATTGAGATGTACTTTGCCTAGTGTGATACTGAAATCCAGCCGAACGCCAATGCCAGATATACAAACAGCCTCTTATCACTTTCAGCCAAACTTTCAGCCATGTGAGGATACGATATTTGACAACATAGTGAAGAATTTGACATTACTTTCATTAACTTTTTCTCGCACAAGAATCTCCATCTATACCCCCGAATTACCCCATGTGCCTCTATCAAAACTCTTATTACATACATCATGTTGAGCCCCCATGTTTTTAAAACCGCGCAAATGTTAAAGCACCATCTCCCTCTCCCCTCCCCCCCCCAAACAGACTCAAGAAGAAACGGCAAACTTGCTCATGGCCCTGAGTTTCGCTCCGTAAATGTACAACAGCCAGATACCGATGATACCAATGGTACTCAGCCCACCGAGCAAACTGGTGCCGCGGGCGACGCCAAGGTCGCTGAAGAGCGGCTTCGCGAAGAGGATGCTCGCGAAGGCGAAGGCGGAGCGGAAGAAGTCGTTGCCGGCGAACAGACTGGCGGCGTACTGCGGGTAGCTGAGCGGGACGTAGACGAAGATGCACTGCATGACGACGAAGGCGGTGGCGCTGTAGGTGGTGATGCCGACGGTGGGGGCGATCCAGTGGATGGCGGGGGAGGCGGTCCAGGCGAAGATGAAGAGGCCGACGGTGGGGCCGAGGGACGCGGGGATGGCGGGGACGAGGCGGCTCTCGGGCACCGGCAGGCCGTACTTCTTGATGCGCGGGTTCACGTACAAGGCCAGGTAGGACATGTACATGGCCACGCCGAAGAAGCACGACACGAGGATGCAGAGGAAGACGAGGCCGATCTGCCCCAGGTTCATGTGGTAGTAAACCGGGTAGACCAGGGGGAAGACCTCGAAGAAGGAGTAGTAGATGCCGTAGATGATGCCCGTGTAGACCTGCACGAAGAGGATGGCGGGGTCCTTGATGGTGATCTCGAGGGGCTTGATGAGGGCGTCGATGACGACCGTCGAGGTCTTGAGGTTGCGCTGGTCGATTTCGGACTGCGACATGAACCGCGCGTTTCCCGTCAGTTTGCGGAGGCGCTTGGCCCGGCGGAGGAGGATGTTGGGGCCCGAGGTCTCCGGGAGGAGGATGAACATGACTACGAAGATCGGGGCCGACACCCAGAGGATTTCCCAGAGGGACCAGCGCCAGCCCTTTGCCATGACGGCGTATCCGGAGAGCACTGTGAAATTCGTGTTAGCTTTTTCTTTTTTTCTTCTTCTTTTGATTCGGGAAGGTATTCGACTTACAAGGTCCCAAGGCCGGACCGAGGTAGGCGGCGCACGTCCAGGTTATCAGAGCGCCGGCATAGCTAAGCTTGGCCATTGAGTACATGTCACCGAGAGACGCGGCGCCGGATGCCAGGCAAGGGGAACCGAAGAGTCCTTGCAAGAAGCGGAGGACCATCAGCCCTGCGTAGTTATCGACCATTGGCGCGGGGATGGAGACGATGACAAAGAGGAACATGGTGACAATGTAGATCGGATTGCGGCCGATGCTGGGGATCTCGGACATTGGTGAGAAGACGAGAGGCCCGATGCCGTAGCCCAGGACGAATAGGGCGAGGCCGAGGGAGGCCTCGGTAACGTCCACGCCGAACTCAGTCATGACGCCCTCGATGGATGAGGTGTAAATGGCCGAGGAGGTGTACACGACAAAAGTGTACAGACAGATGACGGCGGTGATGATGATGCGCTTGTTGTCGGACCAGTTCTGCGGGTTCTCTGCGTCGTCGGTAAAGTACCAATCTACCAAGATGGCACCGTCCTTGGTTTTCCGGGACGCAATGGGCGTGCTCTTGGTCTTTTCGATCTCGTGGATCTCGTCCGCCTCGAGACGGTCCTGGGTATACGGTGTCGTATCCTCTCTGCTCCGTGTTCTTGTGGCGGCGGCATACGGCGCGGCGTCGGCCACTTCAGTCTTCGGCAAGATGTTCTCCTCATCTGTGTCCGTGGCCGATGTGGCCTCCAATGATATGCTCTTCTCGTCCGCAGACGAGTTCAACACGTCAAGCCATTGCTGCGGGAGCTGAAAGTCGGGTTCTTCTTCCGGGTAGCGGAGGAATTTGCCTCCTGTGATGAAGCGTATAACTTGGCCCAGGGGGGCGTCTCTGATTAGCTGCGCCATTGAGACGTTGTGATGCTGATGATTTTTGGTTCAAGACGACTGGATACTAATGGTGCTGACAGTGAGGGATGTGTTGAGCAACCGGAATATATGGATTAAACCCTAGGCTCGGTCTAATAAGCTTCGTTTTTGTAGATACAATGTCCTGAGAGTAAAGCTGATGGAGTACAAGACGAGATGAATGATTTGGGTCATGAGATGCCTTCCATCTATATACTTACCTTACCCGTTGTCGTTCCATCGTGCAACCGGGTGAAGGACGGCGCACCGACAACCAAAAGACGGCCAACATTGCGGCCGCGATAGCACGTTGATGACCGAGCAGGTATCAAAATTTGGTCCGTCCGTGGGCTTCGGGCTTACGATAATCGTAAATGCGGGACGGTGGGAACATTCTGGTGAAGACGCGTGGGTATTATTAACCAAAGCCGCTGAAAGCTTCCGAACAGGGCAAGGTACGGGTGTGTGGTGTTACCGTCAACCGGGAGCTGGAGCGATGGCGCCGTGCGGGGTGGGGACCAGGGGGGGTTGAAGAGGTTCAGGAACATGTTGCCTTGCGCTAAGATCTATCCGTGTCACTGGGTCTTTCGGCTTCGCGTCTGGTTGTACAGAACGCGAAGGTATCTTGTACACACAAAAACTCATCCCCCCAGTCTCAATGAAAGCCGCGAGCTGGGCCGAACAAGAGTCGGGCAAAGCATCTTTGGAAAGAAATGGACAGAGGAGATGGCGTGTCAACGATGGACAAGCGCCCGCAGTCTTTGGAACTAGCCACGTCGGAATGTCTTTGTCGATGCCATTGGGCCAGTAGCGTGAAATGGCGCTATGTGACAGACAGAGATACAAAGTGACGTTGAGTAATCTTTCCTTATTTGGTGTATTTATCAGCGAGATCTGGATCCTTCGTAAATCTTTCCCCCCCGCGGTCTCTGATTGGCTCAACTGTAAAAGATAGCTTACTGGATCAAGGTTCAAGCTCTTTCGTCATCCTACCCCTTCATTCACTTTACTCCGTCCAACCTGGCCATGTTTGTAATGGGACGTAGGTTTCCACGTGCTTAATTAACCCAATGCCAAGTGTTGACTTATAAATCCATCAGCCGTTGCACCATCAAGACGCGACTATGGAAAGTTTCGATATGCAGTTGAGTCACACGAGATAGAATTTGGCTTACACCAGCATAACATGTAAACAACGTTTGTATCCTGCTTCGATCATCACTTTCCCGGGACAAGTCACCACCTTATGGTGGTCGTGTTCTTTGACACGACACATCGTTTGGGCGGAAACAGCTCAAATTGCTATTCGCAGGTGCTTAATATCGTCTGCTTTCCTAGTTGAAGTTTCTGCGATTGTCCTGTGACTATCCAGGTTAATGCAGAAGTCGATAAAGTGAATGGTGGCCGACCCAAGCATTTGCACGCTGTTGCTAAGTATTGTGCTAGCCTCTCGTCTTTCAAGTCATCAGGTCTGCATATCCGAATACAGCATCACCCAGGTCTTCATTAACTGCGTTGGTAACCCTCTACGTGATATCATGGTGCCTTCTAGTAGACAGACCCCCGACTCCAGTATTAAGGCTGTCAAGTGGAGATAGTATTAGTCGTCATGGCTGCTACGGCCAGATTCAAGGAGCATTTGATTGGTAGATGTCGCATTGAGGCCAACGCTTCGCCAATTCTTGCTTAGCATAGACGGTAACTACGACGTTGAAGGGTGTCGCGGTTCAGACTCGCCGTCCAAAGCACCGTCCTCTTGCTTCAACCCGGTAGTCCTCTTGATTTCCTCCGCAAACGACGCCATGAGCTTTGCTATGCCAGAATGGACGTCCATATTCCTCTTCTCGGCTTGCTCCACCAACCACCAGACACGCTCATCCTGCACATCGAGGGACTTTCTGACGAGTGCCAGCAAAGTGCGCTGGTTGATCCAAACTTCAGGCTGCAAGCCGTTCTCAGACTCCGGAGCTTCGCCCAGAAGCTTGACACACTTATACGCAAGGTTAAGGTCGCCCGAGATGACGTGCTCGAATACAACTTGCGCAAAGACCTTCCGGTCACCCTTGATAGCCAGTTCAGGGTCTTCTGCTACTAGGGCTTGAAGATGTTCCGGGTTTTTACAGGACTGTAGGAGGTATCGTATAGTGACGTGGTTGGGTGGTGCCTCCGTGTATTTACGCGAGTCTTTGTAAATCTGCAAAGCTTTCGCGTAACCCTGCGTTTCAACCGCAGCTTCGATCAGGACATTGAGCGCCGCGATCGGGACCTTGTAATCTTTCATCAAAGACTTAAGGGCTTCGAGGGCCGAATCCAGGCTCTCTGGCTGTTTCTTGATCCACTCATATATCGAGCGCGTGCTGGCGTACGGTGCGACAGAGATGGCGTTGAACATGATGCAAAGCACGCGCAGTGCGCCCTCCAAGTCTCCGATGCCGCCGTAGCAGTCGATCAATGGTTCGTAATGGTGTGCGAGCAGCTTACCTCCCCGCTGTGCTATCAGGCGGTTCGCATTCGTGACAAGTTCGAAGTCATGATGTCTCGCCGCAGTGTTGATAATGTTGAGTAAGACGCCGTCCGAAAGATTATATTTATCCGTCTCCAACAGTCTTCCCCAGATATATCTTGTACCTTCGTAGTGGTACGCATGACTGCAGACATCCAGCAGCATATACCACATCGCCAGGTACGTTTCGCCTTCAGAGGCATGCGCTTTGCTGTGGGCCAGTTTAACGGCTTCTTCCACGAAGCCCCGTTGGGCAAACATGAAAATAAAGATATCGTAGACCCAGGGGTCGATGGGCACGTGATTGTCGATCATGGCCTCCAGTTTATCGAGAGCAAGCTCGTATTGCCCGTCGCGAAGCAATCCGAGAGCTATATGGCTCTCCCCCTCGATACTGACCTCCGTCCACGACTGCTTCATGGCCATCAGAACCTCGTTTCGAACCAAGTAGTCAGGGTGAATGGCAAGAGCCTATTGCAGCATGTTAGTACACATAAAGAGAAGCAGTTAAAGAGACCAAGTCCATACCGCTAGAGCTGCATGGCAAATCGCCGGCGATGGCGTAAGCTGAAGCTGTCGCATTTCAGCAAACAACTGTGCCAGCATCGCTGCTGAGCCTTGCACATCAGCCATGGCAGTCGCCAAGTGTTCGTACAAAACCGGTGTTAACTCGATATCGCGAGCTGTAACCAAGTGTGTGAGGATTCGTGCCACTTTTTTAAAACTCCTTTGTTGGCCACGTAGGACTTCTAAAGCTTCGTATATGGCGGACACAGGCGCCACTCGAAGCGCTGCGCTGGGATCGGGTTCGATATCGGCGGAGGGTTCATTGTACCGTCGATCTGCCTCAGCAAGGCCATCTCGTGGTGTGAGATTACCCCCAATACCATGACCATTCTCGCTTGAAGGGATTGCAGAGGATGCAGGCCCTCCTCCATATCGACGGCACTGGGTTCGAAGCACGTGGTGGCGCGTATCGACATGCGAGAAATGCTGTTTCGTTGGACGTTTTGGTCGGGGAAGAGCAGGTGAGCTCAATAGCCTCGAAGCTACATGAGCATCGACAGATGGGCATAGACAGCGCCACAAGCCGTCGAAAACCATTCGGGACCCCGACATGGAAGCTGGATTTGCGAATGATTAGGTTGCAACTAAGATCTGGAATCCAGCCAGAGCTTGGAGTTTTCGGAGCTTTCGTCACCGAGAATATCCCGGTCGACGCCAAATCACGTGACTGTACATGTGACATTTCTGGCGTGGTTTTTGGCTGAGCCGTGTTAAGTGTATATAGGCAGCATATAGAACGATGTATGATCTCATGGATATCTCTTTTTGTTTATCAAGTATGTATGATATTTCGTTCGGCATACTAGCCTTCGTAGGTTCGGCTAGAAGCCGGTGATGCTGTCCTCATAGGACTCCAACCCAGACTGACAGCCACATACCATGTTCCTCTAGCGCAAGACGCTCGATAATGAGTTCCAAGTGCAGAGACTGTCCCTTGAGCCGGTATTATTTTGGACCACTGTATGGTCCTGATGCACAATATCCCATTCTTGCAATCCTCGTGATCACAAGCCTATGTTTCATGATGATCCGCGGCCTCTTCCACGCCCGCCTCTCTGTCCTCTGCCACGGCCTCTATCTCCACCTCGGCCGCCGTGATCACCTCTCTGTTGTCCTCCTCTGCCTCCACGGAAACCTCCTTGCTGGTTCTGCTGGTTCTCCTTGACCAGGTCGATGATGTCGTCGGGAACTCGTAGGTACTTGATCTGCATATGGGTCAGTATCAAGCGCTCCAGTCTGAATGCCAATCCGAGTTCGTGGGCCGTACATTGTTTCCCTTCACATAAACTTCGGGTATCTTCACAAACTTATCGCCTTCCTACGCGCACGTTAGTCGCGATACATGTTATCAGGGTTGTTGAGGCGCTCGCGTACGGGACTCGTCTGTACAACTTCCTTCAACGTCAAGTTCATCCAAGTGTCGCACATGACCAGGTGGCCGTTGAGTGTTTCGCCATTCTTGAGCTCCACGAGCATGGGATGCCCTTGGGCAGCGTTCAAAAGACCGAGGGGTAACTGCGACAACGGGTAGCGTTAGCAACCATGCTAAGACGGCTTGACTTTCCAGAAAGGACGGCATCGGCGTCGCCTGCTGCTGTCGTATCAAGGAGGATGCGCGGTAACATACCATTTTGCAATCTGGGCTCGCAAGCTTGCCGTGAGAGAAGAAGCTGGAGCTTGCCGCGAGCAGTTTACGATTATGCGACCGTCTGGAATTAAGTGGGCCCTCTCGGTGAGCCAAGGTGTGCAGCAAGCGAATGCTGCACCACAAACCTTCATTGGATCGTGGTGCCCCTTACAAATGACGTAGCTGATTCGTTGAGTGGCTGACCTTTTGGAAATTCATCTTTAAGTCTTCAGTGGCGGTGCTACGCAGGCTGCGCAGATGACCATAAGAATATGGTTTGTACCTCACTTAGATTAATTAATATCTAGACGAAGACCTACTTGTATTGCATATCATCCATTAACATATACCCTTACTGGGAACATTGCACAAACCAAGGGGAAAAAAACCATTGACAATCCGACAAATGCTGTTTCCATTGCCACAAAAAGCAAAAGATATGACCAACGCGGGGCTCGAACCCGCAGCCTTCAGATTACTACACCACTCAAGAGCGGATAGAAGTCTGACGCGCTACCATTGCGCCAGCCGGCCAGGTTCGGGTTATCCAATTATTGATTGGATGCGTTGGCAAAATTGGATGCTTGAATACATAAGTAGGATATACAGTAACGATTTATTTCGCTTTTTGACTTCAAGCTTCTTCCCGAAAGCCCTGCTGCAGTCCTCATACACTGATTTCATCAGTGTCAAAATTTTCGGTCATGTCTTCTCATTTTATGAGTAACTATTTTAGCTATAAATCAATTTATCTATCTGCATGATTCTCTCTGAGTCTTTTTATCTCACAAGCGGATGTCTCGCGGTCGTCTGCTGTGTTTTAGGCTGCAGAAGGAGGAGTAGAAGCTACCCTGGGCCTTGATCACTATTTTTGTACGGCTAAAATCATCCGAGTCAGGCAGGTCGACGGATAAACTTACTATGAGAGGAATCGAAGCCACAAAGCTTCGTCCGCCTGCTACAGTGTATATAATCCACAGATTCATCATGGCCTTTGTAATCGCCGGAACAACGGCGGTTTTTTAGTTTATGAGAGGCTCTCAAATACAGCACTCCTCGCCTCTGCCATTAGATTCGAAACCTCCCATACCGAACGAAGCCTTTGGCAGTGCCATTCTGACTTTCTCAATGGCGGTATTTTGGAAAATATTGCCAGACATTGCCATAAAGATGATCATTTGAGGGAAGTCAAGTCAGAGGATGGTGTCCCATTGCACCTAAAAATTAGTTTTGCAAATTGTTACAGCCGCCGCAGCATTGACTATATCAGCGGACAAGACCATGTACTGAACGAGAACGAAGCTGGTATGCTGAAACAACTCCAATTGCCCTGGACTGGAGCTGGACTTGCTTACCAAGATGATACCAGAAGATAAAACACCTCAACTTACATATGTATGAGCACTGGGGACTCAAAAGGATGGGCAGGATTCAGCCTGTTGCCCTTGGTTATGGCCGGATGTTACAAATTCAATTTGTTCCATTAGCAGTACTACAGCAACCGTCCAGAAGGCGATCATGACGGAAAACTCCCAGGCGTATACCTTGCCACCGAAGCTGATGGCAGCAACCAAGCTGGAAGTCCTTGCAAGGAATGATGCTGTCATTAGCCAATGTATCATCCACAATACGTCGTCCCATATTCGATTCGGCCGAGGCGATGCTTGGAATGAGCAGTAGGCATGCCAGAGCAAACTCTACAACGACGGTTAGGTTGGTATAGAAGCCCTGCGGCACTGGCAACATTGATTCTTTACGGCTTCATGACCCGCGGAGGCTACCTATCAAGCTCCATGCTACAGAGCTAATAGCAAATGCGCCACCGACCTGCGAGGCTAGCTCAGCTTCGTAACTCACATCCATATATCGGGCGCAGGATCTATAACTAGGCAAAAATAGGGTAATTTTATCGCCATAAGCCCTAGAACGCTTCCGAATTCTCATATCATTGTGATTCCTGCCAGAGACGCCGGTCTCTTTTTCATGCTTATCAACATGGAGACGTAAGGGCTTATTCCTCAACTCCCTACTCGGCCATCACATGCCCAATTTTAAGAGCCACCATGTTTAGGTTGGCACTGAAATTGCGCTTAAGACTCCAAACAATAATATGTTGAAGAGATAGAGCCATTCTATGTTAAGAACGCCGTAGGCTTTACCCCGGGGCAAGGCAGCCAGGAAGCCAAGAGCGAAATTCATATTAACTTAAGGTAACGCTTAGATTCTGCCAGTAACGCGGATAATTGAAGACTTTATATTGGCTAACTTTGGATTGAGTGCATTTGGGAGTCAATCTTTAGTCTCCAACTTCTGCGACCAAGAAATCGCGATTATGCTGTTCAGAGCAAACAGAAACCTTGTCGGAAACATTGATGAGCATGCCACAGCTTACTTTGGGTTATTTCGGTAACATCAGCCGTTAATAAGCAAATGCAATGCCCCAATTGCACACCTTCCGTCTGTGAATCTGTCTTCGAGGATATGTTGACCGCTAAATTGAAAATCAGTGTTACTGTCAAACCCTCCTACCTGGTAAGATTCGTTACTCGAGCCATGCAATATGGGTTCTGTTGGAATAGCCGGAACTCCGGGTTGAAGTGGCTCCGTCGCTGTCGGTCTACCCGTCACGTGGGCAGCCCAGGTGCCGGCTATAAGACCGACAGGCATTTCCTGCAGCACTTCTGCTGGAACTTCTTCCTAGAAGAGATATAGACAGACTAGCCACAAGACAAGACTAGTTTCCCCATCAGTTATCCCACTTTACGGGTATCCTGTGATACCAACAGGTTCCATCCCCAGCCGTTCAAGACATCGTTACAAGACTTAACTACTATGGGCCAAATTGAAGCAAGTGCTACAATCGGACGTACAGATATTCGTTCTATAACGAGCGACTTGCTTGCCTCCAAGGTAGGTATGCGGAACATTAACTAACATTGTCATTCGTCACTCGCCCGTCCAGATGTGTAAATGCGTTCGCCCTTATCGACGGTGATACTTCCATTATTGGCCATCGAGCCGTCATGTGTGATTGTCCCTTTATCTCGGCGATCCATTTTCTTCCTTGTTGACCTTGGCTGGTCACCGATCATTTGCAGCACAAGGGTGGCGAGGCGAATGTAAAATAGCATTTAAGGGAAGGGCTCCTTCATCTCTAAATGTTCAGCTTCGATCTCACATACGCCATCGACGCATGTCAATATCTTCTTGGATCCTCCATGGTTCTTAGGGCATTGGACAGAATCTATAGCGATCGCGACTGTGTTATGGTTATTCTTAGCAGGCCCTGCTGTGCCTCAACGTCAACTCCCGCGGCCCATGCTCTACACTCACCTGATCTCGAGCTTCCAGCAGTAATTTCGATCCTCGGCCATCCAAGTACATTGCAGCTGACAAACCAGCGAATCCACTCCAATAGTTACTCTATGACATCTGTGGCGAAGCTGGCGAGCTGATGCCCACAGGCCCCGTTATTAGGCCAGGTTCGACTGCCGTATTCTTCCCCCAATCGACTACTTTTGAGATGTTTTGCGAGCACTGAATTACACTTGAGTATCCAAAAGATCAAGCTAGCGGAGGAAGTATTTTGAGTATTGGGCGACAGCAAATGTTGATAGAGGGAGATCAATGGAATGTACATGAGGAGCTGAATAGGAAAGTTCGTAGTAGAATGCGGCTTTTGGATTCATGTGACTTCAGTCGCTTTGTGCTATATACTTTTATCCCTCTTGGCGATTGTCTGAACTTCCTGAATATTTAGAGCAATGACATCAATAGCAACGCAGAGAAAGGCGTCATCTTTCATGACAGCGGACTTTGCCGACCCGAATGTCCATTATACTACCGGCAGGCACCCGAAACTATCGAGTTATGTGATTGGCCTTTGGGCATAGTACGATGGACATTCCTAGACCGTATCTCGTCTGTGAAGTGGCTTTCTCACGATCTGGTCAACTTAAAAGTGCTGCACTTTAGCCTTTATGCAAGTCTCCACTCAGGGGGTCTGACGGCGTCGGTCTCAGAGGCACCGTCCCTCTTCCACTCAGGGGGCCTGACGGCGTCGGTCTCAGAGGCACCGTCCCTCTTCCACTCAGGGGGCCTGACGGCGTCGGTCTCAGAGGCACCGTCCCTCTTCCACTCAGGGGGCCTGACGGCGTCGGTCTCAGAGGCACCGTCCCTCTTCCACTCAGGGGGCCTAACAGCGTCGGTCTCAGAGGCACCGTCCCTCTTCCACTCAGGGGGTCTGACGGCGTCGGTCTCAGAGGTACCGTCCCTCTTCCACTCAGGGGGCCTGACGGCGTCGGTCTCAGAGGCACCGTCCCTCTTCCACTCAGGGGGCCTAACAGCGTCGGTCTCAGAGGCACCGTCCCTCTTCCACTCAGGGGGCCTGACGGCGTCGGTCTCAGAGGCACCGTCCCTCTTCCACTCAGGGGGCCTAACAGCGTCGGTCTCAGAGGCACCGTCCCTCTTCCACTCAGGGGGTCTGACGGCGTCGGTCTCAGAGGTACCGTCCCTCTTCCACTCAGGGGGCCTGACGGCGTCGGTCTCAGAGGTACCGTCCCTCTTCCACTCAGGGGGCCTGACGGCGTCGGTCTCAGAGGCACCGTCCCTCTTCCACTCAGGGGGCCTGACGGCGTCGGTCTCAGAGGCACCGTCCCTCTTCCACTCAGGGGGCCTAACAGCGTCGGTCTCAGAGGCACCGTCCCTCTTCCACTCAGGGGGTCTGACGGCGTCGGTCTCAGAGGTACCGTCCCTCTTCCACTCAGGGGGCCTGACAGCGTCAGGGATTTCTTCTCTCATATTTACAGCTTTGCCTACAGAGAGCTAATATATGCGTATTAGTAAGAAGCCAGTGAGTTTCCATAGGTTGCTCTATATTTATTATAGGAAACGCACCGGTGCAGCTGTACCCAATGCAATAGCAAGGGACAAGGCGAGGAAGTGAGATTTCATGGTGAATGTTGATTTTGCGAACTAGTGTTGAGTTGAGCGAATGATCCTGAGAATGGTTTATAGTCTTTACAATCGGTGTTCTACATAGGTGTATTTATAATCTAGCCCTATTCACTGCCATTCCTGTTCAAAACCAAGCCCTTCGTCATTGCAATGGAAAAGGCCGGAATTCCGCAAACAGGCTTACTCAGTGCCCTTGATAAATGTTCCACTATAAATGATTACTTTCTTATCAAGCACTTTAGCGTTTTTCTTGCTAAGGATTTGCAATCAGTGATAATGGAGGAGCTTACTCAGCTCCGGCGGAGATTGAGTGTACGGTGGACACTGTTTTGATGCCTAGAAAAGCGAGACATCGAGCTTTCTAGCCACCTGCTATCGGTCAGCGGTTATAAATGCATATTATTTGACCAATTTTGGGCAGCTGCTCCTTTACCAAGCAACATGACAATCATGGAAGTCACTGGTTTTCTCGCAAGGTAGAGATACCGTCAAAGCATGGAGTTAGGCATTCTTGGTATGACTGTGATATTAGACTGCTACAGCAGACTATGGCAGTACTTGGTAGACTTGCAAACGTGGCTAGTATCCAGAGCGACAAGTGCGACATGAGTGATAGCCACAGCAACCAAAGCAAAGCGTAAAATGGTGAATTCGCAGCGTGTATGGCACCTCTAGCGGACTCTTTAGATGGTTAAGGATGTCTTGTTGAAGTGTTTGTCAAATTTTCCAGTTATTCTGTGGTCCTGTGAGGATTGTTTCTAATTCAATTGTCCTTCGTTACCTGTTGGTTATCCGCGAAGTGCCTAATCAACCTTGGGCCGCAACATTTTCGGTTTTCTAATCCTGCAAATAGATATTAGTAGTTATATGTATATCGCTAAGCTTTATCTCTTCATCGTGCTTCATCCTGGATCATCCAGGTCGCGCGATCTTAAGGCGACAGGTGATCGGACGACACTTGAGTCAACAATGGCAAATGAAATTGGACATTCCACAATAGATCCTGCTCTTTAGCAAGATGAGCACAGGTCAATGTCAGCATGTTGCACTAGCGTTAAAAAAGCACTGAATTCTGAAAAAGGAAGTCGATGGTCTGCCAGACATTACTTTGACGTTGCCAAACCTAGGCATTTCAAATGGGTGGATACGCATTCATCTGTGGAAAACATATGTATTTGGGGTGAGCTTCATCCTTCTTAGGTAGCGGAAATGAATACAATGACGGGAAGTAAATAGCCAAGTAAACTTTGAATGTTATTCAAGATTTTGTAGGTTGTATGTCGTGAGTGTTACTGCCTGAAACTGATGTTTAAGTGACACCAGAGTCCCTCAACCCATCAATTTCCTTCGAGCGACAGTGATATGAAATTAATGCGTCTAAATAAGGTAGCAACAATAACATCAGAAGATGTGCCAAACTTCTCAGTAGCTTAATTCTTACCAATAAGTGCTGCGTTGGTTGGGAATTCTAAATTGTCTCTTACTTTTATTCACTGCTCGGATTGAATTAGTACAATATGTTGAATGAAATCAGATGATATCAATACCTTTTAACGTTTTGTTTGGATGCAAGACGAGCCTTGACAAGACTAAATTATATCCATATGGATGCTCACGACCGGGTCATCGCATTAGATATTTCAAGGGTAAGCTTCGACCAGAGTCAGAAAAGTCTATTGAACGGGTCTAATATAATTGTAAGTGGCCGCCGGAGATTCTCAATGATCTCTATGGAGTCTATATTGCACGATTGACTTACCACCTGCGTTTGAAAGAGTCAGGGACATAACCGATAGTGATTATGAATGTTTGTTAGGGATCACGGCGGTTCTTTGCAGCCTGTGTCCCATACATTAGTATAGAATAAATGAATAAACAACCGATTATATCACGGTTTGCAACATATTTTGCGTCATTACATTCATGTGCTAATTATAATAACTGTAGCTGCAGATCAGGTAGTGGGGGCGGGCAGTGCTTGGTCAGCCAAGACAGCCCAAGCTGAGCAATTTGACGCTCACAGCAACTACTTTGTATTATCTTGTGTAGCGCGATTATGCCCATAGTCTACTTTCCTTGCCAGGAAGTTCAGCGAGGTCCATTATTGTCTTCATATCTGTCGAACTCCGTCGTTAAGTATCTCATCCTTGTGTTGTTGTATGTAGTTGTCTGAGCATTAGCGTCGTCCATTATTCAGCAATTTGTTTTACTTGTTCTCGGTAATCAACATTCACCACAGAATTACTCGATTTGATTCACATGGCTTGCAGCTTCATCTTCATCAGCTATAATTTTGTGGCCGCAGTATCATTCATCAAAACCCACGGAGGCGTAGTGTTGTCCTTATGCCCGACGAGTGTCTTTTCTTTGTGCCTTTACACGGCCCGAGGAAGCTGATGAAACGTCTATCAAGGATAGACAAACACCATCTTGTTATCACTTTACTTTTACGACCAAAATCAAATCTCGCAGTCTACAATAACCTGCAATCCCTCAACACCAACTTCACACATAACTCAATAAAATACTCAATCTACTGTTGTCAAGTTTGTCATCATGCACTTCTCTATGATCAGTCTGTCACTTTCGCTGCTACCGTGCAGTAAGCAGTGACTTCAGAAGTAAGAATACCTACCACGATGCCTTGCAACATTTCCCTGACAAGTTTGACAGTGCCAACTCAAGTGGACCAAAGCAGATTGCTGCTGGAGAGGCTCAGATGGAAAAGACGCTTGCCTAGGGCAAATGAACGGTGGATTTGTCTTGAGAAGAGAGAGCGAGGCCAGTAACTTCTGCACGAAGGTGTTCATCAAAGGCACGCATAGGCCAGTCTGCGAAACTTGTCTAAGTAGAGACACAAATCGAATCTCAATGCGAGGAACTGACCTATACAGGGCGCTGACTGTTGCGACACGAGCACTGGCTGGGTAATTGTTTGCCCAAAGGACTTGCGAAAAGGCTCGGCGGCCTCCACATGGTGTATGTTCACTGACCTCATTCTCTGCTATAATCTCGAGTCTTAAGGTCTTAAGCTGTGAAAGATTCATTACTACAAGGCAACCCAGTTCGTGGCAATTATTCAAAGTAGAATGGTCAGTAAAGTTCTTTTGTTATATAATTCCTGGCCAATGCTTGTGCTTGTTGACAAACACGGTCTGACGATCGGGTGTGTAGCTGTTGATATCATTGGGATTACCCATACGAGTGTAAGGAAAAGGATTCTTCAAGGTATGGCATTCATGTTGTCTTTTGATAGGAAAAGGAGTAATGTAAGTATTTCCCAAAATCTTTTGATAGACTAATCCATGGCCGGATCTGCGATTTACAGTCCTCCTTGTACAATTCCTTGCTCGTTGACACGGACGTGTAAAACGAAGACCAGAAAATAGTAGAAATACTGATGCGGTACACTCATGAAGCTGTGTCATTTCCTTTGACGAAGTATTATTTTCCTTTTGTGACGTCTTTTGGTACACGTTTACCCTGCTCGCTGCCTTAGGAAAAAATGAATAATAATGAATAAGTTGCTGATAAGTCAAGCTTTGCAGGTCATAACGTCTTGTCTGTGAAAGAAGCTTTAAAAGAGGTTAGTATGTAATGAGAGACTAATCACTAGAGGGACAAATTATATCAGTCGTGTATTTATGAAGATAAGAGGAAATAGGTAGGGTCTAAATCCCACAACTGGCCAATTCCTTACCCCCGTGTGCCGTGCCATTTAATCTACCTTTAGCGAGAGCCTTATCCGGCTTTAAAATGGACCTAATATGGAAGTACGGCTCAATTCCAAGAGTGAAGCGGTGATCGTGGTGAAATAAGGCTAGCGGATGGAATGACGAAATCGCAAGACCCGATTGCGACAGTTGTGATTGTTGTGCTTGTATCCATAACGTGGCTCTGGAATTCACCCGGTTGGTTAGTTGTGGGACAGTGCCGGGCCGGGACTCCACTTCGGTTCTTACTGGGCCACGGCATTGACCGTTGAGATCAGAGTGGGCTCGGCTCAGGGCCCTTTTTGAGATAGCATTCTGGAGTCATAGCTATAGCAGCAAAAATAGTTGAAAACAATTGGGCTGGGAGGCTGGAGCGATGATGTGCTCCTCTGTCATGGCTACCTTAATTCACGCACGACTTGCAAAATCCTTTAAATGCCCAGGCACTTGGGCAAATCGGAAATGTGCTGCAACTTCATCTCCTGCATTGTACACATTCTTAAGCCTTCTGGGTAGTGTGTAAGAGAGATTCCATAATACTATGTTGTCAAAACCTAGCCTGTCGGCGTTGGCAACACTGGCGCTTGGTGCCTGTTTTGTCATTGCCGAGAGCATACAGAATCGTCAGCCCAATATTGTCTTTATTTTAACCGACGACCAAGATGAGCAACTCGGTTCCATTGACTACATGCCATTTGTTCAAAAGCACTTCGTGAAAGAGGGGACATACTACCGCAAGCACTTTTGCACGATTGCAATCTGCTGCCCCTCCCGTGTCAGTCTGTTGACGGGGCAAGCCGCGCACAACACCAATGTTACTTACGTTACTCCGCCCCACGGTAGGCAATTCCTTCTCAGAACTCGGTCTGTTCATATGAAAAAGTTACTGAAACTTCTTACTTGTGAAGGTGGATACCCTAAGTTTGTTTCTCAAGGCTACAATGAGAAGTATCTCCCAGTGTGGCTGCAAGAGGCCGGCTATGACACATACTACACTGGCAAGCTCTTCAATGCCCATAACACAGACAACTGGAACAACCCACATCCAAAGGGATGGACTGGAAGTGACTGTAAGTTAAAGACCACATCTTCAAATTTCCGGGCTTCGTTAAACGTCATATTTCAGTCCTCCTCGACCCCAACACCTACATGTACTTGAATGCAACATTCCAGAGAAATCAAAGCCCTCCCAAGACCTATCCCGGAGAGTACAGCAATGACTTGGTAGCTGAAAGAGCTCTGGGATTCTTGGAAGATGCTCTCAAAGTTAATGGCAGCAAGCCGTTCTTCCTGGGAGTTGCGCCCATTGGCCCTCACAACAATGGTCTTGGCGGAGAGACAAGTCCAGGTGCCACACCACCGATTCCGGCAAAGAGACATGAACATCTCTTTGCCAATGTTACAGTGCCTCGAACCTATAACTTCAACCCGGAAAAGGTGAAATATTTTCTGTACCAATCACGTTAGTCTTTCCATAAACGCTAACATAAGCAACAGCCTAGCATGGCCAACTGGGGTCTGACAATTCCTCAACTCAACGCTTCTGAGATTGCCTACGGTGACAATTATTACCGCCGCCGTCTCCAGACTCTGCAGTCCGTTGATGAAATGGTTGACGCTATCTTCAAACACCTCGAAAAAGCCGGTATCCTGGACAACACATATGTCATCTTCACCTCTGACAACGGATTTCACATCGGTCAACATCGTCTCAAGCCAGGAAAAACTTGCGCAATTGAGGAAGACATCAACGTTCCCTTCCTTATTCGCGGCCCCGGCGTGCCTAAGGGAAAGACTGTTGATTTCGTCACCACCCACACTGATATTGCCCCGACAATTTTCTCAATTGCGAACATTACGTTGCGTGAAGACTTTGACGGATCCCCCATCCCCTTTTTGGAGGAAGGAATTGTGAAGGCTCAAAAGGACCCTAAGCATGACCATGTCAATGTCGAGTTCTGGGGAACCCAGCGAGGCTATGATGTCTTCGGTGGAGGTAAGCAGATCATTGCCATTAGAAACGAACTTTACTAACTGCTAGGTGCAAAGTCTCGGCAAACAATACATACAAGACCATGCGTGTTCTTGGAGATGGCTATAGTCTGTTTTACTCCGTGTGGTGCAGCAACGAGAGAGAGTTTTATGACATGAAGGTAGGCATTTGGATCGATCAATTACCCCGAATGGTAACTAACTCCAACAACAGAAAGATCCAGGTCAGATGGACAACTTGGCCGACAGCGCCACCGGCCAGCTTCTGAAGCGACCCCTTTCGGCTGTTCAGGACCGTCTGGATGCTCTACTCCTGGTTCTCAAAAGCTGCAAGGCAGAGAGTTGTAGGCTCCCCTGGAAACAAATACACCCAGACGGTGGTGTGAACAACCTTCGAGACGCATTGAATGTAAAGTACGACGATTTCTATGCTGGGCAGCCTAAGATCTCCTTTTCGGATTGCAAGGACTTTTACGACATTGCCTCTGAGGGACCCCAAGACACGCTGGTTTACTACGACCCGTGAGTTCTAATCTGAAGTATTGTATGAAGCAATTACGAATAATGAGTGGGATATAGAAAGTACAAGACAACAACAGGCTATTCACAGCTCTTAGAATTCGAAGAATTATGAATATCCCGATGAACTTCGGACAATGAGATAGCAGTCATCCAAAAAATCTTTTGAAATCCTAAACCGCCTTGAGCAGTATAATAATCACCTATCACTAAATATGCACTGAGGATAAGACAGATACTGAGCACAAAGTTCTGTTACTAATTGCTTGTCATAAATAAGCTGTAAGAGCTTTGCTACTTTTGAGGTTGGACTCCTAGCTCTAGCGAGTCCTCAGTTGACATGTTTGGTTGTCGTTGGTAGCGCTCTTTACTCTGCTTTTTAGACTCCAGGTCGCCAACATACCAAACTAGACAGATCCCCATTACGGCAATCATTAGGAGCGTATCAAAGATATAGAGAAATACCTCATGGCTGACGAGAAAACCACCATTCCCCTCCATGTATTCGACAATGCGGAATATGCTCCGCACAAGAATGATGCCGCTCGTACTATACAACACGTATAAGTGACGCTGCCAGGGCAGAGCACCCTGGAGAGTTATTTCAGTCGGCGTGCTAAGTATGCGGCGATGAAAGAGCACAGTCGTGCAGACGAAAAATCCAAAAATGAGTACTTGGACGAAAAGACCGGCAATGACGACCTTCTCACCTATTTTGAATAGTTTAAAGCTTGACATAGCCATGCTGCCGCCGCTGGCCTGAATGGAGAAGGCGGCAATGTCACCTCCAACAAAGATACGAGTGACCCATTCAACTCGTATAAGGGAGAGATGCTCAGCATGGCAAGTGCGAATAAGGCGACCGAGGATCATATAGATAGAGGCAGCATACAGCGCAGGCGCGAGTAGGATGTAAGCGTTCTGCATTGCGAAGGGCAGTACGTTTTCCTTGTTGAAGTGACTCCATATGCGGAATCCGTAACCGACTAGTTGAACTGCCAAAGTAGAAGGATGTGTTAGATTTGATTTCCTCTGACTGGCGTTGCTTCGGTTGGAGATAGGGAGTAAGGAATAAGAGAAGTAAAGTAGGCAATGTCACTTACAAACGCCGCCGATTGTAAAGGCTATAAAATAACGTGCGCGATTATGTATCAAGCGCCAAAGATGCAATGACGTTAGAATGGCAAAAATGGAGAAGGCCACGATGGCACCAGGTAGAGTTGGTGTGTAATGGTATAGCACATAAACAAACTTTTCGTCATTTTCCGTAGAGGTCGTCATGTTGCAAATATCAACGATGTCGCGGTGAATACTTAAGCTTAAGCAAAGCTCGTATTTGTGAGTTTCGTATGTATATATGCGAGTGAAAATAAAACAAAAATATTTTTCAGTTTCAGAAACGGATTCGTAGGCTTGGTGTTTTGTAATATTATGGTCTATGTTATGATCCGGGTGAGAAGAGCGAAAGAACCAAAAGATCACCAGAGATTGTCACCAATGTTTATACTCATCATGAAGAGCACTTGTGGGGATTGTTGGTACAGTTGTGGCGCAGTGGAATTGGTCTAGTCGGGAGTTTTGCGTAGTTTCCTCCCGTGGGTTTGAATTTACACCGGAGTAAAGCAGATGTCCGAATCATGATCCAGCTAGACATTAGAGGTACAAAATCTTAGTCCTCACAGCCTAAGTATCCATCTAACAGCAGACATGGTGTCTAGTTTCCATCACGTACCAGTGAAGGTGTAAATGTGACGAGATAAGAGCCATTGGAAGTCGCTCCACTATTTCTTAGTTAGGGAGAGAGAATGGGCGAGTGATGAATATTGGAATAGATTGCGGTCACTGAAAAAGTCATCAACAATTAAATCCCACCAGTTCGGACAAGCCCTTGTACACGCGGGATTGCCGCGTGTTCGGGTCTCTACGTAGTAGTAGATCTCGCAAGTTCATAAGCTAGGCCTCCACATAGCGGGCACTCAGCCGGGTTTCCCCACGACAAGAGAATACCAATCCGAGGGTTAGTCAATATGACCCGAATACGCGGAATTTGCTTCTTTCCTCGGATTCACGCCACAGCCCCACACAGGTTTGATAGTAGTTCTGCCCAGACCAACGACAAAGCCTCAATCGAAACGTAACGTTTGTGAATTGCCGGTGCTCCCAAGCCACGCTCACAAGGGAACAACCAGCTGCCCAAATAATTAGTGGCAAGAGATGCGGATCTAGATTAAGTAGCTTGCTCGCCAAGGCCAGGTGTCTGCTGCTGGCCAATGACCATGGTGTGCTCTGTATGAAAGGGAGTGGCTCATCTCCAAATTATGGGGAAGTATCTGGGGTACATCCGCCAAATTGTGATTAGTTTACAGAGCAAGAACATCTAGTAGAGCAAGATGATCTACAAGCTATATATTGGAAGGTTTCCCGTCCCCAATGTGGTATTGGTATGGTAGGACGAACATCGACAATTACCTTACGCTATATCGACGACCTGATCCCGTAACATAATTCTCGGATGCAATGAATAAGAAATATTACAGTCTGCTGCTGCTATTTTGCAATGCGACCACAGCTGTTCTAGGCCATATCCTGGAGGATTTCCAATCACCGTCAGCCGACTACCGACCCAAGTTTCGTTATTGGTGAGTACAATCTACAGTCGCCGAAGTTTAAATCCGCCATCCAAACTGGTGCGCCCTGGAAATCTAACATTACTCTGTGTGGTAGGTTGCCCGATGCGGAGGTTGATATTGAATCAGTGGTGAAAGATGTCGGGGAGATCGCAGCCGTTGGCAGCGGAGGCCTTGAATTTCTCCCGTATTATCAGTTTCGATCACCCTCTGCCAATTGGTCTGAGTATGGCTACGGCTCTGCTGCCTCTAGTGCTGTGTTGAGGGCCACCATGAAGGCTGCCGATGAGCATGGAATTCTACTGGATTTCGCCATTGGCGCAAACCAAGGCCAAGGTGTTCCTGCAGATCCGGAAAGCGTAGGCCTGGCTCTAGAACTGGTGTGTAGATCCCCTTTCCATAACCCAACTCTGCACTTGCTAAATCAATCAAATATTAGGCGTACAGTAATGTAACGATCGAACCCGGCCGATCCTTCAATGGTACACTGCCACTATCGACACAACCTGGTGACCCGGCTCTTCTCTACTTCATGCACCCCTTGGAAGAGTTCGGTAGACAGAATCTGTCTGCGGTATTGGCGACCGAGATTATTGATGACGCCCTTTCTGTGGCTGGCGTTGTCACAATTGGCCGAGTCATTGACTTATCAAATGAGGTTGACTTGCAGACGAGATCTTTATCGTGGACCCCCCCGGATGAACAAAATCCGTGGCGCCTAATCGCGTGGTACGAACGGTACACCAACCAACGATCCATTGATGCGGCGCCCGATGCCGTAGACTTCATCCAGAACGGGTCATGGGTTATTGACCACTTCAGTGCCGCGGGGGCGGAAAAGCTTACAAAGTTCTTTGACGACTACCTGATACCTGAAGACCAAGACAAAGCTTTGCTGTCACGAGTTGGCAAGTACGGTGAGTAAAACTATTGCATGATGAATGCTTCCAATGTTTTTCATTAGCAAAGGAGAAACTAACTACTCCTATAGCTTGGGAAGACAGTATGGAAATGCAATCAGCGCTCTGGTGGACACATGGGTTTGCTGAGAAGTTTTCTAATGATCACGGATACGATATTCGTCAGTGTTTACCGTTCCTGATTCGCAGAGATACGTTCTGGGCAGCCAGTACCTTGCCTTACGGAGAGTCCTTTGTGTCCAAGAACGTGACGTATGCTGAGCGCTGCAACGACGACTACCGTATCACTCTACAAAGCGGTTACGAAGAATATATAAGAGCCAACGCTGAATGGGCTCGCTCGAAGGGTCTTGAGTACTCCAACCAACCAGCATACAATCTGCCGCTCAATATGGTTAGTTTTCATCCATCATAAGCTTTCCCAAACTAACTATCTGGCCAGCTTGATTCCATCAGATTGGTCGATGGCCCCGAGGGGGAGTCATTAGGATTCAATGACAACCCTGATTTGTATCGGCACTTAGCAGGTCCCGCTCATATGGCTGGAAACCCTGTTGTCTCATCGGAATGCGGAGCTATCCAAGGGGCAGGATACACACAAACCATCCAGGACCTACTCTGGCATGTGCGTCGTGGTATGGCAACCGGTATTACGATGAACGTCTTTCATGGCTATTCATACTCAGGGACATTCTTCAACACAACCTGGCCTGGTTACACAGTCTTCGCCTATACCTTTACTGATATGTGGGGACCAAGGCAGCCTTCTTGGATGCATCTGAACGATACCATTGCCTACATCTCTAGAAACCAGTTCATCAGCCAAACAGGCACACCAAAAGTGGACATTGCGTTCTACCAATATGCAGCACCATTTAGAAAAGCGGTCTACGAAAGCAACAACCTTGAACGCCTAGGCTTCACATACGACTACCTCGGCCCTCGAAGCATTTCTGAGGATGCTGCTGTGGTGAAGGGTGGCTTGTTAGCTCTTGATGGACCCGCTTATAAAGCCCTTGTTTTCGCCAACCAAACCAAAATGACACTCGATGTGGCTAAGAAAGTCCAAGTATTCGCTAAGGCTGGTTTGCCGATTTTCATCATTGGGCCGACAGACTTCCACAGCGCTGGCATGAATGCTGAAGAATCGGCTCTCGTCTCAAACATCATGAACAACGTTCTTGCTGTTGAAGGCAGTGTAGTTGTTCTTTCTTCGGCAGAAGAACTTCCGGCAGCGCTCGCCACCAGGCAAATCAATCCGAGAACCGCTCTCACCCACCAAAACGCTGGTTCAAGATGGTATTCGTTCTGGCGGAGCTCGTCGGAGGCTGAAATAGTCTTTCTGTACAACGACGGCACTGTTACAGAAACTTTCGAGGCTGAGTTTGAGAATGTTGCTGGAATGGTGCCCTTCATTCTCGACGCTTGGACTGGCACCACATCACCTCTCCTACAATACACCAACGCCAACGACAAGATTGTGGCCCCAATCACACTGGCACCAAATCAGACCACTATTATCGCTTTTGCCAAGTATGGCGCTCTTCAATCATCAAGAGGCATTTTCCCCCGCCCATTGTGCACTGTGGTTTCAGCCATTTCTGGTCATGTCACCGGCTTAGTTTACTCAGAGAGAGTTGGCAACGGGAGCAAAATCCTTGCTTACCTTTCTCAAGGTCAATCAACAGTAACGCTATCAAACGGCAAAGTCCGCGATTTCGAAGCATCTCCCCCTGACGCGCTGCCCCTTGAATCCTGGGACATCACTGTCAATGACTGGCAAAGTGATGCTGATAGGTACAGCATGAAAACCGTAATTACTCAACACAGCTTTAAAAACAGCTCTTTGATTCCTTGGAAGGATTTGGACCCGATAAACCTGAGAGACACAAGCGGAACAGCGGATTATCGAACTACATTCAGCACGCCATTAACAGTTGCAGACCAAAAGTTGGGGGCTCGTCTGCATTTAGGTCCTATTGTGGACTCCCCTCGTCTCTGGGTCAACGGCGCTAGACTTTCCATTGATCTGACAAGCGCGGACGATATTGTGGTTGATATTACAAACCATTTGGCTCCTAGTATGCGCAATGAGATACGCATTGAGGTAGCCTCTACATTATACAACCGGGTTCGAGCTGAGCAGGATTCCATTTGGACGTTTGGATCTGCTGCATCGGTAGCAGGTGCATCATACTACGATGCAAACCCGTCGAAGCCTCATGGGCTTGTTGGGCCTGCTTTCGTGGAATGGGTTGAGGTTGTTGGCATAGCGTAGGCTTTAACCTGAGTCTGTTTAAGTTATGTCAGATATTTAACGTGTTTCATGGACGAGAGTAATGGGCAAGTCATAATGACGCTTAGTACAAATAGCTCTTCTCAAGTCAAAAAAAGATGATGCATTGGGTAAATGATGCCCCAACTGTACAGATTGCACAGCCGTTTATGAAACAATTAGACAATTATAACCAAAGTAGCAATGAGTTCTATTCCAGTTAGGTATACAAACTCAGCCACAAGGTAGAAATTGATAGGGGCGATAGAAAAATGTTAGATCTCTTGAGAAACAGTCCCTTTCCTAGTGCCAGTTCCAACGAGGCGAGCACTAATTTATAACACGTTCTAGAAGCCAAGTATAGCGCGATTCAAAGTGACATTTTTGTTACGTAGCACGTCCATCAATCGATAGCACCATGTGAAGTTTCTAACTGGGCGACCGTTAACCGTATTTACACAATGCTATAAAGTCCTATCTGACTCCTCAGTATTTGCACTAACCCAAGTACGAGCCCGCGTAAACTGTAGCCCCTCCTCAAGTTCCCCTGCCATCTGGATAGGATTCAATCCAACCCCGACGAGCAGATCAACGAGATTGCCATAGTGTCGAAAGACGTAGTAGGGCATGTATTCATCAGCCGAGCACAGTCGGCGCTGGGAGACGAACATCCAGTCGGACGGGCCGCTGTTGTAAAAGAAGTCGCCTACCGCCTTGATGGGAATGGTGTGAAGCGGGTCGCTTTGAGTGCCCCTGATGGTGAGCCTTCCCTTGCCGGAGGCTCGGACGTTGTTACTGTCGACAACTTTGAGGGCAATCAAGTTAGGATCGGCGTCAAGTCCCGTGCCTTGCGCATTCGGAAAAGCTTTGACCTCAAAGTCAAACCACTCGACCTGCTCAGGCTCGAGGGGCGTGGTGAAGTCTGCTTCGATCTCTATGAGCCTTACCCCAAGCCTCTCTGCGAAGGCCGACTTAAGTGTTCCACAGCTGTGCAGCCGAGCTTTCCCATCCCTCTTGACCTCGCCCCAGGTTTCTCTCCCCCACGTAATGGCTGCTGACTCGCTCACGATGAGGTGCAGCACCCAATATCCTTCGACGCCGTCACATCGACAACGCACCGAGATGGAAGAGAGCTCAAAGCTGCCGCAGACGTTACTTTGACACAGCGAAACACTAATCAAGCCCGTCGGTTTGTCTGCCGGCTCCAAGGTTGGGGGGAGCACGGAGCTGATGAATTCCGTCGTCGTTGTAAACTCGACACCGATAGCGTCTTGTGAGTAGCTTGGGTTTGCACAGCGTTGCTTGAAAGCGGCGATTTGGTCTGAGCTGGCAATGAAAGACATTGTGGAAGGGAACTGAGGTTGGTGATTCAAACTAGGTACCTTAGGATTTTGGTTATCTTCAAGTCGATGATGCTCCAAGTTGGGCTCTTCACTTACTCACGCAGTCATGGGCCGTAGAGACCAGATGGAATACCACCCGTGAAATCTAATGGATGGTATCATTCTTTGCGCATTTCCACGAGAAGTGGGAATCTTGATTCCGGCGGCTTCCTGGGGCAGGAGCAAGCGGCCCTATAATGAGGAGACTATCAACTAGCGGCCGTCCTTATAGGATGACCACTTTAGGCTTAGTGCTAAGATGTAACTTGCCCCTAGTGACCCCACTTGCTCCGCCCCCACCACCCCCACTCATTCTGGACTACAAGACGTCCTACGGAACATAACAGCACTTGGTTCCCCTGCATCATGCCACTGCACACAGAGACGGACCATTGAGACGTTGGTGACTGATCGAAAGTAACGCGCAATGAAGAGCCACAGAATCAGGGCACGGGGGACGCGCTCGCGCAATGGCTGTTCCCAATGTGTCAAGGTCAGCCGCAAGTGTGACGAGGTACGCCCCAAGTGCGGCAGATGCATACGGCTCGGTATGCCGTGCGACTTCAACCCGAGACTGATATGGAAGCTCGTCAATCCCTCGGCCTCCGGATACCTTCCGCAATCCCCTCCCCAGTTCTCAGTCACGTGTGGCTGTCCTGGAATGCGAACCGATGAACAGTTGCTCCAGCTATGTAAGTGTCATGGACCTCGCGGCTCTCCATGTGCTCACTCCTTCTTAAGTCAAGACAGAAGGTCATACATATCTGCAGTGGAACAATGATTACCACGTAGAACTTCTGCAGTTACTGATGGATGGATATCGTTCACACTCCGTCATCCGTGATGCCGTTAATGCTCAGATGGCATTATCAGGCGGTTGCTGCCGCGTTTCTGTTCTGTCCATTTTCGAGCATGCCATAACTGAAACGAAGAAGTATTTTGAGCAAGCAAATCTCATGGTTGACCCAAGGACTGCGGTCGTCTCCATGCTAATCGTGTCTCAAGTCTCGGTACGGCTAGATCCAGGCGCGTGCCCTCATGGCCGCCACCATTCTGAGCTACGCTGCTAATAAGTCATCCCACAGATGCGAGCCGGGTACGCCTGGACTCGGCAGGTTGAGCAGATGTTGGCGCTTGTGCTTGGAACAAATGACCATAATCTCTCGAAAGGTTTCCTGCCGTTGGAACAGCACCGGATGCTTGAGGTTCTCGGCGGTATCGAGATGGATGCGTGGATAGTTGGCCGGCAGTCGAAACCAATGCACATATGGGCTACGTATTGCCGTGGGCGCCAGGGTATAGAGCCTGTCACGGGACTCCCGCGACCGCTCATAGACCTCATATCGCAAGTGGGACGACACGAGGATGTGAAAGAGGAGCTGGGGCTCTTTATCGCAGCGTTGCCAAACATACGTTCCCCTGCCGTTAAGCACTGGCACTGCTTTGCTGTCGCCTCTTTGTTGACATTGCAACAGTCGCGAAAAAAAAGCCTCACGTCACACGACGTGCAAGTGATTCGAGAGATGGAAAACGAGCTTGCAAATCTTATACGGGAGTTGTACTCGGATCTGGGGCCTATCAACGCCTCCGCACTGGCTTGGCCTTCGTTCTGTTTAGGCCGACAGTCGCGATCCCGGAAGAACCTTGAGTTGGTAGAAGAAGTATTAGGGCGCGCGGTTCCAAGGGTAGGTACTAGTGGGTCTTGGGGCCACGGAGGTACGCCCATAGGCGCTATGTACAGACAGTGGCGATCGGATGGGGTGGATTTTCCCCCGCCTCGGGGACCAGGTCCATGTCTACAGAGGGGATTGGAATTGGTGGATCAGTCGTTCGAAGTAGGCCTCTGGTAGAATGGCCTGCTTGCATGTCAGTCTGTGCTGCTTCTTCTCTCCGCTCTTACACTTTCGCTTTCCGCGGCCTGCCGATCATGAGAGCCAATTCAGTCCTTATGGAATCTCCATATACGGCATGGCTTGATGCATGATGGAAAGTGGCCAAACCGCATAAAAAGGCGATTGTTGTGAGATATGGCAAACTTGCGTCCAGTTCTATGAATGCTTACTCTGGACTTCTCAGAAACACACGCATTACTTGAAGCTAGAAGCTTCGTCTTTGTCTTCAATCACGCCTCCTTCCTTTACTCTGCAATGTTTTCGGAAGAAAAGCGGCAGGTAGTCCGGTCGCCAAACCTCGCCGATTATGCCTGGTCGCGCCCTCACGGCTTGATCGAGCGCCCTGGCGAGTATCCTGGAGAGCCCGAGGCGTGGGTATACTGTGACAAGTTCTCGTACGAAGAGGGAGAGAATGTGTCCCTCAAGGTGCACACCAACGCTGAGAAATTCGATATTGAAGTGATCCGAGACGGCCTCAAGCCTTGTACAGTCTTCACCAGAAAAGACCTGCCAGGGAAACAGCAGGACACCCCTGCCGATGCTTATGCAGTCGGCTGCGGCTGGGCTGAGGCTTTGAGCATTCACCTTAACAAAGGCAGCTGGGAATCAGCCTTCTACCTCGTCATCATTCGCATCAAAGACTTCCGCGGGGCTGTCTTTGAACGTGAGGGTTTCTTCATTATCAAGTCCAAGGACCGAGCCACCACGGCAGGAGAATCAGCCGACTTTGTGCTCGTACACGCAACGTCGACTATGCTCGCTTACAATGATTGGGGCGGCGCCAACCACTACAGAGGCATCCCAGATGGTTATCAGAATGACGAGCCCTCGCCCCTATCCAGCACACAGCGCCCAATCGCTCGTGGTATGTTGAGGATTCCAAAGAACGCGCCCCGCGAGGCCAATGGCGCCATGGACGTCAAGCATGGAGCCACACCACGATACCCATCACTAGAGTATTCTTGGTACTTCCGCTACTCTAGGCATTACGCGGATGCAGGCTGGGCAACCTATGAGCGACCCTTTGTTGTTTGGGCTGAGGCGAACGGGTACAAGGTCCACCATCTCACCCAGTCTGATCTTCACGCGGAGCCGGATTGCCTCTCCGGCTATCGCTGTGCCGTTTCTATGGGCCACGACGAGTACTGGTCGTGGGAGCAGCGCGACACTCTGGACGCATTTGTCGATAATGGCGGAAAGTTCGCGCGCTTTGGCGGCAACTTCATCTGGCAAGTCCGTTTTGATGAGGAGATGCAAACGCAGTACTGCTACAGGGTGCCCCAGGCCGATCCCATTACCGAGGCCGATCCGACCCGAGCGACCACCATGTGGGATTGGACGAAGATCAACAGGCCCGGTGCTCAGTCTGTCGGCTTGACGGGCGTAATGGGCTGCTACACGAGGTACGGCATGGCCACGCCGCGGTCGTCTGGAGGCTTCCAGGTCTACCGTCCCCACCACTGGGCCCTTGAGGGAACCGAGTTGCGGTACGGCGACAGTTTCGGCAAGGACCCGATCAATATTGCTTCTTTCGAAGTTGATGGATGTGACTATACCTTCAGGAAGGGTCTTCCCTATCCTACCGGACAGGACGGGACCCCAGAAAATCTCGAGATCATCGCCATGTGTCCCGCCGTGTTTGGAGAGACAGACGTTTCAGGTGGCAAGGAACCGATAGGAGGCCCACTTCGTGACGTGTAAGTTTAAACCTTGTGAAAATTTGACCTTAAGACAAGTACTGACAGCTTGCATGATAGTGTCGGTTTGCTTGCAGCGTGCTATGAAGATATCGACATGCCCGAGTACCTTAAGGATCGTGAATACGGTTCCGGCATGGTTGCTAGTTTCTCGAGAAACAAGGGACAGGTTTTCTGCGCGGGTTCATGCGAATGGGTTGCGGGTCTCATATACCGCGACGTTTTTACAGAAATGATCACCAAGAATGTGCTCGATAAGTTCACGTCCACACAGTGAGACGTCGTGATAGTTATCGGGCAAACTACTCTGAACACTAGATAGACTATAATGTCATGAGCACTTGGTTTTATCGATCTGAATGTGGAACATTACGGTCCAGCGTGCTACTTTAGATTGCGTAAATAAGTACTCAGATGTGACATACATTAAAGAGCCAACCGGCGGGTATACCTGGAAGGTATCCGGCCCGGAGGCAGGGCCAACACAGCACCCTAACAAAGGCATACAGGACAAGTCAGGCTTCACGTCATGGATTCTGATAAAACGACCTGATACATGATCGCTTCCGCGTCCATAACTTTGTACGTAAGATAATTGAGAGTGTTGCGAAGGGTTTCTGGCTCAGGTGACTGTAATCAATACCAGAAGCATCATGATTTGCCGATGCAAGAACTTCGACCCTAATAGTTGCATGCATCAGCCGTGACTACAGGTATATCCAAATGAGGAGAACTAGGCACCTCGAGGATGGCTAAGACTCTCTCTAACCAATCAAATGATCTTGGAAAAAAGGTGTGTGTTTAGTTTGCAGATTTGGGCTATGATGTAGGTACCTGTAGATATCGGAGCTACAAAAACGCAGCTAGCGGAATACAAAATTCGGCAAGACATTATCATGTATCTTTGATATGAGGGGGAAAAGGTGGGTGTAAATTGGAGACTAGGTATGTATTTGTAGCTACCCGGGCCTAGATGGAATAGAAGAAGATAACGCTAAGCTCATAACAGAAATCCTATTAGGACACAATCTTGCCGAGATCTGGGGTAAGGGGGAAGTAGCCCACATACTTGGGTACCCCAGCTTATCTATGCTCCGGACCCCGGCTGGAAGAAAACATGCCTCATCAAGTCAACCTCCTGCTTTGCGTACCTAGAAGAGTTTGGCCAAAAGATGGCATATGATAGTAAACCAATACTTGCTTTGATTATCTCTTTCCCAAAACCATTCTATAAGCATAATATATATATAGAGTATCTATATGTGTGTGTGTGTGTGTGCATTTGACTCTTCTATAGACATCTACATCCTCTCAACTTTGCCTCTTCGCTTCCGTCATGTCTACATATTCCATTGAGGCAGCTAGTGGCCCGGTTAATGTTGCCCCCGGCACATTTCGTCTCTTTGAAAGTAAGGAATTATCCACCGGAGAAGTTCTAAATCTTTCAGCTAATCATCAGTTCAAGAATCGATCAAAACCGGCGATAATCCAGGCCAAGGCAGCGACTTGATCTTGATCCCAGCACGTACCAACAGTCCGAACGACCCACTGGTGAGCAACGAACCATCAAAGGGAGATGTCGTAGCCGGCTGCTGACATGTGGCTTGCATCAGAACTGGAATAAAAGATGGACTTTATGGACTAAGAGCATCTTGATGCTATGGACATTCCTTGCCAACGCTTGGTAAAAACCCCCCAGAACTCGTTCTCTGTAAACCTAACGATACATTGCTGACATGTACATGTAAAACTTTTCAGTATCGCATGGTCCTCTCCAGCTTGGGCAGAATGGGCCGCGGAACTCAAGACTACCTTCGTCCTTCTTGGCTACGGCCAAGCTATCCTCGTATTGACGTGCGGCTTCGGCGTCTTCCTCCTTCAACCGGCGGCCCTAAAATACGGAAGACGGTTACAATACTTGATTGGTTCGGTGTTGATTATCGCCGGCCTAATCTGTGGACTGCTCATGAAATCCATCAAGGGCTTTCTGGCTTATCAGGCGCTTGCCGGCTTCGGATCTGCGCCATCATACAGCACGGCAGTCACTTCACTGTTGGACATGTCCTTTCTCCACCAGAAGGGACGAGCCATCAGTGTTTATGGCTTGGTAGTCATCGCCGGCAACTTCCTGCCCCCACTGGCGGCTGGCTACATAATCAGTGGCCAAAGCTGACAATGGTGCTTCCGCTACTTGCTGATCTTCTTCGTTACAGTCACCATGATTTTGCTGCTTACAGCAGAGGAAACCTCGTTCCCTCGAGACACTCGACTTACAACAGAAATCCTCGAAGGATCTCGGCAGCCTGCTCATCAAACGGAAGCGGTCGGCAAGTTTGACTTGAAACAGGGCCACACGGCAGACGGCACACAGTCCATGCGGTTGCAACACGTTCAGTCACACGCGTCTGTTAACCCGGACCTTGAGCCGGAGTCGAGACATTCTTACCTCCAGCGGATGACTTTGTTTCGTCTCAATGAAGACGTCCGTGCCGGATACTGGAAACTGGTATGCTCGATCGTCCCGATGGCCGCTCTACCTGCTCCGCTGTGGGCCAGCCTGCAGGGTTCCGTAGCTAGCTTTGTCGTCAGCTTCGTCATGACCACACAGGCAAGCTTCTTCTCCCTCCCTCCGTATAACTTCACGCCCGCCCAGATGGGACTGATGTATCTCCCACTCTTGGTTGGCAACGTGGTCGGCTCCGTAATCGGGGGCCCGGTGGTGGACTGGCTACTCATCCGTCAAGCACGACGCCAGGGTGGCTTCCATGAGCCTGAGAACAGACTCTGGGTATACTCCCTCGTGCCCTTCTTTTCTGCCGGTGGTATTCTCTTATGGGGTGTTGGCGCTAGTAAAGGACTGCATTGGGCGCTGCCTTGCTTTGGTCTTTTTCTCATCGGGGTCTATTTAAACATCTCTCTGCCTCTGTCGATGGGATTTGCTTTCGACAGCTGTCCGGATCTGCAGGACGAAGTCTCGCAGCTCTGCAATACAGCCCGCAACGTCGTCGGTGGCGCACTATCTTTTTGCATTCGGCCCTGGGTCGACCACAATGGAGCGCTCAACGTAAGCATCATTGTTGCTGTAGTTGTGTTCGTGGTCACGTTCACCCATGTTCCATTTCAAATCTGGGGGAAGTCGATAAGAATCGCGAATGCGACAAAGTACTACAGAATCTGTGACAAGACTCGGTCTGTCTGTGTGAATAAAACTAACGAGAGCTTTAATGATTAGTGCATTAAGAAAATTTCGTTCAAGTGCCTTTCCGAAATCATATATGAGACGTAAAAGCCATGTCTGAATACAATTTGAGATTCCAAGTACTAGTAGATTTCTGGTAAACGTCTGTTGTGAGTGACGAATGGTTGCTAAATGACTATTTAAAGAGCTTTTAAGTAGGGTTGATAGCCATGCCCCCAGGAAGCCGTTGGAGCCCTGTCTGTTCTTAGTGTCTTGTCATGTATCGCGGTAAGATTCCGGCTTCCACTCACATCCTTCTGTATCATCCTGCACATGCTGAGGTATAGTGCAGGCGGCTGCCTTCTCAGGGGTCTGGGATTTGAGCTGATTGCACTGGTCGAGATTGCACCTGGCATCTAGAGCTCTTTGAAGAGTGTCTCCTTTCCAGCCGAACAAGTAGTCGCCGTGTTGGCCGTGGCCAGTCCTAACACCAGGTTGGTATTCAATGCACTACTAAAGGGGTATATACTTACGGATCGCCATAGCTGTAGACAAACGGCTGGGAGCCGTCTTGTGGCCAGAGGTTTTTGTCGTTAAACTTCCTTGTGTCCCAAATAACTTCATACATAACTTGAGGCAGTCTCACTGGATGAGAAGCAGGGCATGGGCCGTTAGTTTCAAAAGTTCCTCTCTCCGGATAGGCTACATGCGAGCGATGATCATGGCTGTCGACATTCACTCCGTCCCAGCAGCTGTATTCCCAAGCCTCAGTTCAGTACAAAGAATCTGAGGATGATCGAACCAAAGGCAAAGGAAAGGTGACGCGGGCTTACGTTGGAAAAGTGACAGTAGTGCGGATGCCGCCACCACACGGCCCTTTCGGAAGGGCTGTCGTATCATCACCAGTGCAAGGTGCACCTCCGAAAGGATTTTGTTGAATGTTAGAAAAGCATCGGTGGCAGATCTGTCGCTGTAGACCGACTGGGGTTCTCTTGGAGGGATCACCCGCAAGCATTCGGAAGCCCTGATGACCGGATTCTCATTAGTCATGGGAATGTTGTTTAGGAGAAGTTTCTTGCCTTTTTAAATGCGGTGACTTTGGTTCTGCCATCGTACGGCGGGATGTAGTAGACTGTCATTCCTCCATTACCCCTGAGACCAAGGTTGGTCATTTGAGGGACGCGCTTGAGGGTTCCATTTCGCGCTCGGAAAAACAGATTGGCAGTCCAGTAGTTAGAGAAGTCTTCACTAAATGTACAGCTGGTACAAGACGACTGGGAAGAAGGGTCAAAGTCTCCCGGAGGCATTGAAGCGTTGAAGGAGCTGCCCCCGACGATTTGGTGGAGGTGTGCTGACCCAACTTTACCTGGTTGAACTAAAGGATCCAGGCGTTCAATAACCAGTTGAGAGCACTGGAAGCGCATCATCTGTTGGGCCTCAGTGAACCGATTGAGATTGACAAGTGTCACTAGTGCCAGCAAAGTAAAGAGCATGTTGAGTTTAGGCCCACTGGATGAAAATAAGAAAGCAAAATACTGGTTCAAGTTCTGGAGAATACGAGTATAACTTTGAATGCAATCAGGAGAGAATGCCAAATTTATAAGCCTGCTTGGCTACCGCCACCAGATTTCGCTTGCGCTTGTCAGAACCTTCCTGTAAGATTCTTATCCGGACACCGAAAGAAACCAAGCAATAGGAAATTTTCAGCAATTTAAACAAAGTATGCAGCCCTTAGGATGCAGTTGTGGTGACATAGGAGCAGATGACCCCATTGGTTCTCGGCTAAGGACCCAGACAAGGTGGCAGAGCAAAGCAAATGCCGAGGGCGGAAAACATGCCGCCAAGATATCGAACAACTGCCGGAGGAGTTGCTTAAATGATTGTGTGACTTCAATTGATTGGTGTGAACTGCATGGTAGATATAATAGCTTCGGAGTGAATGATCCTTATGTTCACAACACCTAAAGATATCTTCCATTAGTCCCGTTGCCTCCATCATATGCCGAATCGAGGTATGCGGACAAGTGACATGTCGTATTTTAGTATATCTCTTTTTCATTTGGATATGTTGCTAATGTACAGGTAGTTCAGATCATCTTTCTAACCGTGGGGAAAAGATGGGCAATTCAAATGTCGGGAGTTGTCCAAACCAAGAACCTTCACTCCATCTCGATGTTCAGCCGAGACGCAAGTCTAACGCCGTACCATACCATGGCAAAAATGGAAATCAAGTTGAGATGAATGCTCATGGCATGGTTTCTCGAGAACCGCCTTCTGCAAGCCTGCATATCCGGACTTATCTCATCAACAGTGTTCGGCAGTTTGGCATCGCGAGTTTCTTCGTATTGCATGTTAGTGTCGCCTCCTGAATGTCTTGGTTCAAGCCACGACATACCCTGATGGATACGATCAATCATCGCTTGTCTCGTCCTTGGTCCGTAAACCAGCAGATTCAAAACTGCCGTGACTCCTGCAATGGCGAAAGGGATCCAGTCCCGCTTTTCCTTTACAAGAGAGGCCGGACCGCCGGGAGGAAATGTGAGGGCCGTTAAGACCAAAAGGAAAGTCTGGCATCGAAAATATATCGGAAAGATTCTCTTTTGAAGAGTGGTAAATGCGGATTTAGGGAGCGCGCTGTGGCAGACTTTTGTGTTGACAAAGGTTTGAAAGAGGGTCGTGCCGAGCAATGTCGCATACGAAATAATGTGATACGGCGCAAGAGTGGTCATGGTCGTTGGCAGTGACTGAGAAAAGTAAGTAGTGGCCATTGTAGCTTTCCTTCTAATAATCCGTTCAATTGATTAGCATAAACATGTTGGCTCGCCCAAGTGGAAATAGTCCAAATTTTATTCAGCATGCGATGCCCACCGAGTCAATCCAGGTTTCCGGTTCAGCTGTAAGTTCCGAGGGGCGTCGGAGAGAAGCTCAGGCCTCTTTCTCACTTTAAGATCCGGTGGTGGAGTGGGTCTCTAGGCGTCTCTGCCACGGCCCCCTAAAAGAGCAATCTGACTACCGCCCCCGGCTAGTCTTCCGAAAGTGCTCGGAGCAGGTGCCTAGTGACGCAGAAGTCCGACTTGCATCCTCCGAATAGATCCAGGCCAATTTCTAAGCAACGTTCGATTTGTCGGTACACCACGAACAGGTTGTAATTTGTCACAGTGCTGACCAAACTCGTTAACACTTTCTGATGCCAAGCCAGACAAGGCCGGAAATGCCAGCAAGCGCGAACCTATAGCAAACAGATTCGTATGTGATTTTACACCACCTTTATGATGTGCACAATAAAAGTAGAACTAGGTCATAAATTGATTTACTATATTATTATTAGAAAATGAGATAAGCTCGCATTTTAACTTGATTCGTATAGGTCATGGTTTCCCGTAGGAATGCGCCATGCGATACTTTAAAATCCGGAACCGATTTGCAAATAATCCCCATCAATTAAACCAGAGCAAGGTGAAACTTTTAGAAAAAACAAGATCTTGCAGGCTCTCATTTACATCGTCAAGTTAGTGAGCCATCACTGGACCGCTGGTAACTCTACCAATATTTTTAACACCAAAGATACTTGCCACAACACCAACGCCAGCGAAACCAACACAGCACCACAAACCTGTGCCATACTGTTGGAGAAGACCATGGCCCTTCTTAATATCAACAGCCTGAACAACAGCGCTGGCCACAGCGAGCCCAACGCCGCTGCCGATCTGGAACGCCGTATTTATCATCCCGCCGCAGAGGCTCTTGACGTTCACCGGGACTGACGCCAGAAGCACGACGGTGATGGTGCAGTACACGATAGTGGTACCAGCAACACCGATGACTGTGGTCGGGAAGATATGTTTCCAGAAGTTGAGATCGTCATCCCGCATCAGCGCTGAGGGCACCGGGGCAATGGCACAGATAGCCATGCCTGCGGTAAGCAACCACTTGGGATTAAAGATCTCGAGCATCCGAGACATGGCGAGACTGAAAATGAATCCAGTCGCGCCCATGGGAAGGAAACGAAGCGCAGTCTCACCGGCACTGAGCTTATTGACTTCCTGGGCGATGAGTGTCGTGTAGTAAATGGTGGTTTGATAACCTCCGTACATAACTATTCAAGGGTCAGTATTTTGGATTACTGGTCGAACAATGCAAGTCGAAAACTTACCGAAACCGCCAATCCACAGAGCGGCAAAGTTTTCCAGTTTCCACAGTGAAAGAGGCATGATGGGGTTCGCTACCTTCTTCTCGACGTAAGTGAAGGCGACGATCATGGCGATGCTGACGACAAGCAGAGCAATGATGAAAGCCTTGCCCCACCCATACTCGCCACCGCTCGAAAGTACGAAGCTGAGAAGAATGAGCCCAGCAGTTGACAAACCGGCACCAACAAAGTCCAGTTTGGGTCGGGAGTTACCCTCCATCCTGTCTTTTGGAAGGAAAATCCATCCAATTACACCAAGAGTTCCAGTGACTGCCACTGGGATGTAAAAAATGTATCGCCATCCCAGGGACGAAGTCAGAAATCCGCCAAAAATCAAACCGAGACAAAAGCCAACAGCTCCGGCGGCGCCAAAAATTGTCAGAGCCAGAGTTCGATCTTTTGCGACAAAGTAATTGCTGATGATTCCGACAGCCGACGGTACTGTCATTGCAGCACCAATTCCTTGAAGCGCTCGGAAGATGGATAGTTGAATGAACGAAGTTGCGAAGCCATTGGCGATCGTCCAGATGCTCAAAGTTGCCATACCGGAGCAGAAGATCAATTTCCTGCCGAATCTATCCGCAAGAACTCCCGACAGCAACAAAAAGCCGCCAAATGTGAGAGTGTAAGCTGAGATGAGCCACTGCAGCTCACTACTCTTTACATCGAACTCCTTTTGAATAGCAGGAAGAGCAATGTTGATTCCGGTCATAAAAATGTTGTCAAGTAACTGCGCGCCGCAAGTACAGAGGAGCACAATAGCTCTACGAAAAGATGCAACCGTGCCAACATCTGGGTAGGCTTGACCGGCGCCGACTTCAAACTCCGCCGGAGTCTGGGTTCCGGATGCCTCACTGGAAGACGTCGGTCCCGGGGTGAAGCCAGAAACGGGAGACGGAGGCCGTGTAGACTGCGGCGTGGTATATTCCGATGGCACTTCGCGAATCGTGCCCACGGGCCCCGGTTTGGCTGCGCGAGGGAACGCGGGAAGCTCAAAGACGTTGTCCTGAGATTCACGCTTATCTCTCGACCGGTGCTTGCTCAATGCCGAGGCGCTGAGGACAAGCTCCTCCATGTCCTCTGGGCGCTCATTCTCAAAGGTGACCCGAGAAGTCTGTGAGACGGTGCTTCTGCGACGTGTAACGGGCAGGCCTGGAAAGCCTGGTGGAGGAACGAAAGTTGGAACTTCCTCCAAAGCTGAAGTACGGCGGCCGAGAGATTCTCCATCCGCATCGATGGAAACTCGGCGGGTTTCGGTGGTATGTTTTTCGTGCGTCATCTTGTAGTCTTGTCTCAGTGCACGAGACTAGGGCTTTTCAGACGACAAAAGAAAGGTGCGTCAACAGCAGAAGTTGGCAATGCGTTGAAAATTCATGTGGAGGTAAGCACGAATTTTATGGGGTAATGGGAGACTGTTTCTGTGTAGTTTCACGAGGGCTGCAGTGATGTCAAATAAGTCCTTTTATGTGTTGGGCATCGTTCGCCACATGGCAGACTTTGATTCCAACCTCAGGCGAGGTCTAACGCAGTATGTCGTGATGCTCCACAGAGTTTCCACAGCATTTGCGCGCCAATCCTACGCCATGGTTCCCTGTCGTGGGGTTGTGGTAAAAGACCGGTTATCAAACCTGACAAGCTGTCTATTGTTTGGCATACTTATAAGAAGTTCACTGGTATGAAAATAAAATCTGCGCTGTATCTTGAAATCAAGGTTTAAAGTTCCGTAGCTATATTTTCTACGTGAACTTTTCATAGGGCTGAATGAACTTGGTCATTTTCGCATTGTATACGACTCAGTCCTTCCGCGCTCATCACCTTCAAAGCCGTCATCGGGGGTCCACTTGTAAGACTTTCACAAGGATCTGGACCCTTACGCCACATGAAGTGGAGTCGCTTGGCTTTGCCTATCTCGCTGAAAAAGGCAAGTTTTCGGCGCAAGCCCGCAAGACTCTAGACTCTTCGAGGCTTATCTTGCTTGGGGTCACCCACTGCCCTGTTTTTCAAGTACTTTACCCCTCTGGTTCCTTGTTCGCCAGAACCCCTGCAGCGCCGCCACATCTTGGTGGTGACTGTTGCCCTGCACTCAAAGGCGAGGATCCTGTAGCATATCATATCGCTTTTTTGAAGATGCCGCTGTTCCTAGAACCAATCAAGTGATTATTCAAGATAAACCCCCTGATGCCATGCCACGTAGTTATTCTAGAATGCTAACCCGCCCATTTCCGAAGGCATTTGTATCCAGTCAGTCGATATGACCCGTTTGAACGTGGGGGTAAAGGTGACTGTGAGTTTTTAAGGTGCAATATTTCTAGAGCAGTGGAGAAAGCTATCTGGCGACCTTTCAAATCAAGGGTTTAGGTGTTCCCAAGTGAACTTATTAACACCAAGCAGACGAATCAGCTGCAAGAAGGTACGCACTAATACATACTGATGCTCATGATGTTCAACCAGTTTATCTTATTCTCATTTTGGCTCTTTACCCCAGGTTCCTTACACTTCTTCGCTTCCTTGAACTTTTCAAGCCAATCATACGGCAGTAGCTCTTAGATCAAGTGGGTAAGGTAGGAATCTGTAGCGAGATGCCAGATCAAAAAATGTAAGCCTACATCATAGAAGGATGAACTATGCCACAATTGCAGCGGACTTGGAGTCCGTCATCAATCACAAGACAACACGCTTTCGCCTATTATACTTGCGTGGTCTCCAAGACAAATAGATTAGCACTTACTCTATACTCTATGATTGTTGGGAGTGAACGCTGAGACATCAAGTGGCTCTTGACAATGTTGATGATACAGCTACTGTACTAGATACCTTACTTGAAGTAGCCGAGAATGGTGATCTATCACATGGCCAGAACACTGTAGTCAAGGTTGGAGTAAGAAATACAAAGCATTTACTTCAATCTGTCTACTTTCTTCTCGAGATCTCATACTCTAGAGTAAAAGTCATGGAAACATGAGAAATTTCTAAAGCATACAGTTATTTCTTTGGGTAGATTAAGACAGCGACTACTTGGGTCACCTCGTACGCTTGTAGCCGGAGGCTGAACGATACTTTTTCAGCATGATTTTTTGCAAATTGAGCAAAGGAACGCTTTTTCACAACAACCGCATTCTCATTCAAACATCGAAGGCGTACATAAAAGGAAAGTAGAAAATAGAGTCTTGACTAACAGTTTGATTCAAATTACATATGAATACCATATTAACCGAATCAAATGCACAATGAACGTGTAGGTAGCAAAGAGAGAACAAAGTCATGCTAGATCAGTTGATCTCGCAACCTTGGATTACTAAAACGCTTGCTACTAAGAAGTGAAGCCATATGTACATTGTAAGACCTCTAACTCAGTTCCAAGCAATTACAGGCTCTTGGTTCATCAAGTTGAAGGGTCGTTGGTGTTGCACCCGTGTCTTGGAAAGTGAGGCCGGGAAAGCATGCGCTTTGACAAGCTTTCAGGATCCTTGAGTATGAACTAAGTGTACAACAGTCAGACTTCTACGTCAAGATTAGGAAACTGAATCAACATACCTCCAGATTTCCCCTAAGTGCAGCACCAGCTGTTGTCGCTGTTGAGAATTTCTTGGCAGTTGCCATACTTGCAGGCGTTGACGCAGGTGAAGTGGCCCGTGTAGCACTGATAGTCGGCGACGGCAGTGGCAGCCAGAACGCTGATAGCAATGATGATGCTGTTGAACTGCATGTTGAAAGCTGATAGACGCGAAAAGGGGTTTCAAAAATGAACTTGATCAGTGTCGGTTAGAACTGGAATGAGGATGATCTAGATACCAAGCTTGGAACACGGCGGCAACGGCTTTTAAACATGGAAAAGCCCCCACTCTTTGGATTCGAAATTTGCGTATCTATCCAACAATTGCAACGTGAAGCAATTTTCTCTAATTCTACCCTGGTTTCCTCATATATCTGAATTACATTATACGTAGTATGCAAGCAGTAAATAGAGTTTCGGGGCTCATAGTGGATACCATTGCTTGTCTAGTTCAGACGCTCAGAATAACCTCAAAGGTGTAGAATAAAACCGGATCTCTCACAAGTCGATCTGAACTAGGTTTCGGGTTAACTTCACAGAAGCTCGGACGGCAACTTTGCCGTGAAAGGCCCTGCGGGAGGCGCGGTTAGACTTCAGCAATCTGAAGACAAAACCAAAATTAATCAATGTGCATGGTAGTGTTACGGTCAGCTATCCGACAGTAGGGTCTGCTAACAGAAGTTGGGGATTGACGCTAGTAAACAGTATTGTCGTGTCGTAAGTCTGGTTCGTAGGTCGTAGGCTGTGTCGTAGATCGGTAGTCAGAGGCTAAGGTGATCAATCTTAGGCTTAACAAGTATTCGCAGTGAAGGTAAGCTGAAAGTATCCTGAGGATGAATACAAAGTTGATTGCTGAAGAGCTATGGAAGTCTGACTATGAGTCGAGCTCAGGTCATACTATATACAAGTCCGAACAGTACCCTTTGTTTGTTTTACCGTTCCTGATCCTGACGGGGTCCGTTCCTCGTTCATACGGATCCCGTATGTGCCAAGGACGGACTCCGTATTCTTGGCGTACGGATCTAATCTCTTATCTTATCGTCACGTGACTTGCACCATAGTTCTTCCGTTTCCGAGTGAATCCCTGTTGTTCCTGTGATTCTGCAGTACAAATAGTACAAATGTAAAACATCAACAACAGCGAGAACGAAATTCTTGAAAATCGGAGTTAAAACAGCACCAAAACACGATCTAACCGGTCAACTGGATAGCCGTGTGCTCGTCGTAAAGCCCAAAGCGACGTAGGCACCATGGCGACCCCATGGCCCAAGGATCAGACCTGGCCATCGCCCTATCGAGAGCACGCCACGGAACTCAGCAGATACCTACAGACAGCACTGAAATCTATCGATAACGCAAATGGACATCCAATCGAGCCGAAGGGCATCAGATCCGCATTCATCGGAACCCTTACCCTCCTTGCCAAACTACAGCACATCCCTGATATCAGCCACGTTCACGAAGCAGTTGAAAATTTGCGAGTGGAGACCAAGGCAGCGAATGAGAACGCTACCCGTACCACAAGCAGCCTGAGAATCGCCATTCAGCAAAACACAGCCGAAATCACACAGAATACAAACACCTCGAAGGATACTAACGCTACCGCTAAGGAGGCGCTGAAAGTTGGCGAACTGACAGCCAAAATGGTGAGGGACATCAAAGCACTGGGACCAATGAATCAGGGAAGCGCCGCGCAGTCTTATGCTAGCGTAGCTGCCAGAGGAGGACTCGTAGGAAGCATACATAACCCGCAGAACCAAAGACCGAACCATGTCCAGACCCTCCGCGAAATCATTGTAAACATTAGAGACCCTGTTACAATCGCCAGCATAAGAGCTATGAACCCCCGCTCCCTTAAGGCGCACGTAGACCGCGCTATCGAACAGAGCAACAATGAACATATCCGTAAACTGAAAACAGTATCCGCAAACCAGTTGAAGAGCGGAGACCTCAGTATCAAAACAGCCACAGCCACAGAAAGGGAAGCCCTACGCCAGTTCGCCGAGGACTGGGAACACCGTATTGGCACAGGGGCCGCGGTACGGATACCGACATACGGGATCCTCGCCCACGGCATACGCACAAGCACAATGGACATGGAGCGCTTCACGGAACTACGAGAGGAACTATTACAGGACAACAAGGCGTTTATCCCTACAGCAGAGATTAAATACATTGGATGGCTGACGAGATCCGCCAACACCTAGGCATGGGCATTACCCGGCCCGCGGGTCCCACGGGTACCCGCGAAATGGGTCGGGTAGTTATGGGTAGTGCCCGAAAGTTTTACTATTACCCACGGGTACCCATGGGTAAAGTGGGTTTGGGTAAAAAAGCCCACGGGTAGTAAACTGAAGGGGGGCCCACGGGTTTGGGTACCCACGGGTGTATACCCGTGGGTAGATTTCAGTAAGTATGCATCACGAATTTTAGACATCTTTTGTAGTAGCCAGCCTCAAGAGTGGATATATTGCGCAACGAATAGACCTGCTACCTTGTTACTCCTAACTTCCGAACGCCCTGAATGCCTTCAATTAATCGCCCGCATTTCCCAGACTCGGGGTCGAACCACTTGTCTCCGTGGACTCTGCCGGCCTTCAAGATAGCCTGGACGAGATGCAGATCCTTCGGCTTAATGGTGACGCGATTGGTGTGGATCGCAGCAAAGTTAATCACTAGATAGTTCGTTCAACTCGATAAGAGTTTGCAAGTGAAGCTTACTGTCGAAAACACCAAAGAGAAGAGACTCCGAAGACTCTTGAAGAGCGCTAATAGCAGTCGCCTGCCAGCGCAGGCGCTTGGAGGGGTCGATGTCATCGCAGATTTCCTTCCAGAGTCGCTGGAATGGGGGCTTCGGAATCAGGAAGTCAAATGTCTTCTGGTAGTTCCTGACCTCCCGGAGAGCTTTTGCTAGGTATTAGGGTTAGTGTGTAGCCATCTTTTGTAGCAATCTAGACTTACTGCCAGGGCGCCAACGGCGTTTCTGCTGCTCCTTAGCACCAGGCATAGTCTTTCGGGCTATGCCAGGCATCATATTATAAAGTTAACCATGAATCAGGTAGGACTCCTAGAAACACAAGTCCAGGTCCAATCAATAGAATCTTTTACAGATAACTACTGAACAGAGGTTTTCAAAGAGATTCTTTTTGAGAAAAAAAACAAGAAGCCGCGGCTGCGCACAGACCACTTTTTGGCGTATTTTGTTTTTTTTTTATGAGGTTCTGAAGCTTCAGAAAACTTCTCCCCAGACAACACTACAACCTACCTCCACTACTAACACCCAGCCGCACCGACAAGCCTCTCAATTAAGGTAATTTGATACTTTGATCTCATAATTATTGGTTTTGACTTATTAAATCAATTAGGGAATAGTAGTAAAATATGTCCTCAGGACAGGATCGCGGTACGTTCACACCAGCTTTGTAGCAATCATTTGTACTAATCTCTTCTAGGCCGACCGCTTGGATCTGGTGCTGGAGCCAAGCGTAAAGCTGAAGAGGATTATTCCGACAACGCGCACACCAAGAAGTCTCGTCAGCGCATCGATAAGATGACTGAGAAGCAGAAGGCACTTGATCGCTCGAAGAAGTCGATCAACCAGCAGAAATCCCGCAAGCTTAAAGCCTTGAGGGCTAAAAGCTCCTACATCAGTGCGTCTGCTGATGAGCGCGCGGCCCTTGAGGCTAGGGAAATCCAGCAAGTTGATGCACGATAGTGAGTTCTTTTTTATTTCTTTTGGTGTTTCAAATCAGTGCTCAAGTGCTTTTAGCTTCCTCAAAGGCAACCATCCAGACCAGCTGCTAGCTCAGATGACTGGCCCAGTCTCGTCTAGCTCCTATAATATCGTCGATGACGATGAAGACGAGGCTTGGGAGGATATCCCTTTGAATGAGATTGATGAGGCTACCCAGGAAAACCTGGATGGAGTTGAGGGCATGCTCAACTTTGACGTTGACCTTGATAACCAGTTGCCGACCATTAATGTTGCTGAGCAGTCGAATGCGATTATCGACAAGATGATCCAGGTAACTGGATGACTATAATTAATTACTATAGCAATAGCTAACAAACAGACAGGAAAACCAGATCCGAGAATACCAGTTCTTCCGTGATACCTGGGAGATGACTCTTGAGATACTTTACATCAAGGTCAAGCGGCTGAACAGCAATCCTGCCTTTACCCTAGCTGCGATGGAGGATTATGGCTTCATTCGACCTGGCTTTAAATTTCCAGTAGCTGGCGACATCTTTACCAAAGAGGAAGTGCTTCTTTGGTTTGCACTCGCTAAGTACTGGCACCTGAACCGCTTGTCTAAGAAGAAGAAGATACGCCTGGTTCTTAATTCTTCTGTCAAGAAGAAGAAGACGTAAGTGCTTAATTGTAGCAATCCTTTGTAGTAATACTAATATTCTCAGCCAATTCGCACTCGCGCACCGCCCAGCCATCAAGATTCAAGGATCTCTCTTCACTACAGCTCAGCGCCGATATGCCTCCACTCCAAAGCCTTCAGTGAAGGCTATGTTCTCTGAGATCAGTGACTCGATGATCAAGAAAGGTGTTTGGGAGCTTCTGGGCCCTGCTGAAGTTTGGGAAGAGTTTACTGCTCTCGATAAAACAGCCAACATCTTATCTGCGATGGATAAGAAGTTCTCAGCTATACTAAAGCTGATACCATTCTTCCTGAAGCTTGACCTTGCTCGGGATAAAGCGCCATACAACTGGCGTCAGGTCCATGAGTTGGCTCAGAAGCTAACTCGTTTGCTTGACTTTTCTCTATAATTGCAGATGAGCATAGCGAGAGGGTTTGTTTGACAGATTAAGAATTAAGAATTAGCAATAAGGCTAGCATGAATAAGGACATGAATTCTCTCTAGTCTGATTCTCGTATTGTAGCAATCGTTTGTAGTAATCTACAGCTGCTAAAACAATCTAGCACTCCATGCTCCCATCTTCTTCATTAACTGTTTAACTAAGTCAAGATCTTTCTTCTGCAAAGTTACTCTTTTAGCGTGAATAGCACAGAGATTTGCATCTATTAATATTCATGTTAATATAATAGTTTGAAGATCAGGATAGGATATCTTACTCTCGAACATGTTGATTAGAAACTGTTCGCTCATCTCATGGAGAGCCTCTATAGCCATTGACTGGTAGCGGATCTTATGGCGGTTTCTTAGTGGAAGATCAAGTGTTATTTCTCGAACTACTCTTGCGAAACTGCTCCGCGGAATTAAAAGATTGGTGGTCTTTTGATATTTTCGAATCTCACGAAGTGCATTTGCTTCACATTTCAGTAATTAAACAATAAAGAGTTACTTCTTACTTACTACCAGGCCTCCATCTACGAACTTTCTGGCGTTTAGTGATCTGGACGGGCTTTTTTCGAGCAGCTTTTAGCTGCTTCTTTGGCGCGAAGTTCAGCTGATCTTTCCGTGCAATGGTTGGTGGTTGGCCAGTATCTGTTCGTCTCGCCAACTTCGTCGCAAAGTTCCGCTTCAGCGGTGGTAATTCTGGTTGACTCAGGTCTGGGCTAGCCTGGCTATAGTAGGTTGCATGACTTAAACTTCTTGGCGGAGTCTCCCGAATCTCTGTAATTGGCTGTTTCAGGGGATTACCCCTCGCTGATGATGAGGGGTAACTATTTGGCGGTGAAGAGCCCTCCACTGTTAGCGGAGAGCTCTGATCTGACACAGGGCTAGTTGATAAGCGAGGCATTGAAGGATGAATGTAAGTGGGAGAAAAAACAAGTCGAAGGAGAATTCAGAGCTTTTAGATTTGTGTACGAAACGTATTAGTCAGAAACCCTAAAATAGAAATTTACGTAAGGCCATATAATCAAATGTTTGTATTCATCTTGTAGTAATCCTGCAAACTACTTCCTGTTCATACCAAAGGTAATTCTTACTACGTATGATGTCGAACTCAATTGCGTCTGACCCTTTTGGGCCAGACCCTTTTGCATCCGATTGTTCTGCTGCTTTCGAGCTCGTAAATTCTACGCAGACTCCAACAATCAATACTCCACCTTCTGGTTTACAGATACAGTCGGAAATCATTTTATTTGTTATTGAGACTTTCCAGACTTTTCTCTCGTTTTTCAAAACCCTGCCATGGTATCTCCAATGGGTAATCCTTGGCAAACACACACCGTTGTCCAAATCCCCTCAACCTGAACGAAAACGCTTCGCCAAATCCTTGTGGACTTTACAACGCCGAGTATCATTCTGGGATCACTTTCACCAAGGCTACCATATGACATCAGGGGAGCCAAAATTAGTCTGCAAGCACTATCACCAAGTTTTCAATCATCCAACAATCAAAAACTCTGGTACAAGTGCTATGTAACAACACCTCGCTGCAAAGTCTTGTAAGACTCGACGTTTAGGCGCAAACCAGGTGCCTATAAGTTTTACAGGTCATTATAGCAATCATTTGTAGTAATCGCAATCTAGGGTACCTAATTGAAAGCAGTCTCGGAGCATCAAGCATTAGTTTACTGTATTGTTGGATCCAACTTAGCGCTTAATACTGTTGACAACTTAAGTTTCCGGCAATTCTGTTCACACCTGAATCCTCTCTACTACCTCCCATCTCGAAAGACGCTCCGAAGCTGGATATCCGAGGAGGCCTTACGCATTCAACACCACACTCTTCAGCTAATTCCGCCTGGTAGCTATGTCTCTCTGATGATTGATATCTGGAGTACACCTGGGTTAAAATATTCACTGCTTGGTGTTTTATGCCATTTTATCGACAAGCACTGGAGGTTACAACAGGTTCTTCTTGGTGCTATTGATATGACAGATGGTCATACAGCCTCTAAGCAAGCAACGGCTTTATCGACTCTGTTAGAAAATATTCGCCAGAGGACGAAGAAGACAATTCGATTTCAGACAGTCTCTGCAGACAACGCAAGTTCTTTTAAGCCAAAAGTCCTAGCACAAGAACTTGCAAAAGGGTCGACATCCACAGTACAGCCGATATATCATATTCGCTGTTTAGCCCATATTTTCAACCTTGTTGTTCGAGCGATTTTTGAGGCTCTTCGAATTTCGATGGTAGAAGCCTCTACAGAGTTTGAGCCTTCTACTACTCGAGCTAAAGATCAAGAGGACTCTGACGATGATTTTGATACTGAAGATTCTACTGCTGGGGAAAATCCTTTTGGAGCTGTTATTCAAAAGGTTAGATACTTCACCTAGTTATAAGATTTTATATTAACATATATACCTCCAGATTCGTGACCTCGCAGTTTCCCTTAAGCTTTCTAGTAAGAAGACGCAAGAGTTTCTCGACCTCCAGAAATCGACTCGCATTGGCCAGCGACCACTACGCCTCCTCCGCGATGTTAAGACAAGGTGGAACTCTACTACACTTATGTGTCTCCGCGCAAGAGAGCTTAAAACAACGATTTCAGCTTGGGTTGAAAAGCACTCTCTACAGGAACAATTCTCTCTTGTGGAGACCGATTGGGAGGCTCTTGATATTCTGCTTGATATCACCAGCCCGTTTTTACTCTTTACAAACATCCTCAGCCGGTTAAATAACCTTACCCCTGGTCATACCTTTACTTTATTACAAGTTGCAACAGTTCACTTGTACTTTTGCGCCTCTGCACTTAAAGATAAAGTTACTAGCAAAGACTTTACTTGGATATCAATCCTTCAGGCTGCTACGAAAAAGGGCCAAGAGAAGCTGGAAAAATACGTTCAAAAGCTAATTGAAGAGGATTCCTTCAAGGTATATGGTATTGCAACTCTCCTTACCCCTGAAGCTGGGACATCAGTTTCGAGTACTTTTGACACGCGATTCCAATTCGCAAATTACTTCGAATACCTTCCTTCTTCAGCCTCACTTCGAACTCGAGTACAGCAAGAATTTATCGAGGTATATACAAAGCAGTACCATCAAGATTCGGAACGCCATACCAATACTCAAAAAGCTGCAACTGAAGGACTCCGATACACTCTGCATAGTTTACTATCACGCAGTCCAAAGAAAAGGGTATTTGTAGCAATCTATTGTAGCAACTCACTGTACTAACCTATTATAAGGGCAAAATGTCATCATCCCAAGACGCACGAAATATCTGTAATGACTTTTTTAATATTGGTAAGATAAAGACTCATATCTTACTAGGCTTAACAGCTAATAACTATATTTAGTTATGTTCCCTGATGAAACTGTTCAGCAATTTTGGGTCCGCCTAGACAATAGCTATCCCAGATTCCATGGTATTTGTCGCATGGCTCGAGACTTCTTATCTATTCAACCGACGTCAATACCCTTAGAGCGATCATTCAGCCTTGCTCGCCATATCTGTCACTACGCTCGGTTCAACCTTTCGGCTGATACTATTTTTGATACTTTGACTATCAAAATTAGCCAGAATAATGAGGCCTGGCTTTCCCAAACCACACTTGAGGAAGTTCCAGATGACACGAATATCACTGAAGCATCTGAAGAGCGCCAGCATATTATTAGAGAAGCTTTTAACTACTCTTCTCTATTGGATAAAGCTGATATTCAGAGATATCTGAAGGTCTCTGATGATCTTACTAAGATCTCTATTACTGCTACAGGAGATGCTCCCTCCCCGCCTCCTTACGAAGTCTCAGTAGAAGAGGAGGATATTAGCGATAGAGATGAGGAGCTGCCATCCTTATCTAGCTCTCAACAGCCAAAACTATCGAGTCAAGTTTCCCAACTTAGCAACTCACCTACGCCTTCTGTATCCCAAGAACTCCCAAACTTCTCCGAGCTTGGGGGTCGCAAAAGGAAGAGACTTACTCGGCTAGATCTTGTCGAACTCTCTCCTGACGAGGATAGCGATTAAATATACATTGTTCCTCTGATTTCACTCCGACTTTATCGTATTATTCTCTATTAGTTTCTTATATTTGTAGTAATCTATTCTAGCCATCTATGTTTTATGTAACTTACTCTTTCTCCCTATAACTAACTAGTTATATTTTCTTTCTATCTTAGTTACAGTATTTCCCGCGTTTCTTGTGGGTAGCAAAATTACCCGTGGGTAGTGTAACCCATGGGTCGTTTTACCCACGGGCCTTTCAACCCGCGGGTAAATATAGTGGGACTGCCCGTGGGTAATTCGGGTTTACCCAAACTACCCACGGGTAGTTTTGGGTACTACCCATACGGGTACCCGCGGGTATTACCCAACCCTACCAACACCAAGTCAGCATCATCCGTCATAGTTGAATTCTCAAAAGCGGAAGACGCCAATAGACTTATCGACGAAGGACTTATCTGGCAAGGAGAGGTGTTCCAATGCGAACGATACGACAGACAGTGCCGTCTGAGGCAATGCTTCAGATGCCACTCATACGGCCACATAGGAACCCAGTGCAAGGCAACGACAACATGCGGCTACTGCGCGCAAGAACATGCGACCCGAGAGTGCCCTACGAAGAGCGACGCAGACACACCCCGGAAGTGTGCAGCATGCCATGGAGAACACGAGGCCTGGCACGGCCGCTGCCCGACTAGGATGCGCGAGTTAGCCAAGATCAAGGAGGCCTATAGACAACGACCACGGTACCACCCAGAGGCGAAGACATCCCCAACCGCTAAGGAGACGGAACCCCAAACTGGAATAACAACAAGGCCGGTACTGGAACCAGGCCCAACTCAGGATACCCGCCCGGGGCGTAGCAGATCACCCATTAAGAAGAAAGTACAGAAACGCCAAAAGTCAACAGGCGGCGATACACAGCATGAAAACAACAAAAACGACGAAAACACAATCACAGTCGCCCCAGAGAAGCCCAGACCAAGGAGGGTAATAATGCCCTCCCGCCGAGCACTAGAAGCTATAGACGTAAACACGCAGACGATACACAACAGCCACAACATGGAAATAGTCGACGATAGTGAATGATAACACAACATACACTTACAATACTACAGTATAACGTCAGAAAATCAAGAGACACCGTTATGGCTACGCTCCTCCGCGACCCTCGGATCGATAAATACGACATCATCGCTATCCAGGAACCATGGAAGAACCCATTTAACGCCACAACACACCACCCAGCAAAGGACCGCTTCCACCTCTGCTATCCGTCGAACAGAGAGGGAGGCCCAGCCAGGGTCTGCTTCTTCGTAAACAAAAAGCTGGACCACTCTAAGTGGCAGTTTAAGGAACACAGCAAGGATCTCTGTACCCTCACCATTGGATCAGAGACTGACCAGGGCGTCAAAATTGCCATACACAACATATATAATCCCCAAAATCAGGAAGAGGGAGAGAAAACGGTCCTACAACAACTACGAACAGCCCTAGAAACCAACAATCACATCGAGCAAATAGTGGTGGGGGACTTTAACCTCCACCACGAACTATGGGGAGGAAGCGACATTCGAACGACAGACGCGGGAGCCAGGGAACTGGTAGAACTCATGGACGACTCCGACCTCATCAACCAGCTACCCGCGGGAACAATCACATACAAGGAAGGAGACTATAGCTCAACGATAGACCTGTGTCTACTTACAGTAGGACTCATCGAAAGGCTTATTAAGTGCGGCATAGAAGACGAAGTAAACCACGATTCAGATCACCTTCCGATAGCAACGTCGCTAGACCTCACAATCGCGCAACTACAACCAGAGGAAAGGAGAAACTGGAAAGCCCTAGACGAAAGGGTATTCATAAGGGCTATTAAAAGGGAGCTCCCACCACTAAGGAGGCCAAGAACAAAGTCTGCCCTCGATAAATATGTCCAGGACATCACTGAAGCCCTCAGTATAGCGACTGAAGAAGCGGTACCAAAGAAGATCTTGTCCCCCAAATCGCGAGCCGGCTGGAGCGAAGAGTGCGAGGAGGTCCTGGCCGAGACCAAACGACTCCGAAGACGGTTCTATGCGGAACACACAGAACAGAACTGGGAAGAATATATCATAGCCCGAAACAAGAAAGGCCGGACGATAAGAAAGGCGCTACAAAAGGCACATCGCGAGGCGGTTGAAACAGCAGCAGAATCACCAGAATCACTCTGGAGGATTGCTAAATGGGCCAGAACCAGACAGAACCAAATGCCGACAGTCACGCCAGAAATCGCCAAGCCAGGTAGTAATCATACGGCAACCACACCTGAAGAGAAAGCAGAGCTCTTTCGGGAAACATTCTTCCCAGCACCACCAGAAGCAAACCTAGAGGACATACAAAACGCAACATATAGAGACCAGATCACGCTCCCACCAATATCCGAGAACGAGGTAGAGGAAGCAATAAAGAAAACAGCACCGCGTAAGGCACCCGGCCCAGACGGCATCACGAACAGAGCGCTACAAATCGCCAAACCATGGATCAGCCCTCACCTAGCCAGGGCATTTAACCAGAGCCTCCGCATCGGTTACTGCCCCCAGCACTTCAGGAAATCTACTACCATAGTGCTACGGAAGCCAGGTAAAGATAACTATACAGTTCCGAAAGCATATAGGCCAATAGCGCTGCTCAACACAGTCGGAAAGATTATGGATGCAATCATAGCGGAAAGGCTAAGCTACCTAGCAGAGACATACAACCTGTTGCCTAAGAACCATATGGGCGGGAGGAGACAGAGATCGACGGAACATGCCCTACACCTCATTATCGATAAGATATATGAGGCTTGGAACACTAGACAAGGGATGGCGGCGAGCCTCCTTCTCCTAGATGTCTCGGGGGCGTTCGACAACGTGTCACACCAGAGACTCCTACACAACCTCAGGAAGAGACGGATTAACGAATCCATAGTACGATGGATTACTAGCTTCTTAGGAAACAGACAAACCCAAATACACATCGACGGATACCGGTCAGAGCCTTACACGCTCACCACCGGCATCCCACAGGGCTCTCCTCTTTCACCGATCCTATACCTATTCTATAATGCAGATATCCTCGACAGATGTAACCAAGGCCAGGAAACACTGGCCACTGGGTTTATAGACGACGTAGCGATCCTAGCATGGGCAGAAACGACTGAAGAAACATGCCGCAAGCTCCAAGATGCACTAGACGAAGCGGAGGACTGGGCAACAACCCACGCCTCCGTTTTCGCGCCCGAAAAGTTCCAACTAGTCCACTTCACAAGGGCAAGGTCGAGAATCAATACCAATACTCCACTACAGAGCAAATGGGGGGAAATACACCCCAAACCGACATGCAAATACCTTGGCCTCACGATGGATGCCATACTTAGATGGAAACAACACATCGATGCGATAGAGCGTAAAGTCTCAAAAACCATCTCCGCGATCAGCAGCCTCGGGAGCTCCACCTGGGGAGTGAAGACCAAAGAAATGCGAACAATATACCAAGGAGTAGCAATACCACAGATGATGTATGCCTGCTCAGCATGGTCTAACTCCGGCTGGAGGGGAAAGGGATACACAGACCGAACTCTCAATAGACTGAAACGATTACAAGCAAGGGCGGCAAGGGCAATGTGCGGAGCCTTCAGGGCTACGTCCGCTCCAGCACTCGACGTCGAAATGAACCTGCTACCGATGGAGCAACGAATATGGAAACACAACATCGACACGATCAACAGGCTAGGCCCACCAGAGCAAGGCTGCGAAAGCACCCAGAATAGGAGGAAGAGAAGAAGAAAGAAGAAGCAAAGGTTAAGCCCAAGACACACAATCGAACAAGAGCTTCACAACAAACAGGGCAGTAACACCAGACCGAGCGAGCAGATCCCACCCTTCATCACCCCTCCATGGTGGCAAGGGCCGCGCATATATATCGCAGACACTGCGGAAACGGCAGCAAAGGAACACCAGACAAGTCTCGATATAGAAAATGAAGCGTTACATATCTATACAGACGGAAGCGGCATCAACGGCCACATAGGAGCAGCGGCGGTATGCCACACTACACGACAAACCCGTAGCTCATATATGGGAGATGACGCCACCTCAACAGTCTATGCAGGGGAGCTGCGAGGCATTATCCTCGCCCTCGAGATTGCGGAAGAGGATAAACGGAAAGGGAACAACAGAAGTAAAATCCTCATCTACACCGACAACCAAGCAGCCATCAGATCGTCAGCCAAGCCGAAGGGCAAATCAGGCTCCTACTTGCTCAAGACCATTGCAGACAAGACACAGAAACTCCAGGAACATGGACTTAAGACAGAGATCCGATGGGTACCCGCTCACACGGGAATCCAGGGCAATGAAGACGCTGACATAGCAGCCAAAGAAGCCACAGGCTGGCGGCAGAACGGCCAGACGGGCACTAAGGCAGACACACCAAAGGAGCTATACGCACTCCGGTCAACGCTTAAGACATGGACGCATAGGGAGGCAAATAAAACGTGGCAAGCCGAGTGGTCGAGAGAGACACGAGGTAGAACCACCCATCGTCACACGCCGAAACCAACAAAGAAAGTGTTACAGCTCCATAGTAGGCTAAGCAAACGACAGAGCTCAATCCTCGTGCAGATGCGCACGGAAAAGATCGGACTCAGGGACTTCCTCTTCAACCGAAGAGTTCCGGACGCCACGGACGCCAACTGCCAATGCCGGGAAGGACGACAAACGGTATCGCACGTCCTGTTGCGGTGCCGTAGGTTTCGACAACTCCGACGCCAGGAACTAGGAGCCATCCCAGGACGACATAACCTCCGGGTCGTATTGAACGAACGCAAAGCAGCCGCGAAAGCCATCAGATTCATGGAACAAACCGAGATCCTTGGGCAATTCAGGATCGAGTCACAACCCAGACAAAGCTGAACATTGGGGGGAGACTGTAGGTACGCAGAACCACAGAACGAGGCATTAGGACTCGACAGATCCTATCATAGAGGTCACATTAGTAGGAAACCGCGATCAACATTAGGTGGCCGCCAAATGTAGATAGAGGTTAAAGTGCAAAGCAGGAATTTGGGGACAGCTGGTCAATGTTTTCGCATTGGCGAAGTGGGGCGGCTCGGATTAACATTCGAACGCTTCGGCTGTCTGCCGGACCCCGCTATCCGGGCATAGCTGCTGACATAAGAGCGGCTCCATAACCGAGTAGGAATAAATCAATCAATCAATCAATCTGCAGTACAAATGTCCTGTTACAGCCGCCCCAAAAAAAACATCAACAACAGCGAGAACGAAATTTTTGAAAATCGGAGCAAAAACGGCCCCAAATACGCGTGCTCGCGGCCACAGAGCCCCCTTCGATGCAATGCCATCCTCGGCCTTGATTCTACGTCCCAAAGGGGCCCAAGATGGCCGCAGAGCACGCCCCGACTACAATGAAAAACTTGAGAGCAAGCCGCAAAATACGACATATCAATAGACAACACTGTTACCACCACCACAGGCGAGCCACAAGCCGCTACACGAAGCACTAAGACTGCGCCCAAACAATCAACTTCAACACAACAGCCGCCGACAGGTTTTGGGTCACCTGTCACCCCCGACAAAGTTTGCAACGTCCCACAACGACGAAGATGAGTCCGACAGAACAGTATCACCTTCCGCACGGAGAAAGCACCAGGCATTAGGCATGCTACGATCGATGCCACACAATACTACAGACCACAGACAGACTGGTCCCCTGTCGCCCCTTTTGCGAAGAAGGATTGGTGTCCCTTCAACGCGCGACAATGTCTGCGGAATCTGTGCGGGAGCTCTCATACCCAGTAATCGAACATGTCGGAGTCAGTGGAGCATTGTGCTTCGTGGAAGACCCTTAGGCCAATGTGGTGGAGGGCAATAGTGGTCAACAGGCAAGAAACAAGAGGCCACATAGGAACCCGGCAGGAGGCAACAAAGAATTTACAGATGCAACTGAGAAAACGGCACATACAAGTCCGGGAGGATACGGACAAAACAAAGAGACAAAGCTGAGCGCTGGGGGGAGACTGTAGGTACAAAGAACCAGATACGGTGCTACCAGCACCAACTGAACCGAAGCAGGAGGACGCAAAACAAGCATTCTAGAGAGCAACACAAAAGCGAGAAAGCAGACAGGAGAGCAACACACTTCTTCAACAGAGGGCACAAACACACAGAATAGAGAACATAGTGGGGAGCTTGGGGATAGCTGGCCCTGATGCAACATCAGGGCGAAGTGGGGCGTCGCTGTTTATTGTCGACGCTTCGGCTACCTGCCAAACCCTGCTTTCCGGGCATAGCTGCTGGCATAAGAGCGGCTTCATAACCGAGTAGGAATAAATCAATCAATCAATCAATCGTTACAGCCGCCCGACGTCCAAGTGGGTCTTTCAGCTGTTATCCTTGTTTACGGGTCGTAACACAGAGTTTAGGTATATAACCTTTACTATATAGAAATTTATAACGCTTTCTATACTGTTTTATAGAGATTTAGTTTTTATCCTTTATTATACTTCCGTTTTCTTTTATCTTCTCTATTTTTGATTTTTTTTTCCGATTTTTTAAGCTTTTATATATTTCTATATAATCATTTGCTAACTATTAGCTTTTATATAGATTCGCATATCCCTAGGCGCTAGGCGTCGCCCCCGTTATATTACGTATAGTTTTCTAACAAAGCTTTACAACATCTTATAACATCTTATAATATCCTTATAATCCCGAACGATACTCGATATTACTTTATACTACCGTATATTATAGCTTAAGATATAAAGCTAGCTGCTAAGCTTATACTAGATAAGATGTTAGAAGTATAAGTATATTATACTTCTATTTTACTTATTTATCCTATTTAGTCTTATCTAAGACTTAGTAGGACTTACAAAAGTAACTAGCTAAGAATGGCTGCTTGCTAGTTTAAACATATGACATTCAGATCCCTATGGAATACTCTCTTTAACCTTATCTAAAAGTCTATTTAGTTAAAGAAGATTCTAGTCTGATTTATAAGCTGCTTTATAAGCTAGTTGACGTATATACTTACGTATACTAAACCTAGCTTATAGCTTCCTATATTAGCTATTATAGGCGACGTTATACTACTATATAACTAGCCTAATTCTCTCCCTTAGCTAGCTATTAGTTCCTCAACCAACTCAGCTTCAATATAAGCCTATACATTCTTTACTATTAAAGCCCTACTTCATAAGTACAAGTTCCCTTACTCTAATACCCTGTTATAAGGATATCGTACTATCTACGAGATTCCTACTGTTACGACCCGACAGTTAACAGACCACTGACGACGACCCCGCAGGGGCTCAGCGGTTATAGGGACGGCCGTCAGCCGTTACGTCGTAACAACCCCCACGGAACGGAAGAACTAGGATACAGGTCACGTGACGATAAGCAGGACCGACGGACGATAAGCGGTCCTGGGACAGGACCGACGGTGCCAAGGGCGGTCCATGGCGATGGACCGACGTCCTGGGTGTCGGTCCCCCAGGATCAGGAAGTGTTCAGCATGGAACCAGACTTGTATATAGTTGGGACTCGAGTCCTCTCGAGTCCTACCTTTCCTAGTTCTTCAGCAATCAACTTCGTGATTACCCTAACCGGTACTTTCAGCTATACCTAAGTGACGACTACTCTACGACTCTTGTTGAGGCCTTGACTGATCACCAAGACCTTTGAAGATCTACGATCTATTCGACCAGGACCACGGAACGACTGTTACTACTCTCAATCCCTGGCTTACTGTTAACACAAACCCACTGTCAGTTAGCTGGCCGTAACACTTTGATTGCTCCTGTTCAGTAAGTCACCTTTTGAGAACTACTAAACAGTATAGACAAGATGTCTTCTCGCGCTTCTGCCAAATCACCCACTCCAGGATCCTCATCCTCTTCGCGCAACCAGCCTCAGAGCCTCGCGCAGGAGCCCGCCAACACTGAGGACTTCGACATGCCGGACCTTAAGTACGACTCCGATGGAGATGGCTCTTTCACCAAGGAAAGCTACGATAAGCTCCGACGCATAATCCAGAAACAAGAAGCCGAGACAAAAGACATGCAGAAAATCGTCAACGAAAACCGACAAGCAATGGAAAACCTTAACGAGCAACTCCAGCACGCTGGACAGGCCTACAAGAAGCTGGAAGAAGACATCAAGGGGGATGCCAACCTCCGGAAGATCTAGGAACTCCAGGGGGAAATCACCACCCTCCGGGCCGCCGCCAACATCGTCACCACGCCCGTCCACGGAGGACGACAAAAGCTTAAGCTCAGTGCGCCTGTCACCTACGACGGAACCCCCGGGACCCTTAAAGGATTCCTGATTCAGGTCAAAAACTACCAGAACTTTCACCATAGAGATTTCACCAACGAAACCGAAAAAGTAGTACACGCAGCCACCTACCTCCGAGGAAAGGCCCTCAAGTGGTTTGAACCAATCCAGGAAGAATACCTCAAATGCGAGACCCTCGACGAGTGCACCACCGAGACCCGCGACATCTATGCCAATTTTAAAGGATTCGAGGATGCGCTCAGGTCACTCTTCCAAGACCCCGACGAAAAGCGACAAGCCGAACGAGATCTGGCATAACTTAAGCAGACTAAGTCCGCCAAAGACTACTCCGCTAATTTCCGACAACTTAGCGTTCAACTCGACCTCACCGAGGAAACCAAGATCTTTATGTTCTATTAAGGACTAAAAGACGAAGTCAAGGACGAGATCATCAAGATTGATCGACCTGACGACTTTCTCTAGTACGCCGAACTCGCCATCAAAATCGACAACCGGCTTTTCGAACGACGAAAGGAAAGAGGCGAAAAACGACAAAACCCTAACTCAGGACGCAAGTACCAGTGGCAGCCTTAGCACCAGTTCAACAACCAGCGAAACGACAATAGACCCTGCAACAACTGGAACAACCCCTGACAAAGTACTGCCTATGGTCACCACAGTGGACTAATGGACCTTAGTGCTATACAGAGAAACGACAAAAAGAACGATAGTTGGAAGAAAGATAGACAGTGCTATAACTGCTAGAAGATTGGACACCTAGCATACGAATGCAGGTTACCTAAGAAGGAACGCTTCCAACCGGTACTAGAGAAACGATAAGCGAGTATCGCTACGAAGACGATCCCTCATGAACAACTCAACTGGACCACCTGCTTCGATGACAACTGCCATATCCACTCTAGCAGTAAGGAACACGCAGGATGGTACCCCTAGAAACCTCAAGAACGATCTGGTTACGACACCACCAACGCACCTAAACGGACCCTCGCTGTGGGATATAGAAGCAACAGCAAAATCGAGCGCAAGACAATCGAACAGCTCGACAGTATGAACGACAACGAGGAATTAGAACAAGACAATTAGCGAAGACTGAACCTCCTCTACGCAGGACGACAAGCCAACCTGCAGCGGATTCAACAGGACTCACAAAACCCTATATGGCAACGACAACTCGGTGCGCTGGACGCACACATCGAACGACGACAACATGCACAAGGAGATCCCGCACGGATCCGCCAAATCAACCAAGAACTAGAAGAACAGGTCGAATCAGAAACGACCAAGAACACCCCCAACGACTCGGAAACACCTCGCGATGTTGCCCGCCAACATGCCCAACTGGAAGTCGCCTTTGAAGTCGCTTCAGTCAACGACACCAGCTCTGGAGAGGACTCTGACGAAGAAATATAGTGGTATCACTGCTACCAAGACCAGCGCCGAGTCCACTATATCAAGAAAGACGAAGCATGGAAGAAACAGCAAGAAAACGACGAACAAGGAACGGACGAGCAGTCAAAAAACTAGACTCGCCTACCGAAGACAAGGGACAACGACAGGCAGTCCAGACAAGGTCCCTATGTAGCGCAACGACGCCCACGACACAACGACACGAGCATGTACAAGTCCAAATACAGCTCAACGGAAGAACAGCTACCGCCATGATCGACAGCGGAGCCTAAGGAAACTTCATATCACTAAGAACGGTAAATGAAAGAAAGATAACCTAGAAAAGAAAAGCAGCCGAAGACTGCTACGAACTCAGCACCGTTAAAGGAGAACAAGTCCAGTACGGCGGAGGACGCATTGCTATGGAGACAGCGCAACTCCCTTTGCAGATCCATGGCCGGAATAAGCGACTGAACTTCGATATTACGGAGATAGGAGACAAGTACGATGTCATCCTTAGAAGACCATAGTTATACGACAGTAACCCACGGATAGATTAGAGAACAGGCCAACTCTATTAGGACTAGGATTTAGTCACTGAGAAGCAACTACGGAACGGTGCCTCAAACAAACCTCTCAAGACTCCTAAAGCGAAGAGATTTCTAGCATACCTACGGATAAAGGATGCAAACGCCAGGACGTTATTAGCAACAGACATCGGCAAGGAAGACCGACTTCTGTCTATCCCAGAAGAATACCGGCAATACCAGAAGCTATTCGCCGAAGAACTCGAGACCGGACTCCCGGAACACAGCAACTACGACCACGAGATACCCCTTAAGGAAGGGAAGGAGCCAAAGCTAGAAGCAATCTACGGACTCAACCAGAAAGAAATGGAAGCACTCGACGCTTACCTCAAAGAAAATCTACAGAAGGGATACATCAGACCCTCTACATCACCAGCGGGATACCCAATCCTGTTCGTACCAAAAAAGAACGGCAAACTACGACTCTGCGTCGACTACCGGAAACTCAACGACATTACGATCAAGAACTGCTACCCACTACCGCTCATCTCCGAACTACGAGACCTGTTGCACGGAGCACAGTGGTTTACAGCACTCGACCTAAAAGGAGCCTATAACCTGATCCGGATTAAATCAGGTGAAGAATGGAAGACAGCGTTTCGAACACGCCGAGGACATTACGAGTACCTTGTGATGCCCTTCGGACTCACCAATGCACCCGCGACATTCCAGACGATGATCAACCACGTCTTACGAGAATTTCTAGATGTGTTCGTCGTAGTTTACCTCGACGACATCCTAATCTTCTCCAAGACTCTGGAAGACTACAAAAAACACGTACACCAAGTACTGCGGAAACTGCAAGACGCCAAACTCCTAGTGGAACCCGAGAAGAGCAAGTTTCACGCCAAAGAAGTCGAATTCCTAGGTTTTACGATAGCCCCAGGAATCCTCAAAATGTCCAAAGACAAAATCGCAGCAGTACGAGACTGGCCTATACCACAGAACGTTAAGGACGTACAATCCTTTATTGGATATGTGAACTACTACCGACGGTTCCTAGAAGGGTACTTAGACAAAAACGACCCTCTCACGAGACTCTCGAAGAAAGATGTTCCCTGGCAATGGGAAGAAGAACAAGAACAAGCCTTCAACGAGATCAAACAACAAGTCACATCGGAACCAATACTTGTTATACCAAACCCCGAGAAACCATTCGAAGTCGAGACCGACTCCTCAGACTACGCTATAGGAGGACAACTAGGCCAACGAGACGACGAAGGACGACTACACCCTTGCGCCTTCTTCTCACGCAAGTTACACGGCCCAGAACTCAACTACCAGATACACGACAAGGAACTTATGGCAATTATCGAGGCATTCAAAGAATAGAGACCGCAACTCTCAGGAACCAAGTACGAGGTCAAAGTATACACCGACCACAAGAACCTCGCATACTTCACTACATCGAAAGATCTTAACAAACGATAAATTCGATGGTCCGAATTCTTGTCAGAATTCAATTTCAGAATCATCTACCGGAAGGGCAAGGAGAACGGCAGGGCCGACGCCCTCAGCCGACGACCGGACCACGAGGTCTAGGTACCTGAGGAAACCCGAGTTATCCTCAAAACAGACAAAAACGGAGACCTTGTGCTAGCAGCCAGACTCTTAATGATGGCTAGAAGAGACAGTACCAGCACGCCTGGAAGGATGTCTCCTGAAGCCATTAGGGAGATACACTCCGCACCCGCACATGGTCACCAAGGCGTAACCAAAACGTGGAAACGCATCCGTCAACACTACGACAAAACGGCTATACGACAAGAAGTATCTTTAGCGATTAAGGACTGTGAGGTTTGCGCAAAAAGCAAACCCAGCCGACATCAGCCTTATGGAAAGATACAGCCGCTCCCAGTGCCGCAAACCGTATAGGAATCCATCTCGCTGGACTTCGTTACTAAGTTACCTAAGTCCCGAGAACCGATGACCAACGTCCACTACGACAGTGTCCTCGTCATCGTCGACAGACTCACAAAGTACTCATACTTCATTCCGTACATGGAGTCAAGCACTGCAGAAGACCTCGCCTACAAGTTTCTGCAGGTGATCGTAAGCCAACACGGAATGCCGAAGGAAATCGTATCCGACAGAGACAAGCTGTTCACTTCCAAGTTTTGGAGATCCCTGATCTCGCAGCTAGGATCTGACTACAAGATGTCCACCGCTTTCCATCCGCAAACCGATGGCTAGACAGAACGAATCAATCAGATCATGGAAACCTACCTACGCTGCTACGTCAACTATCAGCAAAACAACTGGGTCCAACTGCTACCTATGGCCTAGTTCGCCTACAACAGCGCAGTAGGAGAAAGTATAAAAGAATCACCATTCTACTTGAACTACGGATTCAACCCGACAGCCTATGGACAACCCCGACAAGGCCCAACAGCTCTGAAAGCTGTGGCAGATATTAACAAACTTAAGGAAATCCAACGAGATCTTCCTAGAGACCTTGAATTTGTGCGCGAACGCATGCGCAAATACGCTGACAAGACAAGAGTTGAGGGACCAACTCTGAAGGAGGGGGATAGCGCATACCTTCTCCGCCGGAACATCAAAACAAAACGACCAAGCGATAAGTTGGACTTCAAGAAACTTGGACCCTTCGAAATCACGAAGAAGGTATCCAACGTCAACTTCAAACTCGCACTACCAGACACTATGAAGTGTCATCCAGTTTTTCATATTTCACTTCTCGAGCCAGTACCAAAAGGATTACGAACTATGGACTACATCGAAGTCGACCCGGAACAGGACTACGAGGTCGAAAGGATCCTCGATCACATCGATCAGCACGATGACATAGAAATACAATACCTAATCAAGTAGAAAAACTACGGACACGAAGAAAACACATGGGAACCCGCATCAAACTTGGAGCACGTACAAGAGGAACTTCAAGAATACTGGACGCAATGGGAAACACGACAGCACGCCAAAGTCATGCAAAGACCAACACACAACCCTCGCGTCAGAAACCCTCAACCCAAGTTTCGACCAACCAAGAAACCCCAGGGCAACAAAACGTTTCTTCGCCTAGGAACACCTAGCCCTGAGTAGCCGAGGAACCTCTAACACTCCCCGCACCCGCGCTATCTACCAGAGGACCCAAACCCACAAACTCGTCACCAAAACCAAAAAGGGACCAAGGAGGATCATTCCCGAGACCCACTGCCTGGAGGTTACTAACGACGAACCTCTCGTAAGCATCCAAGGCAGGTAGGACTTCGTCGTCCGCCAGGACGCTATCCTCCCTGTCAACCTCCTGCATACCACGCTCAAAAACTTCGGTCTGCCGCTCCCGAACCATCTTACGGACCGTCCGAATCCGTTTCAGACGACCCGCAGCATCCGCCATTTGAACTTGCAAACGAGCAAACTCTTGATGAAGCGCGAATAGCTCCTCACCCGCTTTCTCTTCTTTCTCATCCTACTCCTTTTGCTGAGAGTTCAACTTCTGAACTAGAAGCAAACATTAGCAACCCCCAGAACAGCGAAAACATAAAAACACGACTTACGAGTAGACGCCACGAGGACGCCGTCACAAGGTTTCTTCGCCTCGATGCAAGTCCTACAGCGTGTAGACTTCTCGCCAAAACGACACGGGACCTTTGCACGGAAACAACGAGTGCAAGGCATGTCGCTAGCAATCGATCGGGACTCCACGTATTCAATAAGCGCAGCTTTCTCACGATCTTTTATTACAGTCAAGTGCGACTTTGTCTTTCGAACGCGACCTGACATGGTGTCGGCATCATGAAAAACAAAGGAAGCAAATTTGTGGATCCCCAACCTGGGACCAACGACCTACCTATACTCAGGTCTCGAGGACAAGACCTTTAAGAGGGGAGCTGATGTTACGACCCGACAGTTAACAGACCACTGACGACGACCCCGCAGGGGCTCAGCGGTTATAGGGACGGCCGTCAGCCGTTACGTCGTAACAACCCCCACGGAACGGAAGAACTAGGATACAGGTCACGTGACGATAAGCAGGACCGACGGACGATAAGCGGTCCTGGGACAGGACCGACGGTGCCAAGGGCGGTCCATGGCGATGGACCGACGTCCTGGGTGTCGGTCCCCCAGGATCAGGAAGTGTTCAGCATGGAACCAGACTTGTATATAGTTGGGACTCGAGTCCTCTCGAGTCCTACCTTTCCTAGTTCTTCAGCAATCAACTTCGTGATTACCCTAACCGGTACTTTCAGCTATACCTAAGTGACGACTACTCTACGACTCTTGTTGAGGCCTTGACTGATCACCAAGACCTTTGAAGATCTACGATCTATTCGACCAGGACCACGGAACGACTGTTACTACTCTCAATCCCTGGCTTACTGTTAACACAAACCCACTGTCAGTTAGCTGGCCGTAACACCTACCTACCGTTCCAACAAACTTCCTACGATAACGTCTTAAAAAATATATTAAAGCTAGGATTTAACTAGAACTTTACTTACTATTAAAACAAAATAAAGGTATTAAATAAGTAAAAAATAATTCCGTAGCCGTAGGATTAGTATAGATAAACTTTATATATTGCTATTAGGAAGTAATAATAGTTTAGAAATAGATAAAACTTAAGTATATAAAGTATACCTAAACGATTATTTCCTCTTATTATACTACTATTTCGTCTTCTTCCTTATCTTCCTAGCTACCCCCCTTAAGAGTTATATCCTCCTAAATAACGTCTATATAGCCTTACTACTTAACTTATAAGTACGTACGCTTACGTAACTTTATTCCTTCTCTCTCCTACTTTATTACTTCTTATACCTTAAGAAAAAGCTTTCGTTTAGTTTAAGTTTAAATTTAAGTTAGAGGTTTAGATATAAGCGTTTTTATAAATATATTAATAGTAAGTAAAGGTATTATACTAGTTATTACTATGTTAAGCGTATATTATTTTAGTCGTAACTTCTTTAATACTTATAGTTTAGTAACAAGCAGATCTACTTAACTTTCGAAAATAAGTATAATAGTATAAACGTCTTTATTAAAAGTAATTAAGGCTTTGCGAAGAAAAGTAAAAAGGTTTTTAGCCTTATATGCTACCTTACGAAACTTATATATATTTATAAGATTTTTTAATAATAAGTATTACCTTCTAGTTTTAGTTAAGGAATTACTTCTTAGACGTAAACTTTACTAAGACCTTATTTATTATATCTGTCACAGTTAATAAGTCGTTCTAGTCATTGTTGTCTATTAGGTTAGGTCTATCCTAGGTCTAGCGAACAGGTGGTCTAATATACCTATAGGGCGGTCTAGGGCGACAGTATCGCCCCACGTGTGGCAGCCCCACTGGCAGCCACACTGGCAGCCCCATAACTGTGGCATCCCTACTGTTGTGTCTAATAGAACTGTGACAGGTGCCCGTCCCGAAAAAGACGATCGTCCCGATCGTTTCGGCTGCCTAAACATGACTTTAAACGGCTTAATAACATGACTTCCTTAGGCCTCTATTAGTGCGAGGCGTAATAGGGGGGTATGCCTAAGGCTGGCTGTAATTAACTGGCTGGGCGTAACTGTCTGGCTGGCTGGCTGGCTGGCTGTAATTAACTGGCTGGGCGTAACTGTCTGGCTGGGCGTAACTGTCTGGCTGGCTGGCTGGCTGGCTGTAATTAACTAGCTGGGCGTAACTGTCTGGCTGGGCGTAACTGTCTGGCTGGCTGGCTGGCTGTAATTAACTAGCTGGGTTGGCCCAAAGCGGGCACTTAGTCCCTTCTGTAGGCCGTACCATCCTAGGGCCCTATACCGGTTCCTTTCCACGGGCCTAAGGTGATATTCCCACCAGCTGAGTGCTTTACCTCTGAGTAGGCTCTGCCATTCTCGGAGGACTTCGTCTCGAGCGTATGGATTAACGATTTTCCTTCCAATTGCTAAGAGCCATAGATCTACGTCTCGGTAGCATAGTGTCTGTTGGTCATAGAATATAGGCTCCCTGCCGTACTTGCTGTCGGCGTCGGGCCAGAATACTCCGTATCGTTGCTGAATGTTCGTTATGGCTGCGAATCTTCTCCCTGGGTCTGGTAGGAAAAGCAGTTGCTGTTGTTGTCGTTGAGACTGTAGCATAGTCATACAGAGGCTAATTTCGGTATAGATATGGGCATGCTTAGCGGCGTTGAAGAGGGTCTGTAGAAACGGCGCAGAAGCCCGTTCTATAACTTCTATGGTCTGGCCGGCAGTCTCGGCAGCAGTCTCGGCAGTAGTCTCAGTAGTCTCGGCAGTAGTCTCGGCAGTCTCGGCAGTAGTCTCGGCAGTAGTCTCGGCAGTCTCGGCAGTAGTCTCGGTAGTAGTCTCGGCAGTCTCGGCAGTAGTCTCGGCAGTCTCGGCAGTAGTCTCGGCAGTAGTCTTAGCAGTCTCCTGCTGTGGGATTCCAGCCCTACAGGCTGAGGGCTGGCAGCCCTGTTGTAGGTGTCGGAATAGGGCGTTGCGAGATGTGAAATCGCTATAGCAGATGCGACAGCGAAACTGGCTTCCACAGCTATTGGCATAGACGTGGCGGAAGAGAGCGTTCTTGCTGGGGAATCTAGCGCTACACTTCCGGCAGGGCTCTGGGCGCTGTTGGCGGGTCTGGATAGCCTTGAGGTCGTCAATTGACGGCCATACCGTTGGGTCCCACGCTGGCGTAGGCGTAGAGGGATAACGGCGTTGACGGTACGAGGGGTGATGGTCTCGCGTAGGGTCTTGAGGGGAGGCGAATAGTATAGCTGGTGCGCGCATATTGGCGGCGTCGGCGTTAGCAGCAGCGTTAGCAGCAGAATTAGCCTGGTGCGGGCGGATTGGCCACGGTCTGGTGTTTCTCAACGGATTGAAAAAAGTAGCTTATTTGCCCATGCTGAAAAATTAACTATGAGGTCGCGAGGGATCGCAAAGTAGGTCGTGCTACCACTTGTCACAGTTAATAAGTCGTTCTAGTCATTGTTGTCTATTAGGTTAGGTCTATCCTAGGTCTAGCGAACAGGTGGTCTAATATACCTATAGGGCGGTCTAGGGCGACAGTATCGCCCCACGTGTGGCAGCCCCACTGGCAGCCACACTGGCAGCCCCATAACTGTGGCATCCCTACTGTTGTGTCTAATAGAACTGTGACAATATCTATATATAAAGTAAACTTAGAAGTTAATAAGAACTATAACTTCTTAATAAACTTTTTAATAAACTAAACCTAAGTATATATTCGAATAGAGATTCTATCTATATCCGTAATATAAAAAGATATAAGCTATAGGTAAATAATAATATCTATGTTACGGCCAGCTAACTGACAGTGGGTTTGTGTTAACAGTAAGCCAGGGATTGAGAGTAGTAACAGTCGTTCCGTGGTCCTGGTCGAATAGATCGTAGATCTTCAAAGGTCTTGGTGATCAGTCAAGGCCTCAACAAGAGTCGTAGAGTAGTCGTCACTTAGGTATAGCTGAAAGTACCGGTTAGGGTAATCACGAAGTTGATTGCTGAAGAACTAGGAAAGGTAGGACTCGAGAGGACTCGAGTCCCAACTATATACAAGTCTGGTTCCATGCTGAACACTTCCTGATCCTGGGGGACCGACACCCAGGACGTCGGTCCATCGCCATGGACCGCCCTTGGCACCGTCGGTCCTGTCCCAGGACCGCTTATCGTCCGTCGGTCCTGCTTATCGTCACGTGACCTGTATCCTAGTTCTTCCGTTCCGTGGGGGTTGTTACGACGTAACGGCTGACGGCCGTCCCTATAACCGCTGAGCCCCTGCGGGGTCGTCGTCAGTGGTCTGTTAACTGTCGGGTCGTAACAATCTATAGTTAGGTTCGGAACTAGTTTCTTCTAGGTTTGCTAGATACTAGCTATACGCTCTTCTAAGCCTTTAATAAGAGTAGTAAGGAGACTATTATCTAGCTATATATCTAGTATATAAAGTACTTATTCGATCGGGTTGGTTATAGTATTAGAAAGTCGTATACGTAATGAAATCGTAGCTGTTAGAGTTTCGAAGTCGTTAGTATTTATAAGGTCGATTTTGTCTAGTTCTTATACTTAGGATAAATCGATTAAACAAAATACATACGTCTTCTACTTCTATAGTAGTTTTACTAAGAAGTAGTCTAGGTTAGCCTGCTTAAGGCACCTTAAAAACATATTCGTATAAAATATAGTAAATATTATTATTAAGAATTAAGAATATACTCCTATACGGTCTCGTAAAACTCTATACATATACGTATACGAAATATAGAATTCGCTTAAATTTATAATAATTACATAGTAAAGATAAGAAGCTTAACTATCTATATAGGTAGTATATGCTTATCTCGTTTATGCATCCTAATTAGGCAATGTTTGAATTTTGACCCAGTGCGCCCTGCGGACTGCCGTAGGCCAGGAATCTGATGAGTCCAAAATCCACCTTCATTTTATCCTTGAATTGAACTCGTCAGCAGAGTGTCATCCCTTGCGTAGGGCCCAATTTCAATTACAACACACAATTTGACAGTGGACGCTGATTGCAACATCACCGTACCAAACATAGATTCGGCATCGGTGTCGGGACAAAGCAGGAGGAAGGGATGTTTTTGCTTCGTATTATTCAGCAGGCTCTTTATCAACAATTCTATTGGCAATTAAATGAGGTTTAATGACTTTTATCTAGTGTTCTATGAAAACTCCAGATACTAAATACAAATAAACTATGAAAAACCTGGAACCTCCTAAGGATGCTCGAAAATTTAATAACTTCTGACCCGGTGGATATTTGTAGGAATTGTAATACTGTTTATTTCAAGGACAGTCCTAATTCAAAGACCTTTAAAAATGGTTCCTTAAACAAGGAGAAAAAACTAGAGAAGGTGACATGTTTGCACTGACACTCGTTGGTTTATGCAACCCAAGCAATTCGAAATATGTGAGAAAACTGAGATGAATTCTTCAAATAACAATTGTTAATAAGCCTAAATGGTTGAGACTAAATAAGTAACTGGGAAGGTTGAATTAAGCTTGCCAACATCTTCGGACAAGACCTTCACACAAGCTTTGACTAAAAGCCCATCTTGTGCGTAGCGAAAAGCCTCACCGCTGCCTCCCGCCCTAAAGACGCGATACTCTCTGCGCTTCGTAGCTCTAAGATAGTAAACGTCACACCCATCTTCTGCCTAAGCCAGTTCCGAAGCTCAACTGTAACCAGAGAATCCGTCTGCAAGGGCAACGATAAATCAACCTCATCATGCTTATGCATTGTGAAATCTTGTAATGCGCCACTGATCTGTTTAGCCAAGAAGAGTTTTCCTTCTTCCGACTGAAGCTGCGCGGGATCAGAGCTGCATGCTTGGAGGAACTCCTTCAAAGTCCTATTCGGTTCGGTCATATGGTCGTTTTGATCGGTAACTGAGGAGTTTCCCAGGAATACTGTCCGAGGGTCCCTTTGCCAACCCGTTCTGTTCTTTGAGGCAGATGATCTCATACCGATAGCGACTTGACTGTGGTTTGTGCATCCTTCTGATATCTCGTAAGGTAAAGTCTTGTCTGCCGGCTTCTTATGCGACCGTTTGATCATCAACTCCAGGGCGTCGAGAAAGTCTTGCTCGTGGAGACAGTGTTGTGATGTTGCTCGGAGTGCCTCAAGGCGGTTTTGGTCCCTTGCAAGCACACCAATATCTTCCATAATACCAATGTCCAGAACCGAGCATGCCAACCCCTGTGTGTGTCGGTATTGCACAAAGGCATCAAGGAAGGCATTTCCTGCGGCGTAGTTGGCCTGTCCAATTTGCCCTCCAAGCCCAGAAAGGGAGCTGAAGAGGAAGAAGAAGTCAAGTGGTTCACTCTGTGATTGTAAAGCATGATGGAGATTCCAAGTGCCTTGCACCTTGGGCTTGACAGTTTTTTGCCATTGATCGAAAGTCATATCAGTAATGTTGATGTCCTGAGCTTTGCGGTTAGTAGAATTATCAACATAAGGTGTGCAAAATACGTACCTGGAGAACCATAGCCGCCTGCAAGACTCCAGCAATTGGCGTCCTGGCAGAACTGACAACTTTCATAACGTCAGCAATCTCATCGACACTGCCAGAAATTGCCTGTACAGTGCAGCCGAGCGCTTGCAACTCTTCAACGTATTCAGGGAATTCCACTGCCGATTCTTCGGCAGACCTGGAGAAGAAGATAAGATGGCGAGCTCCGTGCTCCGCAAGGTATCTTGCTGTGGCTTGGCCCAAACCTCCAAATCCACCAACGAACACATATGTCCTATCCGGATGGAGATTCATGTTTGCCCTTAACGGAGCTGATAGAAGATTCTCGTTGCACTCTGGCATTCTCACGACAACTCGGCCGATGTGTCGTTTTTCTTGCAAGTACTGGAAAGCTTCAACAACACGTGCAGCCTCAAAAGAGGTGATTGGCTGGGGAGGATGATTAAGCCCAAGCTTGCAAAACATGAAAGCTTGCTCTATAAGACTGATGTGACATTAGCAGAGTGACTAAACGTAAGGATTCAAGAAACATACCGAGTACATTCTGATGGGCGATGCATCCTCAGTTCTTCTTGATCAAGGCTGACAAAAGCTTGGTTGCTACTGGGCTGTGGCATGTTGAAATAGAATCCGCGTGAACTTCCGCCATGTCTGGTTTGAATCACGATCCCGGATGTAGCAAGGCACTTCCAGTAGAGACCGAGAGAATCTTTGGCGATAGGGCCGAACATCACATCTACCCCTTGATTGTTGCTCAATCGGAGGACCTCAAATGCAGAAGAAGCATCATCGCCACTGAGAATATGACTTTTCGGAATCCCATAGGAACGGTTGAGATATTCAGCCTGATCTGCGTGTTCGACTTTGCAGAAAATCTAGCAAGCACTTGTTAGCATGATTTGTCTAAAGTGACCCACGCTGAAGGGATTGGTGCATAGTACCTCGGCGCCAACAGTCTGAGCTAGTTGAATTGCAGCAAGTCCAAGGGCATCACAGGCCGAATGAATAAGCACAGCCTGCGTTGTTTGTCAGTGATGTGCCAGAAGGATGCTTCAGATGGTACTTACTTGGTTCCTCCTTAACTTTCCAAGCTCCATAAGTCCGTACAACGCAGTGCCATACGAGTATGGCGATGAAGCTGCCTCTTCAAAACTCATAGCCCCTGGAATTTCCACACACATCGTCTCCGGCAATGTGATTGAGGTAGAAAGGCAGCCGCCAAAAGTAAAAGCAACTCGATCTCCAGGCCGGAACCGCCGGACTTCAGAACCTACTCTTCGTACGATTCCACTACCTTCGAAGCCGAAATCGCTGCAGCCAGCATGCTGCTCAAGGTTATCACCTTTTGAAATTTCCATGTCCTAAAGTGTTCTAGTCAGTTATGCTCGATTATCCTGTGAAAGGTTGGTAGCCTACTCACCCTAACGTTAAGTCCAATAGCCTTGGTTTCGACTTCGATCAAGTCTCTCTCCAGGGGAACCGGCTCGATAGCCTCCCACCTTAGACTATTTAAGACGCCTGGCTTACTTATCTTCAACTGCTTAGACAAGTTATTCCCCCCTTGGTACAATTGCTCCGAAATATTAATAGGGCGAAACCGACATATTTGAAGTGAGCCTTGAGAAAACACATACTCTGACTCAGGCTCAACTTCCCCCCCTGTAAAGCGCTGTCCGAGAGTCTCAAGAACTTTGTTCATGGCATTCCAACCATTGGCGTCGAATGAGTCCAACTCCAAAGTTACAATATCCATGGAAAGCTCTCTGCGAAGACTGCGAGCAGTGCCAAGTATCAGAGAGTAATTCGGATCTTTACAATCGATCTGGGATGCACCTGTAACCCATAACAGTTTCTCATCTTGTGCCGAGAAAATTGTGGTTTTAAGGTCTGTCCATTGCTGCGGTGTCATGTTGTGGAGGAAGGGGCCTTCAAGATCTAGAAGGCACACGGCAGGTTGACCCCACGGAACTTCTTGACCTGGAGTGACGAAATCAAGATCGAACCCTCGAGCCTTAAGAGCTCTGGTCGCATCTTTGATCGAATGATGAGATGGATCTTGACAAATGATGCTTGCGGCCGTGGCTTTCCAATGGTCCAGATATGGTGTAACAATGGTAAGCCTCGCATGGTCTCCTGAATACGTCGTGGCTCCATTGTTATCAAACCCTGCCTGACTTAAGTGATCGTACAAGGCTAGGTCTTCCGCCCATCCCTCATAGAGCACATTTGGGTTGTGAGAAAGTCCAAAGACGTACTGAAGAGTTCTCGATGTTGGATTTGCATGTTGAAGAACCAACCGTCCCGTAGGTTTCAATAGCTTGCGCATATTTCTGGCGGCTGCCAGTGAGATTGGAGTTGGCTCAATTTTAAGAATGAGATCGAATGACTCTTCATTAAGGCCTTGTGAGACAGGGTCGACGTTGATGTCAAGCTGAACATGTCTGGCTGTGGGGATCTCCGCGAGACGCTGCTTAACTGTACTATCAATTTGTGCCGATGCCGTAGTGTAGGTGTAGGTACTATGCACGTCATGGTTATGCTTGGCTGCGAAAAGCCAAGACGGTAACATGTCCTCGGGAACACCGCCAATTTGCAAAATGTTAAGTCTTGACCTCTTGTGTACCAAGAGTTGAAGTAAACTGGTGATGTCCACATCGCATAGAAAGCCGGACGCCTGAGCCGTGATTTGATGTTTCGAAGTTGGCTTACTTGTATCCAGGTTACCAGAGAACCAAGCTGCGACGTTTGTGTAAACTTCGTATACCGCTAGCGCATGGCTCTCTGACGGTGTGCCTTTGCAGGCTTGGAGCATCTCCGAGATAATTGTTTGCCTTGACTCGGTGCTCATCGTCGCAATTTCAAAAGCGTTCAAAACGTCTAGGTAGTTTCCAGTCATGGCCTTTCGGTAAGATTCGTCAAGCCAGCCTTTGAATCTCACAAGGTGTGGCTTTGTTGCTGGAAGAAATTGAAGTTGAGCTCTTGACTCCACGACACAAGCCAAGACCATCTTGTTCAGGTTGTCGGAACAAAGTCCGAATTCCCTATGACGAAGAATGTGGGATAGATCAAGTAGGTCAATGTCAGGCTTCCATTCGAGCACGACTCCAGCATGAGGGTCTGTGTCGTGGTCCAGGGAGCTGTCTCCAATGGCTTCTACCTCAAGCCCTTGAATGTCTATTACAACTTGCCCTTCCGATACTCCCACAACCTGACTTGTTTCTTTGGCTGCATTACCAAGGTTTGTGGTTGCTTTCACCTGGATTTGTCCTGAAGGCTTGCCGATGTACAGTTCTTCAATAAAAGTGGGAACCGCCAAACTTTTGTGATTCTTAACAAGGCCACGACAGGATGCGATCATTGAGAAATGCATACTGGAATCCAGAAGAGTTGGGTGGATTGTGTAGGATGACTTTTCGTATTCCGACAACTCCGACTGTAAAGTTGCAATGGCTGTTCCATCGCTGACATGAGCGTTAATGTCGGTGAGATTTTGGAACCGGGGACCGTAACTCAATCCGAACCTCTTCCAAGTGCTGTAGAATGGCGCGGCAGAGGCCTTTCGGGGAAGAGCTATAGCCTTGAGGGCCTGGCGCTCGCGGTCTGAACCACTTTTGCAGTGACCTGTGACGTGCTTGACCCAGGTGTTACAGCCGTAGCTCAACGAATGAATTGACAGGTCGAACCAGCCCGAATCTGCTTCAGAATTGACGTGCGAGGGGTTGAGAATAGTGACCAGCTCAACTGGTTGATCATGGAGAACTAAAGCCGAGTCGAAACGGATGTGCTTGATGGTGTAATCGATAGATCCTGTGAGTTGCTTCAGGGCTTCTCCAATCATCGAGATAAACCCCGTGGCAGGAAACACTGTTTCTCCAAAAACAGTGTGTTCTCGAAGCCATGGCACGTCTTCAACTCTCAAGTTGCACCTCCAAGCCGGACAAGCATCCGCAATTTCCTCGACTCGAGTTCCCAGCAACTCGTGGTGAGCATGTTTTCTGAATCTCCAGCTGCGGGATAGTCGGGTTTCTACCCAGAATTCTTTTTCATAATGCCATGGGTATGTGGGAAGGTCCGCCAGAAATTCTCCCCGCGGAACCACCGCAGAGAGATCGATTGTGGCTCCGGCCACCCAGAGCTCTCCTGCTGTTTTCATTACGCATGAGACCGCATTTTGGTTTCGTACTAGTGTTGAAATGTATTCGGCATTCCGGTTCCTGGCCTGCAGAATCTGTCGTAATGGGCCAGCTAGTGCGGAGTGCGGACCGATTTCCATGAAGATTGGTGACTTGAAATCGTCTAGGACGGACTCAGCCGCTGTGCTGAACAAGACAGGCGATACAACGTTCCGGACCCAGTATGAAGAAGACATGTCTTCGTTCATTTTACCTGTGACGGAAGAATAAAATGGCACGTTGGGCAATTTGGGTTGAAACAGTCCCTCCAAACGCCTTGTAAAGTCTGCTGCCGCGGTTTTCATATGGTCTGGAGAGTTTGTAAGTTAATCATCCATATCGAAGCCAGTCCTGTGGCAAAGAACATACGTGAGTGATAACCGCATTCGACCCGAAGGCTTCGTACCAACACCTCTGGATATGCTTTCTTGATATCTTCCATTACAGTTTCTAAGACGTCAGCCTCGCCTGAAAGAGTCACATTTGCTGGTGAATTCTCGCAGCCGATAATAACTCCCGGTTTGAGGAGGTGCTCAACTTGGCCTCGACCCAGCCCAATTGCAGCCATCGACCCTTTATGAGAAGATTTAATCAACCGAGTGATCTGGCCTCGATGATAAGCAATCCTAATGGCATCTTCAGCTGTGATTGCACCGCTGGCGTACGCGGCAGCAGTTTCTCCAGAAGAGTGCCCGACAACTGCAGAGGGTGCAACGCCCCATGAGCGAAGCAAGTCAACCAAAGCCACTTGAATGGCAACAAGGCATGGTTGAGAGAATTCTGCCTCGTCAAGTCTACTCTCTGACTTCGGTGCCAATAACAGCCCTTATTCAAGTTAGATTGGTTTAGATAGGCTTATCTTGCAGTTGAGGGGTGAAGCATAAAGTACCTTTGATTGTCCATGATGGCGGACATGGGAGGTTGGCTAGTACGCCATCCAGACTGTTAATCTTTTGTCGAAACAGTGGTTCTTGTTCGACCAACTCTTTTCCCATTTGTGCCCATTGAGCTCCCTGTCCAGTGAAGACCCAAATTAATGACGGTGATAGCTTTCCTGGTTTGTTGATATGTGACATATGGAGCTCCTGGACGCCATCAGTCACGCAGAAAGCGCGGTGCTGGTGGAGTTCCCGACGCGAACTTAAAGAGTAGGCTACATCTCTAATCTTATCAGGTTGTTGAGACAAGTATTGTTTAATGTTGGCAGCCGTCCTTTTGACAGAATCTGGGTGGCCTGCGGAGAAGACCAGGAGATGATGCTTGGAAGCTTTAGGGCTTAGGTCGTCGTTTTCGATAGACCTTGCAGAAGATACACCGAAGCAGGCAGCTGACTCAAGTAAAACCTAACGAAAGTGTCAAACAGGCACATTACTCGAAGTGAAGATCGAGATGAGTACGAACATGAGCGTTAGAGCCGCCTATTCCAAAGCTATTGACTGATGCTCTTTCGAGTTTATCAGCTGGCCATGGCAGAGGCTCTGTCGGGACCTTGAGTTTCGCGTTTCCCCACAGAACTGTGATAAAACTCTACGTCAGCTGCGAGAAAATCCAATTGAGTCCTGATTGCTTACTTTTTGGGTTTGGCGTTTTAAAGTTGATATTTGGGGGGATGGTGGAATTCTCCAAGGCTAGCACCATCTTAATGACGCTAGACAATCCTGAAGCACCCTCACCGTGGCCAATGTTTGGTTTCACCTAGAAACCTATTCAGCTTCGTCAACAACAGCACAATCGTGGCGACCTACCGATCCAATATGAATTCCGTGCTCAGACCATATGTTTGCAATCGCGTTGGCTTCCAGAGGATCACCGACCTAACAGGCAAAGATGAGCAGTTGAACTAGCAGGCATGCAACTGACAGGTTGTCATATTACTTACGGTAGTTCCAGTTCCATGGCACTCAACCATCGCTGTCTTAGAAAGGTCACTTATACCAGCCAGTTGATGCCCCCTTCTCATTAGCTTCTCATGACTTTTGGGATTAGGCGTTGTTAACCCTTGGGTCCTGCCATCGCCAGCGATGCAAGTTGACCGGATGACTGCACGAATCGGATCGCCATCACGTACAGCGTCTGACAATTTCTTGATATAGATCGCAGTAACTCCTTCGCCTCGAGCAAATCCGTCCGCATCAGCGTCAAAACTTTTACAGGACGCCGTAAGTGACAGGACGCCTTGCTGATGCATGACTGCCGTGTCTTTGGGCGTCAGAATGAGATTAACGCCTCCAACGAGAGCTGAAGCACAATCACCGCCTTGCAGGTCTCTGCAAGCCATATGTAGCGCGACTAAAGAAGCAGAGCAAGCCGTACGAAGCACGACGCTGTTAAATATTTGTCAGAACCGAATCACATACCAATGCTGAAAGTCTCAAGCATACCTTGGGCCAGTAAAATCAAACTCATAAGAGGTTCTGTTGGCGATGATGTAATCTCCATATACGTCTGGTCGGACTTGGTGAAGATTTTGCTGGTCTTTGGACTCGATATGATTCCACTCTTCGCCCATGGTGCCAACATACACTCCCACATCACTACCCCTAAAATTTGTCGTTCCGGAACTTTCCAGGGCTTCGTAGGCGACCTCCAAGAACAGTCGTTGTCTGGGGTCCATAAGTTCGGCTTCTTGCTTCGTGAATGACCAAAAGCTGGGGTCGACGTGCCCCAGATTTATATCTTGAAGAAAGTAGCCAAACCCTGTTGGTACATGATTGGGCCTGCCAGGGCCGTACCATGTGTCGACATTATAACGACTGCTGGGGACTCGGCATCGTCCGCTCTTGCCATTGACGAGGAGGTCCCAGTAGTCAGTAGCGTTACAAACGCCCCCAGGAAGCCGCATGCCCATGCCTATGATGGCAATAGGCTCAAACATTTTAGCTTCACCCACATACTGATCGCCAGAGTTTTGAACGTTCTGTGTGGGTTGAGTTTCCATGTTGTGTCGAATTAGCTTCCGCAGCGTGCCAACGTATAATCTTTGCTGCTGCCAAAGCTTTTGGACTTGTTGAAGAACGGCCCAAGCACGTACCTATCTACGGGTGTTTCCGTCAATTTATATGCCAGAGATATATCGCACACCACAGAATAAGAAAGGTCATAGAAAATAGTGTGCACCCCCCTTTCACGGAGCCTCGGAACAAGTCAAAAGCTCATCAAGGCCATACAAACCAATAGCGTTAGGTTCATATGCACTTTTCAGTTGGCAGTTAAATGGATGTCATTTGGGTACGCCGAGGCACAGTTATTATCTACTAATTCGCGCACTCAGCTTCTCCTGGATCGGAATGTACCTACGTAAAGAGATCCCCTGATATATGCACATGAGTCTAGGCATCCGCACTCTCCCAATCGAAATCTCAGCTCCAGCGGCGCAGCAGGAACATCGTATCAGCTCGTGATTATGAATACATGGAGATTATTATCTGCAGGTGTTCCATTCTTAGGTCAGCCCATCTGGTTGGAAGTCCGACCAGTCAAACCATAGCTGAAAGCAAAGTGATGCTTGGCCGCCTAGAGTGCGATGCGCAGGATCCATTGGTAAGACTAGCGTCGATTGCGTCGCTTCTTGGAACCCATTGGACCATCCCACAGATTACTCAAAATACGACAGACAAATATGACTTAGTGCAAATGCAAGACAGAGGTTGGTGGGATGGCGCAGGATCAAGACTTCTTACGGCGCAGCAAAATTATGTACGCAAGTGGCTTTCCCCACACACACCACATGGCCATCATGCATGTTGGCGAGCACGAAGCCGAATCCACGCGAGCCCGCTTACCGAAGGTGGTTGCAAGATGCTGGCTTTCCAATGCAACGATTCTGTAATTATTGATGTGCAAAATAGGAAATGGAAACAACTCCGGAGCTTGAGGAGGCGCGGAAGGACGGTCGCAGCTCAGAGGCAGTGATATATTTGCCTCAAAAGTATCAGACTGTAACCCTTCCTTTTTTTTTCTTCCTTTACAAGTATCCTCACACACAACAGGTCTTGCGAAATCATAGACCCCCGTCAGTTGAATAACTATATCTGTTGGGTGGTACATTCGGATGCTAACCGATCGACGTAGGCTATCAGCTGTCACCGAGCCCCTGATTCTTCAACAAGCTCCCACCGAAGCGGGACCTTTTTCTTTTTTTTCCATTTACCGATACGGCGTCTTTACCCGTTCGCTCGGTTCCTCCCACTTCTCTTGGGTTCTAGGGAACAAAAAGATGGCGGATTTTCTTGCCCCGGATCCAGTGCAGTTGCATGCAGGTTTACGGCCGGAAAGCCTGGCCTGCATCGACCTCGCAACCAATCGCAAATGGACGTATTTGGAACTCAACTCCGATGTTCAAAGCGCGACCACCGTCCTGTCTGCATACGGTGTCTGTGTTGGTGACAGAGTGGCCACAATTTCAGTCAACAACGTTCATCAGATCATTCTGCAGCAGGCGTTGATGAGATTGGGAGCCATTCACGTGCCTTTGAATTGGCGACTTGCCCTACCTGAACTTGCCAAGCTGTTGGAAGACTGCTCGCCTACTATCCTCTTCACGGACCTCGACCCACCCGACTTACCCCTTGGGTGCAGCCGCAGTAGACTTGCAAGGTTCGCTGCAGATGTTGACAACGCGGAACCGGGACCTCGCCTCCAAGCGAGGTCTTCTGAAGAAACCAGCATTATTCTCTATACGTCTGGAACGTCTGGTGCACCGAAGGGGGTGATGCTGAATGCGAAATCTATCGTGGCAACAACTGTCAACTTTGGGGTTTTGACAGAAGTTGATACTGGTTCCGCGTTTCTCTGCGACGGGCCGATGTTCCACCTCATGGGTCTCATCGCGCAAGTATGGCCGCCACTTATGCGCGGTGGTACGTTTGTGGTCTCTTCAAAGTTCAGTCCTGAGGCAACCAATGCAAGACTCAGTGACCCTGGGCTGGGAATAACACATTACTTCTGCGTTCCTCAGATGGCGGAGGCTCTCGCCAGGGCCGCCAATTTCAACCCATCAGAATGGCTAACCCTCAAGGCTCTTTTCACAGGCGGCGCACCCAATCCACCATCTCGTATCAAGTGGTGGCTCGATCTGGGTGTTCCCATGGTTGATGGATATGGCTCGACGGAAATGGGAACGGCATCCGGTATGCCACTTTCGCTCGAACTCATTCGCAAAAAGGCCGGCTCTGTGGGTCTCCCGGGCCCATTGACTGCAGTCCGAATCGTTAATGACCGGGACCAGCCTGTACCTGTAGGCACTCCTGGTGAAATTCTCATCTCTGGTCCAGGTGTTACGCCGGGTTACTGGAACAATGTTGAAGGGAATCTTGCCGCTTTTACCACTAACGGCTGGTTCAGAACCGGCGACATTGGACGAGTGGATGAAGATGGCTTCATTTTCCTCATTGACAGAAGAAAGCACATGTTCATATCTGGAGGTGAAAACATATACCCCGCAGAGATTGAGGCGGCACTGCTGGAGCACCCTGAAGTGTTGGAAGCTGCAGTTGTGGGGATCGATGATGTGGTCTGGGGAGAAGTCGGCCGCGCGTTCGTTGTCGCCGCACCTGGGTCTCGGCTCAGCCACGACGAGTTGGTCGCCCATTGCCAGTCACGAATTGCTCGGTTTAAAATTGCAAAAGAGACTGTCTTTGTAAACAGTTTACCAAGGACAGGATCTGGAAAGATCATGAAGCATCTTTTGGGAGAAGGTTCGGCAGCCAGACTCTGACTTGGAACTATCTGAAATAAGTACCTTGCTTGGAATCCATGGCTAAGTGACCAGGTCATGCTGCAACTTGTTTGTTGCTAAGAACTATGAGTGACGAGGTGGTAGTAGAAATGCAATAAATTTTGGCAAAATATCATTTCCTTCTCACTAACAAAAATAAATCTGACCAGTTTGTCAAAAGAGTTGCGCCGAGGGGGAATCGAACCCCCGGCTCCCCGACGCTGCTTGATGGCAACGGAGAATTTTACCACTAAACCATCGGCGCATGTTGTAAGACATCATGGTGGAGATGCTTGATGTGCAGATATTTGCAATTGGTATCTATGATTGTTGATTGAATGCGTTCAATGCCTCGTTATGTTTTTGTTTATGTTTCCACGCTACTTGCGTGAGGAACACAAGAAGACATTTTACCAACTTTGGTAAGTTCTGACATCATTCATCTAGCGATCTACCAGGGTATGGCTGTGGGGAAGGTTTGCGCCTCAAGTTTGGTAAGTGGGTGTGCTCATGATACGACCTGAGAAACCGAAAAAGACCCCCAAGGCTGACTGTGCCTCAAGGAACCATGCAAGTCTCAGGCGCGGCCAAAAATTTACTACTCCTGGCGATAGTTCTAAATCCAGCGTCTCGGTCCGCCCTGGAAGAGGGTGGTAAGCAGGAAGGGGCCAAGTAACCGGTAACAGTTGGCCAACGCTTGTCACTCCAAGACAAGTGCTTACTCGCCGACAGCTCAGCAGCTAACGACATCAAGACTGAAGCTGTTGCCTACGTACCCCCTAGCATGAAGCCGTCATCGGAAGCCCAAGACCGGCTGCCTCTCCCCCTCATCACTTGTTCTACCCACTTCACCTGAAGTCGTGCATGCATTCCAACTGTTCATCTCTAGCTTCTCAAAGTTCTGCATCTGGATCATTATCCACTCCTTCCACAAAAGTCTGCCCAACTCACTAGCGTCCGTATTTCAGGCAATCACAGCGCACCCGAGACCCCTCAGTTAACCAAATTAGGGATTGGGCCGTGTTGAAGTGCACCAACATGCATCTCACGCTTCATTCTTGCCTTTCGATTCCCTAATCGCCCCCCAAAATCCAACGTCCCAACAAGTGTAAATGTCGAAATTGCCTGCGGACATGCGACCCTCTTTGGTTCTGGAACTCTCGGCAAAGAGGCACCAACCCTTGGTGCGAGAACATGAACTAATTATCTTGATCCACTAATCATTCCGAATGTGCTCCTGACTTGCCTACCGAAAAGATCGACCAGGCCATAATTTCCATATCAGACCTCCTCACTCTCAAAGGTACCTGCTTATCAATTCCCATTTCCCTTTAGGTCGAACTTTTCCCGTGGTTGACTTGGCACCAGTCGAAAGGAATGCTTTCGTAGTGCGTGATGATATCACTATATCATCTTCAAGTTGCCCCAAATCGTTACTCTGGTAAAATATGGGATATAGAGTAATAATTATTAAAAACCTATGAAACTTCAGGCGGTAGTAACACTGAAGTCTATACGAGAGATTCCCTAACATGGAGCCATATAGATTACTACAACAGAGTGGCAATGTGTGTGAAACACTAGGTCAGGAATCAGGGGCTGGAAAGGCACTTGGATTAGCTGGAATTTAACATCAAAGCGGAGGACCGTCTATGGGCTTTAGTAATTCTCTGAAGAAGTCGTTATTCAAGAACAAGATAGCAGAATTCCGATATCGTTTAATTAATTAGTTTACCCTTCGGAAAGGGTGTCTTAGCTGCAGTCACTGAACGTCTCTAGATTCACAGATGGTTTGAACCAACTATTTACTATTTATGATACCTATGGAAATAGTGTATCACTAACGTTTTTGGTGACGGTGGTCATCACCCTAGTTTCTTATGGCCGTCTTCGCTACAAAAACGGATGCAAACACAGTGTATTCACCCAAGGAGATCGACAATGACTATCCTCTCAAGAACGATAGTAATATTGTTGACGCAGTTGCTTCTCAGTGAGCCACAGGCGTCAAATGTACATTAAGAGGAATTCTTCCCCAGACACCAAACGCCTTCTGACGTCCAATCCAATCTTCATTTGCAATATCGCCTGCATATGTAATATCAAAGTCGAAGATAACCCGGGCCAGAATCAATCGCATTTCTGCGTACGCCAAACTACTCATCGTCAGCTAAAGATCCATACAAGGCGAGTTATTATTACTGACTTCTGACCTATACAGTTACGGGGCCCGACGCTGAAGGCTTGGAGCGCATCTAAATTATCGCGAGATTCTTTGTCCCTATTTATGAATCGCTCAGGCTTGAAGGCAAATGGATCTGACCAATTTCCCTTGGTGTGATTCGCTGCCCATTGTTGCACCTCGACCAGAGTCTGGGCACTTGAAGTCAGCGATAGCCATCCAACACAATGCATGCTTCAAGACTTACCCCGGCCGCCACGGACCTCGACGCAATTCGGCCGCCATGTGTAGGAACCCGCCGCACAGAACCCGACAATACAGGCGGATACATGCGAAGCGCCTCGTTCAGCACGGCCAGCATGTACGCTAATTTGCTCACTGAATTGATGTTGATATCATCTGATTTTTCAAAAGACGATCGTATCTCTTTCTCGAGCCTGCGCAGAACATCAGGGTGCTTGAGAAGCAGGAACGTGACTCCGGATAGAGTAGTTGCCGTCGTCTCAGAGCCAGCCAAAATCAGGACGGTTGCGTTTCCTGCAAGCTGATCGAAGGAGAGGTTCTAGGAGTCGTCCTAACATTAGCAACAATAAGTTGACCATATGGACGTATGATACCTTACCCACTCTTCCCTTTTCTGGACAAGTCCTTCAAAAAGGTCCTTTCTATCTCGCGGCATACTTAATCGTGTGTTCAACATCTTCGCGGTGTTTTCTCGTAGGGTATCCATCGCAACCATCCCGCCAAGTACAAAAAGCGTTTCGACTATCCACCCAAGTCCAACGTATTTCATTGCCACCATGACAGCATTGAAACGAGCAGTTTGGAAGATAAACGCGATCCAGGGGTGATAGTCAGCATTTGCAAGGCATTCGAAGGGTTGCCCAAACACGAGGTCGCCAGCAATATCAAAAGTCGTCCAGTTGTACCAGGCTTCAATGTTGAGTGTGGCTTTACCGCTATCACATCTCTCATGGAGTTTGGAAGCTAGGGAGTTTGTGTACTCAGCGAAGATTTCTTCCTGCTCGCGCATGGAGCTGCTGGAAAATCCGTTTGACAAGGCCCGACGATACTTTTGGTGTTCATCATGATCAGCATTGAGGATGTTCGCAGGAACTTGTTTCACCGTGCGAGCAAAAATATCAGCCTTGGGCATGCCAGATGCATTCACACTACCATGACCTCCGGTGCGGGACCCGTAGATATCTTTCCATGCCTGCGCATCGGTGAAAGATAGATGATTTGGCGAGATCCGCACCACGGGTCCGTATCTATCATGAAGCTTCTGGGTGTGGAAAGCTTGTATACCAATAGAATGCTGATATGCCCACGGGAGACTAGAAGCACGTTGGAGAACCGGACCGGGGAATTTGCGCAGTGGGTGTAGAAAGAGATTATAGATTGCAGCCGACAATTGCCACACAATTATCTGTCATGTTAGCCTTCTATCTCAGAATCAAATGGAGTCATTAGTCTGAAAGTAGACTCTTACCATTCCAATGGCATATGCCAAAGCGTGGACTGGGGAACGGAGGATTATTGCAGTGAAATCCAACATTGTCGTTCGGCAATAGGGGAGTACAAATTGATCATATGGAGTCAATTACTAGAAGACGTCGCGGGGGAGGCATGAACAGTTGGGTAATCGAGTAGAGCCTTTAGTTGCACAAGTAACCTTTGACTCAATGTTAAAGGCTCTCCATGCTGGTGACTCTGATCGGCAGTGTCAGTCTCAACTGTAGTTTGATTCCGCAATAACTCCGCCAACATGCCCTTGTAATGCCCAAGAATCGTTGCCGCCATCTCCGCAAAGGCTAAAATCTGGGTCTACGGAGTTACAGAAAAATGCTCGCCATCAGCCGGACGGACGGCATTTTGTCTCGAGACGAACCTGAGTTGAGCAGCTAGACGATGACGGCAGATTTCGGGAAACAACCTAATAAGTTTGGGCACTGTGAGCATGGTCTAGGCATTAAGGTTCTCCTAGGATGAGACGGCCCGTTGAGGTCCCCACAAGCAAGTAACTTGCTGTCAGTGTCAGCAATCGACATTAGGGTACCACGGGTTTAGGAGAATCGGACACCGGGTGGACCAACATGACTCAGAGTTTCTACCAAGAGAATTGTCCTTGTTCTTCTCACAATAGAATCACGCTTACAGGCCCTGAACGGGTTTGGGGCTTGGCAAAATATGTCAAATGTGTGCAGCACACCATGAACTTGCATATTGCTATAACGGGTTGTTGTCTTGCACTCCGGCAAGCATCTGTCTTATTGACCATCACCAAAAGGCCATATTTGCCACGAGTTCGGCGCAGTCGTGGGGTTTTCCGCTTGATTCCTACTCAACCAAGTACAAACAGCTATTTCCACATAACCTCAGCTCCCCAAGTGTTTCATTGTTACAATGGCTCTGAACTTATTCGTCCTGTCCCTATGTGCCTTCATAGGGTTCACTGTTTGGTACATAGCCACAGCTGTCTATTCTTGGTATCGTTTACGCCATATTCCAGGCCCATTCATTGCTTCTTTCTCATATCTATGGGTTATGCGTCACATCGTAAAAGGCACCATGAATCTCGGACATCAAAGTCTGAAGCCTTACGGACCCTTGGTGCGAACTGGACCCGGGTATGTTGTCACCCACGATCCAGAAGTGGTTCGCAAAGTGATGGGCGCTCGAAGCACTTACGGGAAGCATCCTTGGTGGAAGGGTGCGAGATCACATCCGACGGAAGATTCGATCCTTAGCACGCTTGACATTAAGAAGCACGACGACATAAAGGCAAAGACATCAAACGGATACAACGGTCGAGACAAGATTAACGTGAACGACAAGGTTGACGAACAGGTTGAGCGATTGGTGAAACTCATACGCCGACGGTTCCTTTCAACCCCAGAAACTCATAGAGTGGCAGATTTCACAGACTTGATGCGTTACTTCACACTGGATGTTACAACACACCTTTCGTACGGGAAACACTTCGGATTCCTAGACAACGGTGAAGACCTTTACGCCTTCAGTAAGACCATGGACACTTACGTCATGGCAATGACCCTTGGAGTGGACGTTCCGTTCTTCAGAAATCTAATGCATTCGAAGCTCATTTCCTTCTTCTTGCCAAAGGACACTGACAAGTCAGGTGCTGGAAAGATTATGGGGTTTGTGAGACCACTGGTCTTGTTGCCAGATGCCGACAAGTTCTTCTTTTGGAAGCTAGAGCTAATCATTGGTAGTATTGCACAAGAAATCGTTCAGAAAAGATTCGAAAAAGACCAGAAAGATGAAGTCGATATGTTGGTAAGTGCCTGCATTCGGTTAACATTATGAATTATATGTTCATTGTTTGAGCTAGGGTTCCTTCATGCGACACGGCCTGACACAAGCTCAGTGCGAGGCGGAGACCTTCGTCCAAATTGCAGCAGGTAGCGATACTACAGGAAGCCTTCTGGCTACAACAATGTTGTACATCATTTCAACACCCCGGGTATACCACCGTCTCAAGGACGAGATCAGAGCTGCTGTCAATGGAAATATTGTTTCTCATCCTATTACACAAGAACAGGCCAAGAAGTTGCCATACTTGCAGGTATTTTTGCTTTAATACTGCCTATTGTTTCACTTAAATTTGTTGACCGCCCTCGTCAGGCTGTCATCTTAGAAGGCTTCCGCATGCGACCACCTGTGCCGTATGGCGCTTTCATGTCGATACCTCCACAGGGAGACACAATTCACGGCATGTATCTACCTGGCGGAACTGGAGTTGGTTTCAACATTGTAGCCATGATGCACTCGACCGAGACATTTGGAATGGATGTTGAGCTCTTCAGGCCTGAAAGGTTCCTAGAATGTGGCGAAGAGAAACGACGTGACATGTTGAAGATGGTCGATATGGCATTTGGCACCGGCAGACTTTTGTGTGCCGGCAAGCAGGTTGCGCTTTTGGAGCTAAACAAAATCTTTTTTGAGGTCAGTACAAGTTGCATGGATTTGAATTTTCAGTTTACGAACAGGTCTGACACCTATGCAACCGTCCAGTTGCTACGCCAATTCGATTTTCAGCTAGTGAATCCAAGACAAGGATGGAAAGAAAGGGCTCTCATTGTTAGTACTCAAAAGGACATGTGGGTGGCAATTACCGAAGGGGGTTTTAATTAGGACTGATGCAATGCTTCAGTCTTAACACAAAAAAAAGATTGGAGAAGGGTTGTTAAGCTACTTTTTCAAACTATATAGCAACTTCTTCTGACTTTATCTTTTGTGCCTGTTTGACTCAACATTACAGCATCGTAGGCTTCACAGTACCAAGAGCTTATATGAATTTATCTGTCTGGCTTTGTCCGCTCAGCGGTTTTAATTATGAACATTTGGAGTTAGAGACGGATTTCTAGTTTCATCTGGGCGAGAACTAGCCTACTTCATTTTGTTGGAACATGGAACATTTGGCACAGGCTATGTCTCACGCCTTCATTCAGAAGAAAGTGCGTGCGAGTTGCTGATAGGATTTACCGTGGCTTGGAATTGATTGGAATCCAAAACTATCGACGCCAAACCCCGCTAAACAATCTATTGTATTTGTAACTAGTAACCAAACACTTCATGTTTTAAAATCCATGTTCGGTAAACCTCTGAAATTCGGAAGCTTTTATTTAGTATTGATATCATTGACCCTGGCCAACCGATGCCATATCAGAGATTTGTTTTGCTGCGGTATGTCTGCCTGATATTTCCTTTGCTTCTCTGCCTAAAGTGTGAGCTTTATTCCTGATGGCTCTACTCTCTTGACTCTTTCCAACAACACGTAGAAAGGCTTCGCTTAAGCCCTCAGTCGTCCATGCCGGTGCCGTTCCACGGGTAGCGTACACGCCTACCCCAATGCTCTCAGCAACCTGCGCGAAATTGTATAAATCTAACCACATGGGTATGATGACCTGAGGCACTCCGGACCTAGTATGTGGTGATGATGAGCACTTTGCTTCTTTTAAATCTGTGAACTGACAATGAGATGACTTACCATAACGCCTCGTTGAACGAATTTGCACCACCATGGTGTGCAAAACAAACTACATTGCCAGTCATCATCAACGCTGTGGCATCGATTTCAACCCATTTACGGATTACCACTCGTTCTTGATCTATATGACTTTGAAGTTCGCCTTCAACTTCGACCCGAAATTGGTCAATCTCGCCCATTTTCCAAAGAACCTGTACTGAAGTACTATCTAATAGACTTTTCAGAGCTTGAGCCATGATATTTGCCCGTTCTTCATCGTATTTGAATAGGCTTCCTAAATTGACATACACCGTTGGCGCCTTTTTAAGCCATTGGGTAATCTCGTAGTGCTGCTCAACTGCCGGCGCAACGTCCAAAACGATGGGCCCGACTTGGTTAGCGTTGCTCGGGACTGGATGAACTGCGATACTGGCACCTGGCATATCAGGGGTAATCCACATTACACCCGGATCTGTCATGGGGCCATTGACGCCTCTGATGCCATGCTCCTGAAGGCATTGTGGAGACGGGGCTTGCACAGGCTTACGCAAGAAGGTAAAAATTGCTAGGACCGCGACTAGGATATTCTCGGGCACTTTGTTCCAGGACAGCGGGTATGTAAAGTCAGTCCCAATACTGATGTAATGGGCTTAGGTCAGCTTAATTGAAATGAGTGTTGCTGGGGAATATGATAACTTACGTCGGATATTTCCAAAGTGCATCAATTCTAGGGTTGGGTAATACCCGCGGGTACCCGTATGGGTAGTACCCAAAACTACCCGTGGGTAGTTTGGGTAAACCCGAATTACCCACGGGCAGTCCCACTATATTTACCCGCGGGTTGAAAGGCCCGTGGGTAAAACGACCCATGGGTTACACTACCCACGGGTAATTTTGCTACCCACAAGAAACGCGGGAAATACTGTAACTAAGATAGAAAGAAAATATAACTAGTTATAGGGAGAAAGAGTAAGTTACATAAAACATAGATGGCTAGAATAGATTACTACAAATATAAGAAACTAATAGAGAATAATACGATAAAGTCGGAGTGAAATCAGAGGAACAATGTATATTTAATCGCTATCCTCGTCAGGAGAGAGTTCGACAAGATCTAGCCGAGTAAGTCTCTTCCTTTTGCGACCCCCAAGCTCGGAGAAGTTTGGGAGTTCTTGGGATACAGAAGGCGTAGGTGAGTTGCTAAGTTGGGAAACTTGACTCGATAGTTTTGGCTGTTGAGAGCTAGATAAGGATGGCAGCTCCTCATCTCTATCGCTAATATCCTCCTCTTCTACTGAGACTTCGTAAGGAGGCGGGGAGGGAGCATCTCCTATAGCAGTAATAGAGATCTTAGTAAGATCATCAGAGACCTTCAGATATCTCTGAATATCAGCTTTATCCAATAGAGAAGAGTAGTTAAAAGCTTCTCTAATAATATGCTAGCGCTCTTCAGATGCTTCAGTAATATTCGTATCATCTAGAACTTCCTCAAGTGTGGTTTGGGAAAGCCAGGCCTCATTATTCTGGCTAATTTTGATAGTCAAAGTATCAAAAATAGTATCAGCCGAAAGGTTAAACCGAGCGTAGTGACAGATATGGCGAGCAAGGCTGAATGATCGCTCTAAGGGTATTGACGTCGGTTGAATAGATAAGAAGTCTCGAGCCATGCGACAAATACCATGGAATCTGGGATAGCTATTGTCTAGGCGGACCCAAAATTGCTAAACAGTTTCATCAGGGAACATAACTAAATATAGTTATTAGCTGTTAAGCCTAGTAAGATATAAGTCTTTATCTTACCAATATTAAAAAAGTCATTACAGATATTTCGTGCGTCTTGGGATGATGACATTTTGCCCTTATAATAGGTTAGTACAGTGAGTTGCTACAATAGATTGCTACAAATACCCTTTTCTTTGGACTGCGTGATAGTAAACTATGCAGAGTGTATCGGAGTCCTTCAGTTGCAGCTTTTTGAGTATTGGTATGGCGTTCCGAATCTTGATGGTACTGCTTTGTATATACCTCGATAAATTCTTGCTGTACTCGAGTTCGAAGTGAGGCTGAAGAAGGAAGGTATTCGAAGTAATTTGCGAATTGGAATCGCGTGTCAAAAGTACTCGAAACTGATGTCCCAGCTTCAGGGGTAAGGAGAGTTGCAATACCATATACCTTGAAGGAATCCTCTTCAATTAGCTTTTGAACGTATTTTTCCAGCTTCTCTTGGCCCTTTTTCGTAGCAGCCTGAAGGATTGATATCCAAGTAAAGTCTTTGCTAGTAACTTTATCTTTAAGTGCAGAGGCGCAAAAGTACAAGTGAACTGTTGCAACTTGTAATAAAGTAAAGGTATGACCAGGGGTAAGGTCATTTAACCGGCTGAGGATGTTTGTAAAGAGTAAAAACGGGCTGGTGATATCAAGCAGAATATCAAGAGCCTCCCAATCGGTCTCCACAAGAGAGAATTGTTCCTGTAGAGAGTGCTTTTCAACCCAAGCTGAAATCGTTGTTTTAAGCTCTCTTGCGCGGAGACACATAAGTGTAGTAGAGTTCCACCTTGTCTTAACATCGCGGAGGAGGCGTAGTGGTCGCTGGCCAATGCGAGTCGATTTCTGGAGGTCGAGAAACTCTTGCGTCTTCTTACTAGAAAGCTTAAGGGAAACTGCGAGGTCACGAATCTGGAGGTATATATGTTAATATAAAATCTTATAACTAGGTGAAGTATCTAACCTTTTGAATAACAGCTCCAAAAGGATTTTCCCCAGCAGTAGAATCTTCAGTATCAAAATCATCGTCAGAGTCCTCTTGATCTTTAGCTCGAGTAGTAGAAGGCTCAAACTCTGTAGAGGCTTCTACCATCGAAATTCGAAGAGCCTCAAAAATCGCTCGAACAACAAGGTTGAAAATATAGGCTAAACAGCGAATATGATATATCGGCTATACTATAGATATCGACCCTTTTGCAAGTTCTTGTGCTAGGACTTTTGGCTTAAAAGAACTTGCGTTGTCTGCAGAGACTGTCTGAAATCGAATTGTCTTCTTCGTCCTCTGGCGAATATTTTCTAACAGAGTCGATAAAGCCGTTGCTTGCTTAGAGGCTGTATGACCATCTGTCATATCAATAGCACCAAGAAGAACCTGTTATAACCTCTAGTGCTTGTCGATAAAATGGCATAAAACACCAAGCAGTGAATATTTTAACCCAGGTGTACTCTAGATATCAATCATCAGAGAGACATAGCTACCAGGCGGAATTAGCTAAAGAGTGTGGTGTTGAATGCGTAAGGCCTCCTCGGATATCTAGCTTCGGAGCGTCTTTCGAGATGGGAGGTAGTAGAGAGGATTCAGGTATAAACAGAATTGCCAGAAACTTAAGTTGTCAACAGTATTAAGCGCTAAGTTAGATCTAACAATACAGTAAACTAATGCTTGATGCTCCGAGACTGCTTTCAATTAGGTACCCTAGATTGCGATTACTACAAATGATTGCTACAATGACCTGTAAAACTTACAGGCACCTGGTTTACGCCTAAACGTCGAGTCTTACAAGACTTTGCAGCGAGGTGTCGTTGCATAGCACTTATACCAGAGTTTTTGATTGTTAGATGATTGAAAACTTGGTGACAGTGCTTGCAGACTAATTTTAGCTCCCCTGATGTCATATGGTAGCCTTGGTGAAAGTGATCCCAGAATGATACTCGGCGTTGTAAAGTCCACAAGGATTTGGCGAAGCGTTTTCGTTCAGGTTGAGGGGATTTAGACAACGGTATATGTTTGCCAAGGATTACCCATTGGAGATACCATGGCAGGGTTTTGAAAAACGAGAGAAAAGTCTAGAAAGTCTCAATAACAAATAAAATGATTTCCGACTGTATCTATAAACCAGAAGGTGGAGTATTGATTGTTAGAGTCTGCGTAGAATTTACAAGCTCGAAAGCAGCAGAACAATCGGATGCAAAAGGGTCTGGCCCAAAAGGGTCAGACGCAATTGAGTTCGACATCATACGTAGTAAGAATTACCTTTAGTATAAACAGGAAGTAGTTTGCAGGATTACTACAAGATGAATACAAACATTTGATTATATAGCCTTACGTAAATTTCTATTTTAGGGTTTCTAACTAATACGTTTCGTACACAAATCTAAAAGCTCTGAATTCTCCTTCGACTTGTTTTTTCTCCCACTTACATTCATCCTTCAATGCCTCGCTTATCAACTAGCCCTGTGTCAGATCAGAGCTCTCCGCTAACAGTAGAGGGCTCTTCACCGCCAAATAGTTACCCCTCATCATCAGCGAGGGGTAATCCCCTAAAACAGCCAATTACAGAGATTCGGGAGACTCCGCCAAGAAGTTCAAGTCATGCAACCTACTATAGCCAGGCTAGCCCAGACCTGAGTCAACCAGAATTACCACCGCTGAAGCGGAACTTTGCGACGAAGTTAGCGAGACGAACAGATACTAGCCAACCACCAACCATTGCACGGAAAGATCAGCTAAACTTCGCGCCAAAGAAGCAGCTAAAAGCTGCTCGAAAAAAGCCCGTCCAGATCACTAAACGCCAGAAAGTTCGTAGATAGAGGCCTAGTAGTAAGTAAGAAGTAACTCTTTATTATTTAATTACTGAAATGTGAAGCAAATGCACTTCGTAAGATTCGAAAATATCAAAAGACCACCAATCTTTTAATTCCGCGGAGCAGTTTCGCAAGAGTAGTTCGAGAAATAACACTTGATCTTCCACTAAGAAACCGCCATAAGATCCGCTACCAGTCAATAGCTATAGAGGCTCTCCATGAGATAAGCGAACAGTTTCTAATCAACATGTTCGAGAGTAAGATATCCTATCCTGATCTTCAAACTATTATATTAACATGAATATTAATAGATGCAAATCTCTGTGCTATTCACGCTAAAAGAGTAACTTTGCAGAAGAAAGATCTTGACTTAGTTAAACAGTTAATGAAGAAGATGGGAGCATGGAGTGCTAGATTGTTTTAGCAGCTGTAGATTACTACAAACGATTGCTACAATACGAGAATCAGACTAGAGAGAATTCATGTCCTTATTCATGCTAGCCTTATTGCTAATTCTTAATTCTTAATCTGTCAAACAAACCCTCTCGCTATGCTCATCTGCAATTATAGAGAAAAGTCAAGCAAACGAGTTAGCTTCTAAGCCAACTCATAGACCTGACGCCAGTTGTATAGCGCTTTATCCCGAGCAAGGTCAAGCTTCAGGAAGAATAGTATCAGCTTTAGTATAGCTGAGAACTTCTTATCTATCGCAGATAAGATGTTAGCTGTTTTATCGAGAGCAGTAAACTCTTCCCAAACTTCAGCAGGGCCTAGAAGCTCCTAAACACCTTTCTTGATCATCGAGTCACTGATCTCAGAGAACATAGCCTTCACTAAAGGCTTTAGAGTAGAGGCATATCGGCGCTGAGCTGTAGTGAAGAGAGATCCTTGAATCTTGATGGCTAGGCGGTGCGCGAGTGCGAATTAGCTAAGAATATTAGTATTACTACAAAGGATTGCTACAATTAAGCACTTACGTCTTCTTCTTCTTGACAGAAGAATTAAGAACCAGGCGTATCTTCTTCTTCTTAGACAAGCGGTTCAGGTGCCAGTACTTAGCGAGTGCAAACCAAAGAAGCACTTCCTCTTTAGTAAAGATATCGCCAGCTACTAGAAATTTAAAGCCAGGTCGAATAAAGCCATAATCCTCCATCGCAGCTAGGGTAAAGGCAGGATTGCTATTCAGCCGCTTGACCTTGATGTAAAGTATCTCAAGAGTCATCTCCCAGGTATCACGGAAGAACTAGTATTCTCGGATCTAGTTTTCCTGTCTGTTTGTTAGCTATTGCTATAGTAATTAATTATAGTCATCCAGTTACCTAGATCATCTTGTCGATAATCGCATTCGACTGCTCAGCAACATTAATGGTCGGCAACTGGTTATCAAGGTCAACGTCAAAGTTAAGCATGCCCTCAACTCCATCCAGGTTTTCCTAGGTAGCCTCATCAATCTCATTCAAAGGGATATCCTCCCAAGCCTCGTCTTCATCGTCATCGACGATATTATAGGAGCTAGACGAGACTGGGCCAGTCATCTAAGCTAGCAGCTGGTCTGGATGGTTGCCTTTGAGGAAGCTAAAAGCACTTGAGCACTGATTTGAAACACCAAAAGAAATAAAAAAGAACTCACTATCGTGCATCAACTTGCTGGATTTCCCTAGCCTCAAGGGCCGCGCGCTCATCAGCAGACGCACTGATGTAGGAGCTTTTAGCCCTCAAGGCTTTAAGCTTGCGGGATTTCTACTAGTTGATCGACTTCTTCAAGCGATCAAGTGCCTTCTGCTTCTCAGTCATCTTATCGATGCGCTGACGAGACTTCTTGGTGTGCGCGTTGTCGGAATAATCCTCTTCAGCTTTACGCTTGGCTCCAGCACCAGATCCAAGCGGTCGGCCTAGAAGAGATTAGTACAAATGATTGCTACAAAGCTGGTATGAACGTACCGCAATCCTGTCCTGAGGACATATTTTACTACTGTTCCCTAATTGATTTAATAAGTCAAAACCAATAATTGTGAGATCAAAGTATCAAATTACCTTAATTAAGAGGCTTGTCGGTGCGGCTGGGTGTTAGTGGTAGAGGTAGGTTGTAGTATTGTCTGGGGAGAAGTTTTCTAAAGCTTCAGAACCTCACAAAAAAAAAACAAAATACGCCAAAAAGTGGTCTGTGCGTAGCCGCGGCTTCTTGTTTTTTTTCTCAAAAAGAATCTCTTTGAAAACCTCTGTTTAGTAGTTATCTGTAAAAGATTCTATATTGATTAGACCTAGACTTGTATTTCTAGGAGTCCTACCTGATTCATAGTTAACTTTATAATATAATGCCTGGCATAGCCCGAAAGACTATGCCTAGTACTAAGGAGCAGCAGAAACGCCGTTAGCGCCCTGGCAGTAAGTCTAGATTGCTACAAAAGATGGCTACACACTAACCCTAATACCTAGCAAAAGCTCTCCGGGAGGTCAGGAACTACCAGAAGACATTTGACTTCCTGATTCCGAAGCCCCTATTCCAGCGACTCTGGAAGGAAATCTGCGATGACATCGACCCCTCCAAGCGCCTGCGCTGGCAGGCGACTGCTATTAGCGCTCTTCAAGAGTCTTCGGAGTCTCTTCTCTTTGGTGTTTTCGACAGTAAGCTTCACTTGCAAACTCTTATCGAGTTGAACGAACTATCTAGTGATTAACTTTGCTGCGATCCACACCAATCGCGTCACCATTAAGCCGAAGGATCTGCATCTCGTCCAGGCTATCTTGAAGGCCGGCAGAGTCCACGGAGACAAGTGGTTCGACCCCGAGTCTGGGAAATGCAGGCGATTAATTGAAGGCATTCAGGGCGTTCGGAAGTTAGGAGTAACAAGGTAGCAGGTCTATTCGTTGCGCAATATATCCACTCTTGAGGCTGGCTACTACAAAAGATGTCTAAAATTCGTGATGCATACTTACTGAAATCTACCCACGGGTATACACCCGTGGGTACCCAAACCCGTGGGCCCCCCTTCAGTTTACTACCCGTGGGCTTTTTTACCCAAACCCACTTTACCCATGGGTACCCGTGGGTAATAGTAAAACTTTCGGGCACTACCCATAACTACCCGACCCATTTCGCGGGTACCCGTGGGACCCGCGGGCCGGGTAATGCCCATGCCTACATCAATTCTGAGCTCGATGAAACCCAGTGAATGGACTAGTGGCAATGGTGAAAGGAATATGTGCTTTCGGCGTTTGTTCTTCGTAACGTCTATGCCCGGCCGTAATGCAAAGTCCAAAACAATAAGGGCGGGGTCAATATTATCAATGATATCGGAGATCTGATGATAGAGCTTTCCGTACTCCTCACAGGTCCAAGGACTCATGGTATGGCGCACAACGTTGAAGCCTTTTAAAACCCCCAACGCTCCAGGTGGGTGCATCACCAATTCACCGAAAGACAAATTATTGTGAAGAAGCTTCGGCAGATCCACATTGACATCAGCTAGTCCATCTAGTTCATAGAACGTTGGGCTAGAAGACAAGGAGTGTATTGTGCTGGCGTAGCTGGAGACTCGTTGGACCAACCCTCCCACATCAGGAGCTGATGCTATGTGGATGTCAATCGAGGGATGGCGTTCTTGGAGAGCTTGAATTGTCGCCAACTGAACGTTGTACTGTCCTCGATTCCCACTAGCCAAGAACAGAACCGTGCTGTTCCTACCGATGATAAAATCGTTTGGGAGTGGATGTTTTCCACATCTCGGAATGGCCACAGCCATGAACAATGCGAACAGCAGCACCACAAGTGAGCCAAAGCTCCAATTCTTTCGGTTGAGCATGTCGAAGATATCAAGATTCGAGTGATTCGCGTTATGATGAAAGATATATGTTGCGTTGGACGGAAGTCTGGCGCACGGCTCAGCTAGATGTGAGCAAGCTGTTAGGGATGGCCAATGAATGAAGTAAACATATGTCTCTAGCTGCTCCTGACAGAATTATTATAATATGAAACAGAGTTATTCGTCAAGGTATATAAATTTGGTGTTAAATCGTTACAGTTAACATGCATATATACCCGTATCAGCCGGTTGTCACGCTATCACTTAGTCAAGTCCTGTTTGATATAACGATACTTGAATGACAGTTTTTAAAGAAAAAGCTGGTGTACTCGGTTAAATGCAATTCATCGAAATCTGGAGGTAGAGCGCTGCGCATATTTTTCCCCTCGCATTCCTATGATCTTGCTCCTTGCCTAAGAGTATACCTCTGCATGGCGGGGCGTATGCACCTCATACCTAATTCCCTGTACTACGGAGTCAAAGCGTACAGAGATCCATGGGAGGTAAGTAGCCTCACACGAGTGGAGCGTAATTGACAGACAACTGAGTCAGGCACGACTTCATGACAGGGATATACTAAAAGTGGTTTTCCGACTCTCCGTATATGAAATCTAGGATCGGCAACTTACTCCATAAATACCCTAGTAAATAGGCTGGTACGAGTATATGGAAGGCGCTGCAATGATACACGATTGTCCCGGGCTGACAAAGAATCTCCGAGCGGAACGGACATGACCAAACTTGGATTACAAACTCAGTAGTGCTAGATACTCACGATGCTGATATTGAGTACACAGTACGCCAAGTCAAAGACATCTTAAAGATTACTAATGTTGATTCAGTTTCAGTAGAGCTCGTTCCATCGGTCTTTTATTGGAGCCCGGTTTTCCGGCCGAAGGTACTGAGGCGGAGAATGGACATTGAGATCGAAGGTCTAATTACGTTCGTCGTGGTGATCATAGTCTAGTCCGCCTTGGTAGGTATTAAAAACAAGTTGATAGTTCTCTAGTCTTGTTGAGTGGAAGCCAAATGTCATCAAACAGTCTAAGATTTGTTCGAAATGCTCTCTCAAGTTACTCCCTCATTGCTCCCGAAAGCCTCCCAGACTCAGCTTGAGTCTGCGCCCCATCCTATCAGCCACTCTATTCAAGCCACTTACACTGGACTTCAAGGCGACGCTTTAGAGTTGGCTGAGCTTTTCAAAGGCGCAAATCTGCACATTCCCAATCTCCTAAAAGTGTTTGCAGACTGGCCGCTCGCCACAAGTGCTCACTTGGGGAAGCTGAGAGACCTCTTCAACACAACCTTGGATTGGATTATTCCTGATGAAAAGAGACGAACTGCATTGAAGACAGCTGACTTAGGCCGACTTATAGCCGTGTGAGTTGTGTCATAGCTGGATTAATCTCAAGTTTCAGCGAGTAAAATACTAACACGCTTGCTTACAGTTGGTATCCATGGTCCGCATGGCCTGAGCTGGAGGCATTAAGTCTCCTGGCACTGTGGCTGTTCATCTGGGACGACGAAATTGATGTCATTGAAACTGATGTCTCAAAGAGCAAGAAACTGGCGCAATTGCATTATCAGTCGTCGCTGGCTTATATTCGTCGGGCGCTTGACGTAAAACGTACCGATGTGATTGACGAGAGCCTTGCTCCTACCAATATGGCCTTATTCGGCAGATTTGGTGACCTCGTGCGTGATTCTATGGATTTGCGACTGCGAGAGCGTCTTTCAACGGAGCTTCATGCCTTTGTTGCCCACGTCGCTGTAGAGCAGGATTATCGCCTTGATTGCAAAGTTCCCTCACCTGGGCAATACAAGAATATCAGGCGGGGTACCGCCGCTGTGATGCCTGTTGTGGTTTTAGCAGAGTATGTCGATGGAAATCCCTTTATTCATTATTAAACTGGGCTAAGGAACTTTCTTAGATACATGGTTCGAACTCAAGTACCGGAAACACTCCGAGGTTCTCTTGCCTTTGAGATTTTAAGTAGAGAGACAACGGATTTGATCTGGTTGATCAACGATCTCTATTCCTTGCCTAAAGAACTGGTATACATATTGACTGCCCTGATGTGGTTTTGCCTAAGCATCGGCTAACAGGAGTGCATAGGCCGATGGTGCGGTACTGAGCATTGTTCCCGTATTACTGCATAGTAAGTCTGGCATCTGGACTCTCGATGCAGTGGTTCATAACATCATGACGGAAATTAAGAGTTCTATGGAGAGGTTCGATAGCGCAGCGAAGGAGCTGATGGAGATGGCAGTTGGGGATGTCTCCTTGGAAGTCGGGGCAGATGCCTTCATCACTTACTGTCGCCATCTTGTAACTGGGGTGGTCATCTGGAGTGCCCAGTCTCCTCGCTACGGAATGCTCAATTGTACGAACAATGACGGCACCATTAGCGTTCAGCTCTAAGCCCTTATTTTCTATCAGATTGTCGGACCGTTAGGAGTTTACATAGGCTTTGGGCGTTAACTTTGCTCTTTTTGATTCAATTGTTTGATACCAGCATGTAAAGCGTGAAAAAACGTCGCCACAGTCACAACATCTTCCGAAATTTTGATAAAAGCAAACCGGCGGTCTCAAGCCTTAGATTATCCAATGACTCAATTATCATTACTAGATCAGTGCCAGTAACTTCTGTGAAAGACGTCACCCATTGAACAGCCATGACCAACAATAGCCAATGGTCAACTCCTACTGACACCTGCGCCATTATTGTGTCTGCAAAATTCAAATTTTGCACTTTAGCGCAGGCCTTGCTCTTTCAGAAGCACGTAACAGATAATATGGCGGATCTAATTTATTTTGACCATTTCTAAGCAGAGAACATTGGCATGTAAAGCAAGTATTGAAGAAAGGCCGTGCATATTTACCTCAATCCTAGAGATCAGCGCGCCAGTGAGCCCACTGCCTGTACCCTGCTCTGTCTTTACATAGCAGCACGCCGTTATTTGCATGTTCGCGTGTTCGCGGTTGTGGTGACCGACGTCAGGCACGGGCGGCATCAACTAGGAACAAAACGGCTTGTATTCTCTAAGTGAGCGAGCGGAGCGAAGGACGCTTAAGAATACGGTCGCTGGAGCGAGGTCACGTGACCTCGCGGCCGAGACGCGGCAGAGTGGGTCCGGAGGCCCGGAGCCAGCACGACAGCGGTTAAATCAAATGTCCCCGTCAGCATTACATCTCCGCCAGAGATCTACACCTCCGCAACGAGCTTACTATCCAAACTTTGAACTTGACCGCAACCCCTAACTTAACGCGCACTGTATGGATCAAACCCAAATCTCGGTTTCGCATACCGGCATGAACCCCATGAACCTTGCCAGCTGCTGGTGACACTCCTGTCTATGTTACTCTTTCTAAATCTCATGGCAGTTCTGACTGCGGGTGGGGACTACCACCTGAAGAAAACGAGATGGTCAGAGGCTCAAGAACGATGGGCCTAACATCCCAGACATTGTTCAAAGCTGACTCCCAGAAATGTTGAACTGTAAACGCGTAAAAATTGCGTGCTACATGTTGTGACATACGCAGCCCCTTATTTCTTTACGCCCGCCCCTATTGTGCGTTAAACTCCGGTCCGTCGGTGAGCAAAAAACCCGGTCCGTCCGGTCAAACATGCTGTAATACGGGGACAGGTGTGGAAATCAACAAATACCTGATATGGACTTATGTTGCTATGTAGATTCAGCGAGCACTTATACATGATCGCTCACCCACCTGGCCTTGCATCTTATCATCACCATACACACAGCTCGGTTTATTTGTATTGTCCATATGGCTTCAACCAAGAACTCCAGGGTCATAATTGCAGGTGGTGGAGTCTCCGGGCTCACTCTGGCTATTATGCTGGAGAGATTCGGCATCGATTATATTCTTTTGGAAGCCCATCAAGATATCTCTCCCGCAGTTGGTGCCAGCATCGGCTTGATTCCGAATGCTTTGCGGATATTCGATCAGCTTGGAGTCTATGATGCTATCGAGGCATTGCCTCACAACCACATACACGAAGTTTGTGTACGCAGCGCACAGGGCAAGCCTCTAAAACGTGTCAAGCTTCCGTTTTTACAAAGCAGTAAGAGGTAGGCTGTCTCTTGTCCTGGTTCCCTCTGACTGCGGCTTTTCTCATTGCCAACTACAGGCACGGTTACACAATACGTTTCTTCGATAGACAATGGCTCTTGCAGATCCTTTACGACAGTCTAGATCATAAAGAAAGAGTCTTAACGGACAAGAGAGTCTCAAAAATTAAGCTGATTGAAGGAGGAATAGAGGTCATTTCCCAAGACGGAAGTGTATTCCGTGGTAGCCTACTTATGGGCGCCGACGGCGTACACAGTACCGTCCGAGAGCAGATGTACCGCATCGCAAACGAGGTCCAGCCTGGATACGTTGATTCTCAAGAGAATCTTAGCGTCGCCTGCTCATATCAGTGCAGTTTTGGAATTGCGAAAGATGTCCCTGGGTATGTGGATGGTCAGCTCAATCCTGTGCCTGGCAAAGGGGTCACTATGGTCGCCATCTCTGGCCCTGAGAGCCGCGTTTATTGGTTCGTCTTTGTGAGATTGCAAGAAACTAAGTACGGCGACGACATTCCGCGATACTCCAATGAGGACGAGGCGGAGTTCATCAAGAAGTACGGTTCTCTCCCCATCACTGAGAACGTGACATTCGACCAAATATATGCCAAGCGTGTCTCGTCTACATTGACACCCTTACATGAGGGTGTCCACAAGACGTGGTTCTTCCAGAGAATACTCTTAATGGGCGACTCCGCCCACAAGGTAAGGGGTATTCTAGGATCTTTTTAACTTTATGATTTGTTACTGATGCGAACCATCACAGTCCAATCCCATCGGGTCTCAGGGTGGGAGTAGTGTTGTGGAAGCTGCAGCTCTGTTTTTGAACGCTCTGCAGACCGAGATAGCTAGAACCCGAAAAGGCTTTGACGGCTTGACTGAGAAGAGCATCGCAAATATCTTCATTAGCTTCCAAAAGGCCCAATATGATCGAGCAAATAACGTCATCGCTCGCGCGCATACCGCCCAAGCGTTGGCGTCGTTTGAGCAACCTCTACTGTCTCATCTTGCCTTCAATATCATGTTGCCTTTGCAGAATGATGAACAAATTTGGGCGCAAATATCTTCTATCATGAGCGAAGCGGTGCGGGTAGAAAGACTATCGGTTCCTCCACGGCCAAAAGCGATCCCCTTCGACGACGAGCTCCCCGCAAAACCATTGAAAGGGAGGCTCCTACGTCTTACCGGGTCCTTTCTCACCATCGGGGCGAGTCTGACTCTATTCTTCCTTGTTGTCAACATACAGTTCCCTTTCGACATTGTCTTCACCTGGGGAGGATATGGGGAGCCCCTGGATAGGAAGTGGCTACCAACTAAGTTCCTGAACGATAACCTTCTTTCCGTCGTCTCAGTTTGCTCACATCCTATCATTGACAAGAAGCCAGGGCCAGAAGCACATCTCATGTATCTTTTGGCTCAGATGATCTCACCCAACTTGATATACACCATTGAGGCGTACCGCGTTGGCAACAAAGGCACTCTTCTAGCGTCTCCGTTCTTGAACTTTGCTATCATGGGCATAGTAGCTCTTGCAGGCGCCCAGCAGTACTGGACGATTATTCATGTCCTGTTCGGTCACAACCTGCCAACTGGTCGCTCTATTCCCTTGGAGGTTGCTCATAGCATATTGCCTGCTCTTGCTCTTGGCTTCGTTCTCCCTGCTTGTTTAGTGTTCTTGCCTGTTCCAGATAGCAGAACTCGACAAGACTGGAACGCGCTCTGGCAATTTGGGACATTTATGTTCATTGGGTTGACAGACATCTTTGCACGCACGATCAGATGGTGGCGGAGGTCTGAAAGCACATCTGGATCTTCCGGACAAACTAAAAACAAGCACGAAGATCAATTGGACGTATACTTCCAGCGGTATCAGAACAGAGACTCATCATGGCTTCAGGCGGCTTACATATGTGCCTGTACAACGCAAGCTATCAGCCACGTAGTCACCGTCCTTTACGCGTCTTATCACCCGAAAATATCGGTCATGGACTTTTTTTTCGGCTTCCCCTCCCCCTGGGCCGATTGGACCGTTCAAGGGCGACATATATGGATCGCCAATGTCTTGAAGTACGATCTGGTTCTTTACATTACGGGGGTCATTGTTCAAAACTTCTATTCCATTTGGGAGCTTCGTCGAATGGGTTACATCAATACCAGTGAGGCCATTGTTGCTGCTACTCTGGTGGTACTTGGTCAGTTTGTGTTGGGCACAGGTGCAACTTGGGCGGCACTTTGGTGTTGGCGAGAACATGTCTTTACCCGTCTGTCTACGCTATAGTTGAAGGCGGAGTCCTCGCGTATAAACTTGCTTTCTTCATCATTTAAAGTAGCTTTAGAACGATATACATTCATGCCCTTGCCTGCCGATAGACCACCAGAGCGGGATTGAGGAAATCAGGGTGCGACATCGAGGGACTAAATGTGCACACAACTAGCCGTTCAAAGAAGAAGACCCCGCTTAGAGATTCTTAGGAAGAAGTTATGCCCGAAATCCTTCCCAATACATAACCGTCAATTCCAGATTTAATATCGTACTTGTTTGCACTGGTTTCAGCAGCACCTCTGCGGACGCCGTTTCTCAAGACGGAAAGCAGCAAAATGTCAGGGCAATTGGTCTATAATTTCACTTGTAGAAGAGAGGAGTTTGGGTGCTTCAAGTCAATGATAGCCCCAAGTACATACGAGTCACACTAAGATTGATTAAGAGGTTTTCCTGTCAAGGTTCCATTTGTGTACTTAGATTGTGTTTGACAAGAAATCAGACCATGTCCATCGGCATATTGAAGTGGTGGAAGATCAAGATGCTACCTCCCCCCCCCAATGATTTTCTTTTTTCCCGCCCTTGAAGACCTGTGCGAATACGGAGAACAAAAGTCCCATTTTACCACCCCTGTCCGGAAAAAGCACAGCAGCCAGCCCACCCATTGCAGAGTCCAATTCAGCCTGCAATTTATGGTTAGGCATACTGTAGTGATATTCAATTGACCAATGATACCAGCCAGAATGATGCAGTGCCACAGCGCTTAGTTTCAATACCCTAGTTCCATGATTCCTAGGACGCAGGCGAATGTGAGTGAACAGCAGGGGTGCAAATCCTTCCAGAAATGTTCAGTTCGCTAGCCGCGCTTCAGCCTCGTTAAGTCGTCCATATCTTTCCTGCATCATCCTATCTTGGAAAGGCTTGGCTAGCAGCTCAATCTGGCCTTGGCCTTGTATCTTGACAACCGAATGAATGAACATGGCAGACCACCACCGCGGAAGACCAGTCTTGGTCTCTGACCCATCTAGATCCAGCTCGGCCATCTCTCTGCCACGGTATAGGTCTTCTGAAACGACTCAGAGGGCAGAGTATCATCTCGAAACAGGCAGTGACCCTTCAGTTAATCTCATGCCCAAGCCTACGCCGGAAGTCACAACGACCGCAACCTCTTCAGTGGCCGCACGGAATGCTAGAAGGCCAACATCTGCTTCGGCAATCTACCAGCTCTGCTTAGATATTCTTCTCACTATTCCGTCAATATGCTTCTTGATCTACGCGTTCATGGTATACAGCAACAACGGCAAGTCGATAGATCAGGATCCTGTACCCGATCTAGAAACAGCTGCCAAATACAGTCCAACGATATTTCCAATCGCGTTTGCCGCCGTAATAGCAAATCTTCTCAAGGCTACAGCAGCTTGGAAGCTAGAACGGGGCATTTCCGTCCTCAGCTTGGAATATCTCCTCAGCAGTCGTACAGTTTTCAGCACATTGACAGCCCCCTTTATTCTACGCACTGTCAACCTTCTTACACCTTTTCTTATCGTGCTGTGGGCTCTCTCACCTCTTGGTGGTCAAGCAGGCTTGCGCGTGATGGATGTGGTACCTTCACAGGCCACAGAGTCGTGGCCATATCAATATCTTGAGGTCATGTCACCTTTGTCCCATCAGGGGTCATTCTCTCAGTCCGGCATGAAAGCACTTCCTCCAATCTTGAGTGCGTTTGTTGGTACGCTGTCGAGCCCGAAAGCAATCAAAGCGTCTCCACGAGACCTTTTCGGCAACATCAAGATCCCGCTGGTCGAGGCTTACCAAATGACTGGTAAAGAACCAGACCTTGAGGGTTGGTTCAAGGTAAACCAGACTTCCGGTAGCAATAGCACCGTTTGGTCGTCTGTGGCAGGTGTTCCTGCCACTTGTTTGGGCGGCCTTTCTGAGGGAGCAAACTTCACGTACACGATGGAAACTTCGTACATGTACACGAACTGTTCTGTCGGTCAGGTTGCGACGGAAAACCCTTATACCCTATTTGAGGATTACTTGAAAAACAATACGGGTGGTTATGACAATGGCCATTCGCTCGTCATCAGGCCAACTAAGAAGAGCCGCACCGATATGAATATCGCAACACCAGCAGAATGGACATTTACATCATACACTGCCTTTGGCATAACCAACGCAACATGCAAGCTTACAACGACGCATGTAGAGTTGGATATTGCTTGCAGAGGGGCAACCTGTAGTGCAGTTCGGGCGCGACCCTTGCAAAAGGCAAAGAATATGACAGTTCTCACCGTCTTGGACAACATCAGACCGTCCAACGTGCCAGCTGCTAATCCGAAACTACGGGCGGGCGTGGTCAATGCTTTCCTATCAACCTTCATCAAAGGGCTCAACACGCCATGGGACGAGGAAGGAAATTGGCAGATGCAGCCGTATTCCTCGCCAATCGAATACTTCTTCACGCACCCAGATACACCATTTTCAGCAACTATAGACCCCAATAGAGAGACTGAAGTACTTCCAGGGTGGCGAGGAGAAGAAATTTACCCTATAGGGGATGTTCTCTTCTCGGAGAGATTCTCACAACTACTAAATACCTTCTGGCTTTCCTCGATAGCGCCCGAGAACATTACGGGAAACTTCAACTTTGGGGCACCTGATTACACGCTTGCTTACGAAACCGCTCTAAATTTTATCCGTCAGAACGTCACGGGAACAAGGACTCCCGATGTACTTGTGATGCAAGTCAACAAGTCTTGGTTGGCTGTGTTGTTTATTGCCTCTGTTGTAATGCTTGCGTCAGGCATCGCAGCAAGCGTTCTGAATCTTTTTAGGCGAGGTCCTGACATCTTGGATCATCCTACTGGCTTGTTGAGGGACAATCCACACGTACACATGGTGCAATCTACTTCAATGGAGGATGCAACTGAACAAATCAGAAGGAACGGCGGCGTTCGGGTATGCCTCGGTGATATCAAATCTCACGAGGATACAGGCTATCTAGTGGTAGGATGTAGCGGAGACGTGGCACCTTTAGGACTGCAGCGAAAAGAACGTCGTTTCGAGTAAACATTTCCTTCAAGAATGACTTCAGAATTGACTGCACTTAGCGTTACGGCTCATTCAATTTGAAATTCAAACAGTACATTACCACTTACTCCCCTTGGATGTCTCGCTAGGTATACTTTCAGTCATGCTACTTCAAACTGTGCTTCAGCCATGTTGCCTTCATACCCAAGTCTATATCTAGAAAGTGTTGAGGGTTACAAGGAGCCCAAGAACCAAACAAGCAACGCGAGCACAAGAAAGTCGCTCAAGTGGCGAGACTTCAATCTGCACAATAAACCTAATCCCTTATCATTGTGCGAATCCAGGAAAAGGTAAAGTACTTGGCCTGCCTTGTACCCATGCCTGCCTACCTAGGTGCTGCAAGCCTATTTCTTATTGCGAAAAACGCTACAGGGGCCGAAAGAACGTCTGTGAGGCAAGGCGTTAGGAATATTAGAAGATTGTGAAGCCATCATTGCTTAAGTGGGCTGGAATAACCAGCAACTACCAGCCATCATTAATTGTCGTAAATCAAGGAAATTATGCTAGCCGCCGTGACTCATGGCTGTAGTTGTACAATAACTGATAGGTATATGGCTATTTAGAAAGTCACTTCCTTATGAACAGTGTTTCAAGAGGGATTTGAGGGCCGAAAGTCTTTGGCTTACAAGACGAGGCGCTAGAAATTCTTTTCTTTCTGAGGTCATGCTCCATACCGGTTACACTTAATTTGCGATCCCATCGCCAGCGCTCATGGCCCGGACCCCTACCGTACATACAACGTCCATCGAATCATTTGTTCACTTGGTTGCTAGCCATAAGATTGGAACCTTTAATGTCATGAAGACAAGCCCCGATATTCCACAGAGAATGCCATATGCAGGAATTGAAGCTTTACAGTAGCAGTGTAGTATGTCTTTTGATCATGACAATTTCACAGTATTTTTTCAAGCTCCACTAATGCACCTGATGAGCGTATCCCAGCTGCGGAGACCCTGCTGCTTACAAGGCATCATAGCGGACTTGTCATGAGAGACACGGTGGGAGCAAGTCATACAACATTTGATCAAGATAAAAATATTCAAGTAAGACACAGAGCGGATAACCACAATATCAAGTAGTTATTGGCAATTCAAGTCAGCGTACCAGATGCCAAAAGAGCCTTGGTTACCTAAGGACAACAGATTCCAAGTGGTAATTACTACGCCCAGGCGACTTGAGAAATTATCCATTATCAACAGCTTGAAGAACTGGTGAAAATGTGAGCATTAAATGACTGTATATTTTCGCGTCTACGTGCCATGTGACACATTACGCTGACTGCATAGTCATTGTGTTACAATGAGTTGCTAATATGGGTGCTCTAGTGGCCGCCATTCACATGTTCCTGGGCGAGTTTTGCTACTTGGAAGGGACAAGCCAGTTTCTCTCGTTCAGATTTCTTTATGATACGTTGTTTCCAGGAGCAATGTGCTCTACAATCTAGTGATGAGTAGTGATACGAAACCGGTTGTATGCTTTCATTTTCCTCATGTCTACATTATAGCCTGTTACATTTAACACTTTTCAATTGTGGCGCCTCTCCACCTCCGCTCGACTACTAAATTCCACCCAAAATCTTCGCTTGCACTTCCTTGTTCATATGCTTAATGCCTGGGTTGCTCTTCCTTGTTTAGTTACACTATATATCCCAGAAGCAATTTCTTCCCTCACGTCAGGAGAAGATATGATGTTTATCATCTAACAACCGTTCAACTTTCTTGTGGAGAACCACAGGCCAAGAATACGCAAGCTCCTGCATTACTGGTTTTATGTATCACCTGTTAACATGGTTTCTGAACTATAAAAGCCTAGCAGCACTAACGACGGCTTAAGGTCAACCTATTGTTGCTTACTCAATGCCTGGTGTTTCTCTTCCAGCATCAATCGCAGATAAAGCTCCCGCGGGAGAACATTCATAATGCACCTTCCACAATCGGCTGGAGTACAGCTCCCTGGCTCATAGGAACCCTGTAGTTCGACACCTTTATGTTACCCGGAGCCTCTTCTCGCCCGCATTCCGAACCAGAGTGGTAACAGATGCGGATCTCGAAATGGCATTTTGCCCAAGGAAGAAAAACAAATGCCCTAGTCACTTCCATGAATACATCAAGATCAGCGAGTAGTCGGCACCACCGAGTACTTCGATGAGAACTCCATATAGATTGGCAGGGCCGTCGGGAGGAGATTGACTCGTTGGTGTAGCGGCCAGGCGGGAGTGCCTTGAACTTACGCGGCCAGGGGTTCTTGGCGGCCCGCCTGGTGGATCCCTAAAGCCCTGAATCGAGTGGCACAACGGTAATACCTCGCCTGTGAGTGGCTGCGTGTTTGTTGAAATGCCGGCTTGGGGAACTGATCAGGACTTGGTTCTTCGGGATGTGGGAGAGACGTTCTTGGTTGATCCGACGTCAGTGGAGTTCAGGAACAGCACTCTGCGGCTTGGTTGGCGGTTTAGGGAACTGAGCGTTGATGAGAAGGGGTATGACAAAAGAAAAGCTGCGATGAGATTAACTTCTGGGGATTATTCAGGGGCGTGTTTTTGTGGCGAAGCGGGAGAGTATTGAGGAAGTAAGGAATATTGAGAACCTGAACAGACTTATAAAGAGGGTATGGCTTCGCTATCGCTAATGAGCTTTTGTAAAAAAAGACAACCAGCTGTAGTCAATACCTGTCCTGGTCTCTCTTTCAAAGGTCCTCACACATTCTTTTTATCTACGGCAGTTTTTTGAAAAGGCCTACACAATGCAGTTCCATCTCCTGACTCTGGCCACCGCCCTTCTCACTGGCGTAGCCATTGCACATCCCGGCCACGACCACACTCTGAGCCATGCTGAGATCGCGCGCCGCTCGAATCTATCGAGGCGTTGCGCGGCTCAAGCTGGCAAGTTCAGCGAGGTTAGAAAAAGGCGTGCTGCTGAGAAGCGCTCGCTCGTCAGCCGCTCGCTAGCCAAGCGTGACACAAACGTCACCATCCACACGGAGGGCCCCCACTACAGCACCATTCAGAACGACACTTGCGTCCTAACACCCGAGGTCACCAAGGGACCCTACGTATGGCCGCAGTCACAAACTCTGCGACAAGATATGAGCGAGGGCCAGGCCGGTGTCCCTCTGTATCTGGATATTGGCGTCCTCAACGTCAATACCTGTGAGCCAGTTGAAGATGCCTTGGTCGACCTTTGGCACTGCAATGCCGTATGTCATCCCGTATCCCAACGGCAAGAAGAGAAACATTTTCACTAACAAGCCTCTTAATAGACCGGCTCTTACAGCTCTTTCACACATCACAACCCCAACACTCCTTTCGAAGAGCTCCTGAAGGAGCTCAATGTCACTTATCGGTCCCAATTTGGACTTGCACACCGACGCGACAACCTGGCTCCGTGGAATGTGGCCAACTGACTCTAACGGCATAATGGAAATGAAGACAGTGTTCCCTGGTTTCTACGTGGAAAGAACTATCCATAGTAAGTGTCCCGAAGTGTCCCCTAGCCCTAGATTTTATTACTGGTGTCACCACTTCAAATTCATGAAGTTTCATTGTTTGAAGGAATCACTAATTCCATGCAGTCCATGCTCAGGTACACACCGATTGGTCCGTCCGCAGCAACGGCACAATCGTCGCTTCCAACATTGTCAGTACTGGCCAGCTCTTCTTTGATGAGCAACTCAGCCAGCAGATAATGGCCCTCGAGCCCTATGTCAGCCACACTGAGATCAACCGCACCATCAACGCCGTCGACACCATCTACGCGGACGAGCAGGCTGGCAGCTGGAACCCTCTCATGGTTGTCGAGCCACTCGATGGCGAGGATGTTACCAAGGGAATGCTCGCCTACATTACTCTGGGAGTCGAGGTATAGAAGATGCCAGTTGTGGAATACAGAGGCGGGGTAAAAAGGGATATATACAACATGACAAGAGAATGGTGGCAGCTCTTCTAGAAACAAACAGTGACTGAATCACACAGCCCCTGAAATATTCTTACACATAGAAACCGCCAATATTGCATATCCCCGGCAGATAATTGCGACTACCGAAAACCACCAGGGTTGGCGTTTGTCTTTTCTTTGGGGGAAGATGTTCAATGGTTTAATGCCGGCTTGTACATCGTCCTCTGTCTTTGCTATATCATGTACAAGTATTTAGTTTAGAAACTAGGCAAGTACTCGTGAACACAACCCCAGCTATGAAAACCATCCAAATCACTAGGCTGGTATCCTAATTGTTGTAATATACGAACAGGACGTGGAACTCCTAATCCCTCGTCATTTATCATGCGCGACTGGCAAATGGCTTTGTCACGAAATGGCATTCGACGAGATGCATCAAAGGGCAAAAGTTCTTCTGCAAGCCCCCAATTGTCCCCTAAATCGAAATTTGGGTTAGGGGTATAATACTTGGAATCCCAATCATCGTCGGCTTCTTCGCTGATAGCCTTAGCAAAGATCGATGCATTATAGGCACTTTTGCGGATGTAGCCGCCAAACATAATGGTTTTAACAAAGGGTTCGGTTTTCCACGGGCCCTTTTGCCCAATCGAGCGTTTTTTGCCCAAAAGGTGAGTCCAGATAAGGTTCAGAATGAATGCATCATTCACCTCGAAAAAGACAACTTCTGTGAGCCCTTCCGAGGCCCTGTCCACGAGTGTTGCAATAAATGGGCGTTTACCGCTAATTCCTAGACGGGGAATGTACTTCTGAGACGAAGATTTGGCCACTATGGCAGTGGAAGCGAAAGCTTCGATGATGTTCGAGATATATGTACCATCTGGAGCCAATACACCACTTTGTTCGGCTCTGTTTTCGTAGACACGCTTAGCGCATATCCGCTCTAGGCTATGTATCAAAAAGCAGCGCCAAGCTTGCAGCAGACTCTGAGATGTTCCTACATTTAACGACTCGAGGTCCTCGTCCGAATCTACGCCTTTTGTCAAACAAGAAGCATGCTTGCTCAGGATCTTTTGTATCAAGATTTGTCGGTTTTTTGACAGCTGGGGAGGGTCGTTGTAAGATCCGAAGAATTTGCAAAATCCTACTGCTCTTGCACAAGCTCCTTTGAGTACAAATATTTTCATATCATTCAAATCGCTGTCGGCTTGCCTCGCGTCCAAATATCGGATAATGTAGTCCGAGTAGCCGCTAGAAGCTGCTGCTGCTATGAAGAAGTGATCCTGACTTAGGTCTTCGGGCGGGCACCAATAGGTTTTTGACCACCGATGTGTCAGGGACACCAGGCTGTTTAGTGTTGCATCTGAAATCCCAACTTTCGGTGTTGCCAAGCGGTACTTGATGGCCTCTACAAGTGGAGAGTCTGGCAGGTTGAGCCAATTGAATAGGGAAAGAAGCATCAAATCCCGCTTCACCAGTCGAGATATCGTTTCCTCTGGCTCTGGTTCGTAGGCTTCAAAGATTTTCCTCCCATCCTCGTCATCCACAAGAAAATCGATTGCAGTTTTGTGTGTGAACGACACTCTAGCTTTTGCCCAGAAATGAACCTTGTCATAGGTAGTCCTCAGCTGTCCGTGGAGAGTCTTCCGGGCATTGCATTTCCAGCAGCCCAACGCATCTTGAAGCCAAGATACGATTTAAATGCTCACAATGCTTTACGATTTTTGCCACGTCCGGCGCTTTGACCGACTGAGTGAAAGCTGCGAGACAATCGTCATTCGCTGCTGTTGCCAGTTCCAACACATTGATTGAGTCCTTCTTCGAAATAGCCTGGTGGGAAATGACGAGACGGAAATACAAGGCTGCCTCTTTGAGATAATAAACACTGTCGCCATTCGACCGCGACCACATGTCCTTGTATAAACTCTTGAGATCTCCGGGAAGTGTGTTTATGCGGCGACACAACGTGTCCCAATTGTCGAAATTGTTGAATCCTCTTTTGACGCTTTGCAAAGCAAGAACAACCCAGAGAAAGACACCATCGGCTTTTCGAACTACAATTTCCAACATGTCTGTGGGTGCCTTATCGATTTGTGTCCAGATACTTTGCAAAAAGTCTTCGGTGTACTTTTCAATATCGCGCCTGGTCAGATCTTGCCTTCTCAACATTGGAAACTGGCCAAGATGTCGTTCAAATGCCGGTTCTGGACGACTTGAAACGCAAATCTTCACTTTTTCATTCAGGATGAGCTTCTTAAGGAACATTAGAAGCTCTTCGGGTCCCTCGTCGGTAGTTGCAGCAACCTCATCAAGCCCATCCAAAAGAACAAAGTATGTGTAAGTTGAGCATTCAAACAAGCGGACTAAAGTGTGTCTCAACTCCCCAATAGTCCAGTCGGTATCGGAATCTTTCATGCCAAGTTCGGGCTGAGTTGTCAGGAGTGTATCACTCAGTTCGGCATCCCTCTCCAACACTTGGTGAAGTAAAGAACAGCATAAGCCTTTGATGCTTTGCTGCATCCATGAGCCTGGTTTCCATAGATAATGAGACAGAACCTTTGTATCAGAGTGCCAACCTTTCAGGGTCTCATACGTATCGTCACTTGATTCGATGAACTTCATCAACGTGCTTTTGCCTGATCCGGGCTTTCCACTAATCCAGTATAAGGTTCGTTCGTTTCCCTGCAACCATTCAACAAAATTATCCCACATCTGTAACTCGTCTGAATCACCCATATTATTTGCGTCCCCCGTTGTTGAGCTCCACGCAAAAGATCTCTCGGAGCCGCCATAATAGTTAGCCCGAACGCTGTCGTTGTCCGAGTCACTGTCGCGAATCTCAGAGACTCTACTGACATCGTCACCCAATTTGAGAGAACCCAGATATAGCCCAGAGTTCAACGCATGGGCAGTCTCAATATCTGAATCTTTTTCATCTTCTTTGCCGGTCTCGCTGATTTCGTCGCTATTCTCATTTGTGTATTCAGAGGTCGACTCATCCTCTGTCACCCAGTCTGAAGCCGAGTCATCTCTACATCGAGAATTCCCGAATATCCATTGGCAAGTTCCCAAATGTGCCGGTTTAAGATCATTTTTGCGCTCATTCATTCTCGCATATTTAAGACTTGCGAGCAAGCGTTGGCGAGCTCTCTCTCTCGCAATAGCGGCATCAGAAATTGCCATTTGATGAGACAAAGCTTGTTGGGTTTCAGCACCGGAGATGGATATAGTATGGTTTATAGACTCCTCCTGCGACTTTAGCTCTTTAGTGATCTGGGAATTGATTTCCTTCCGTGTTTGGGTCGTCGCAATTGTGACATGGTCTCGGGTGGCTTTCGATTCGTCCCGAACCAGTTTAGATATCAGGTTGGAGTTCTGGGAGTATGTGTGGATGAAATCTTTCAGCTGCTGGCTCATACCATTAAAAGCTTTTTCGTTCTTCTCGAAACTATCGTCTATTTTTCCAAAAAGTCGAACGAGAATCGAAGTCTCTATCAATTTCTGAGCATCCGCCAGGTTTGTCTTGAGCCGTTCCAGACGGCGCTTCCGCCATATCGCTTTTGGAGTGGCAACCAAGGCTGCTACTTTTCCTGGATGGCTGGGTGTGAGATACACAATTTCTTCATTCAGATCTTTGGCATGACGAATGCATTTTCTTGCAAGATCCAAAACACGCTTATCTGCAGGCGCCCCAGAAGACGCAGAAGCCTTTCCCTTGAGCGACCTTTCCAGATCGTCTGAGAGGTCTTTCAGTGATTTCGCTTGCTCGGCGAGATCGGGTTCAGGAGTGCCATTCTCATGGATGCGACGACATATGACGACTGTTTCGTGGCTAAAGCTGATTAGCTGCATGATGTTGCACGCGAGGCCGAGGCCCGCGATGCCCTCGAGGCCGGACATGGCAGACGAAAAGGATGATCGAGCTGAAAAATGGCAGTGTAGAGTAATGGTGTGAGTCGAGCTCAGGGAAGTTGAGAAAGCGTGATAGATGCTTTAGACAAAAATACAAGGGCCAAGTCGAAAGGCTGAGAAGGGGATTGCTAGGCGGGGGATCCGGCATCCGACGAGAGAGTGGCGGCAAACCAGAGAAGGCCACCAGTAAGGGCCCAGAGAATCGTTGACCCAGCTATGGTCGCTGATAGGTCAAATGTCCAACCGTACGTGCTTAGGTCTTCAGCGGAAAGAACTTTTGAACCAATCCCCTGTAAATCATTGGGTGTTATGCCCATGCGTAACCAGTTCCTCCCGAAATAGTCAAGTTGAAGAATATATAGGGTGATGAAGTGGTTGACAAAATTAAGAAAGACAAAGCTGGTTCCGAACTGTCTCATCTTTCCTTATTGTGGTGACCACCCAATCGCAACGAGTGAGCAGTTGCGTTGGTTCCTTTTCTTTCGCAATAAACAACAGTAAGTTGACATACCAAGTGATATTTCACGTTTTTTTACATCAGGAATGTCGTTGATTTTAAGTACATACTTTGTTGCCATTCCCAAACGCTTTGATACTCTCATCCATCAAAGATCCTCAAAGGTTGCAAAAGAGCAACAGTTGGCACAGGTGAAATGATTTAGGTTTTGCAGAAAAACTTCCACTCGCATCTCCGCGGCCTCTCTGAAGACATTTCATCTACATGATGTGCTGGTTCGCCTCTTACACGCAAGGACGTTGAGGCTTGTAGGATCTGTTCAAGCCGAAGGATGAAAAAACGGTTCCACATTGGACGAAGTTAATTCCGGTACTTAACTTGAAAGTACTTGCTTTGGTGGGTTTGGTTGGAGTTCCCCAAGTCTATTTGGAATGCTACTGTTTCTAATGGTTGGCAACTCTACTTGGCTAGACTCTAGTAATAGGCTAATAGTACCTTAATCATGCTCCTCAGGGAAGGCTAAAAGGGCAATCCACTGGTCACACCTCGCTGTTAACAGTCTATCGATACTCCTTCTCAAAGCAAGCAACAGCTGCCCTCAAATACTATGTTGTCTACTAAGCAAGATATTGATAGAGAGCACGACAAAGGCCTGTGTATTAATATTATTATGACCAGTATTAGAAACCATTAGGTATGTGCTCTCCTCTTCCTGAACTTCCTTCCGCTACATCTGTCTGTGTTCACAGCGAGGTCACCGGCGGTGGTATCTGCTAGTTTCTGTACAGCATTCACGATTGTTGACCTGTATGGCAGTTACTGCAGAAATTATGAGAAAGTCATCGACAGTTTACTACCTATAGTCAACGGGTTCACGTTGCATCTCTCAAAAATATCTCAATGATCAAGATGACCCGTACGTGGGGAGGGTAACACGTATGTTCCCTAGACCACGGCAAAATACTCGAAAAGATCAAAGGGCACTTCAGCAGTCAGCTGACGCCCGCCACTACACCAATGTGCCGAGACAGCCAAGGCAGCGGGCAGTGTCGGGGGGGAAGGATAAGAAATAGAAACTAGCGCTTCGGGCGGCGCAGGCGCAGCACTTGGCAAAACGGCAGCCTGACCATGATATTGCTTTTTGTGCGGGAGAGGGGGGGTTAGCTGATCTGCAACTGCAAAAGCCGAGCCAACCGAGAGAAAACGTTTCCGTATACTGTCGTTCTCTTGGCAGTATGCCACGACTCTTTGAGACCCCCCCTCCGGGGGTATATGCGCTCCTGTCGTTGTCTGTTTACTAGAAGCCTCAAACTGGTCTGTTAGTCATTCGCTGCTTCAATGATGTTGTCTTTTGACTGGATGTGAATCTCAGCCCTCGATTATATGGGATATGACACCGTTACCCCTGGTAGGAGCCTCAGCCAAACAGGCCCCCATTCGGGCTGGGCGTAGATTTTGACAAGCAAACATTCCCATAGGGCTATCCTCAAGGCGCATGTGCCCGAAAATAGACAGGGGAAGGTTGCACTAGGGTAGTTACGAACTTTGAGCCCCAACGGGACGTTCAAGTGGACCTAAAAATATTCTCTACTCTCTGACTTCATCAAGTTGCCCGCGTCCTCAAGCACCGTTGATGCAGTCTGCAAATTCGAACTTGGCACCAGAATAGATGAATGCAACTTATTAGTCCATTGCTCTGAGCTTCATATCTTGTTGAGACTAAATCCTACATAGATAGCTACAATAGCTATAGCTAAAAACAAAGGTAAAACAAGGTTGAACAAACGCCGGACCGCCATGCCATGCCATGTCATCGCCGTCGTTACAATGGAAACTTCGTTGTGACTTCCTCATCTACTTCCTTGAATGGACCAATCTCCCCTTTACCCAAACAGATTTCGTGTTCCGATCATCCCCATTGTAAACCCATTTGGCAATCCGTTCCTCCCAATTCTCCCAACCAAATACGTCGACATTCGAATCATTCTCGACTTCCCCCTCTTCATCAACCAAAGGCAGCCCAATAAGCTGCGCATCCCATTGCATACCGACGTCAAACCCGCCAACCTTGGATCCTAATCCGACAACTTTTGCGCCGCCTCTTGTGCCAAGATACAAAACTTCCTCGACCGTGAGCTTCGCCCTTTCCTTCTCAGCCCCCTCTAGTCCCATGGCAACGTGTCTCGAAACAAGTGCAGCCTGTCTCGCAGCTTCCAAAATACTCGGGCTGTAACCTCCGCTCATATCAGTTCCCAAACCCACATCGATTCCCTTGTCCCACAGCCACCTGACTCTCGCCGCACCACTGGTGATGGAGCTGTTGCTGCAAGGGCAATGTGAGACCTTGGACCCCCGCTCGGCAATCGTGTTCGCTTCCTTCTCGGAAAGGTGAATCGCGTGCGCAAGAATCGTCTTCTCACTCAGCAGGCCGCAGTCATCATACACGGCCGTGTAGCTTTCGCTCTCGGGGAAGAGCTCGGCAACAAGCTCGATCTCGCCTTGGTTCTCCGATATGTGCGTCTGCACAAGCACATTCAGCTCCTTTTGCATCCTTGCAAGCCCTTTCATTGCATCTTCAGTACACGAGGGGGCGAACCGAGGCGTCAGAATCGGTGCGATAAGTTCAAAGTCAGGGTCGATCGAGCGTACGTGCTCCACTGTTTCCCTCGTATTCCGCAAACTATCATCCGCGGACTCGTCTTTGTAGAAATCAGGGCAAAGACTCGGTCGGTCCATACATACCCTGCCAACAAATGCTCTCTGTCCCAGATTGAGGCAGATGTCTGCTAGGAGGTTGGTAGCGGCGACGTCGATGGTGGCATAGTAAGCGGACGTTGTCGTCCCGTGGGCGAGGGTGCGCTTCACGCATGACGTGTACACCCTCTTCGCCTTTTTCAAATCCTTGAGGCTTGACTCAAGAGGAAATGTGTATGTGTTTAACCAGTCCAGCAGCGTCGATTTGCCAAAGATACCTACATTGGGGTACTGCGATGCGTGGACGTGGGTGTCTAGTGGAGGGGCCGGTTAGCAACAGCATGCGGGGGTGAAACAGTGAAATGACAGGCCAAAACATGGTGTCTCAACCACGATTTCCAAAAAAGCAATAGCAACAGAAACATACCGATAAACCCAGGGAAGAAGAACTGCCCCTCCTCTCCCACGTGCACCCGCACATCCCCCTTGGTCCACCCAAGTCGGGGGAAGATCACCTCCTCAGCTTCCCTCCGGCTCCCGCACGTCTCGACAGCGACAATGGTTCCTGTAGCGTCGACGCAGACGGCCGTGTTGTGAAGGTACTCCAGCTTCTCGCGCGTCTTCGAGTGGACAAAGGTTCCAAGGAACAACTGATTTTGCCGTTCTTCCCTCCGCAACGGGACTGGTGAGGGGTCCCTGATCAAATCGCCCATGATTGCTTCTCCCCCGCCGTAGCCGTTGAAGGAAATGAATGAGTTTGAGCCGTCGTCGGTGACTAAATGCGCAGTTTCAAGTGACTTAAGAAGCTCTTCGGTTGTCGTCGGCAAGTCGGAACCCCACGGCCTTGTGTTTTCTCCAGGTGACGTCGACAAATGACTCTCACAGAATGTCACAGAAAGGGGTTTGAATGTGTGCCGTGATACTATGTAGATCCTGTTGTCCTTCCTTCTTTAAGAGAAAGGAGAGGGAAGCCAATTAAGAAGTGTCTTCTTGGGGTTTCTTCCAGAGGAACAGTGTTAAAAGTGCAGGAAGACGGGATGGAGGAAAAAGCAAAGGTGGCGGCAGAATATATGCAGTGTCACAGATGACGCGCATCCAAGCAAGAACGCTTTGCTCGGTGGTCGGAAAGATAAGCGAAAAGAGTGGTAGACGGGCGACCGAGCAGTACACCAAACAGCGGCGGTAGTGGGGGGAGGAGACGCTTGTGATTCAAAGCCTCCTTCACTAACGGAATAGCCACTAATAAACGCTGCCACCAAAGCAACCATACACGTGTAAACGTTTGTTCGAGTTTCCCGTTTCAGGAAACATGATTACGTACCGTTCGCATTTCTTGGCCCTTGTCCAGTCCCCTTGTGACTTTGGTAACAAATTGGCAAATTAATTCCGCAATTAGGCAACGGGCGACATTCCGACACAGTCTTTCACATTCTGTGCTCCAGGAAATCGGGGCCTCGGGAGCGCCAAATCGACTATACTTTTACTAGGCACTTTAACCAAACTCCTCCCCCGCCACACTACCTAGCAGCTTGTTGGTAGGAGCGCTCCTCACCGTCGCATGTCGCACGGCGCTCGCCGCTGGCCGATCGTAGCCTCCCTCGGCCCTCCCCCAAACCCCAAACTGACCCAATTCGGGACAGCTTCCTAGACCTCGGACGGATACGAATAGCCCTTTATTACCAGCTACCCCTCGTTTCCAAATTCCGGTTTCTTTTGGAGAATGCCACGGTCCGATAAGCCCTTTATCCACCACCACGCGATACACATTACCCCCCCATGTTTTACCGAGCCGTGCCTGTGGCTGCACGAACACATACCAGATAAGACCTAATCGATAGCTTTTGATAACAACTGACACACCCGATAAGCATCCACACCTCCTTCGTCTTGACTGGCTGTCCCATTCCTACTTGTAGCTTACCCAATTTCTAGAGATGAACTCGAACTTGTCCGGAAGGATCACTATTCTGCGATGCCGGGTCCCTGCATTCCCTTTTCCATGATCCCCGCTGTCACAACTGCTGTGCCAACTGGCTGCTGCTCTTCATGTGTATCACAAGTTGCCCGGCTCAAAACGTAGGACAAGACAACGGGTTCGGGCATTTTTTTCCCATCCTTGCCTGATACAACAGTCATCATGCATTCCTTTGTTCACTTCAAAATGAATCAATGCCACTGTTATGAAATAATTGCTCTCTATTCTTCTTGTCCTTGTACGACCATTAACAATTGACGCCTTCCCATAAAACACTAAAGCTTTCTAACGCAACGTGATAAAACAATTCATTAAAAAAAACAAAATCCGTAATTTGTACAACGATTACGCCGTCTAGAGTCATCAGTGCCCGCCTTTCATCAATATTCTCGCACTTGTTTTCCTTTCATCATGGCGTAGCTTGATATCTTTTGCACGCTCTAAGCCGCCGCACCGGGACCCTCGTGGTCTCCGCTAGTACCGTTGACTCCGTTAGGAGCAGGGCCATCCTGCGTGTACTGCTCCCAGTTGGCCAAGACAGATGCAATCTTGGGAGAGTTGGTGAGCTTGTACACATCCTCAAAGTACTCCTTGGTGAGCGCGAAGGGCTTGGCCGTCACGTTAGGAATATACTTGCCAACAAGCTTGGCAGGGTCGATCGTCGTCTTGTTGATCTTCTTGAGAAGGAAAGACCGGAAGGGCTTGACACCAGACCTCAAGAAAGTAGAGTGGAAGGGCACATCGATGCCGCGAAGAGGAATGGTGGCGAAGCCACGCTGAAGCTCCAGAGGTGTGGGCTTCTTGAGGGTCGCCTCAGCACAGCCCTTGATGATATCCTTGAGGGCGCCCTTAGCCTCCTCCAGGTTGGCACGCATCTCCTCAATGTCAATCTTCTGCTGCTTGAGGAAGTTGGTGACGCCAGTGAGGGTGTCAAGTGCACGCAGGTCACCCGCAGCGACGTATTGCATGTTGGCAATGTTGTAGTTGACAATCTCGAGAAGCCAGCCAGTCTCCTCAGCAATGCTGTTGACAATGAACTGGAGAGCCTCCTCGTTGAAGGTCTTGGAGATTCTGCTGGGGTTGATGGCGCACATGGAGTAGTTGGATCGGCCGGCCGCGTCACGCTCGACAGCAACCTGCATCGTCAAACCACGGTAGAACACGACAGACACCAAGCTCTCAATGGGCATAACCTCAGCCAATGCAGCAAGGGCAGAGTATTCACCCAGAGAGTGACCGGCGAAAGTGCAGTCCCGAGGAACAAGGCCACGAGATCTCATGTCCTCGAAGCTGGCCTTCTCCATAAGGGTCAGGGCTGGCTGAGTGAACTGAGTGGCGGACAGGAGACCAGTGGGGGAGCGGTAAGTGTAAGAGGTGGTCTTCTCATCAATCTCCTTGAAGATGCGCTCAGATTTGATGGAACCATCGGAAGCAACAGTCTCAAAAGTCATGGCCATGTAGTTCTGGCGAATGGCCTTTCCGCGGGGACCACCGAAGTGAACGGTGAGCTCCTTGGGGTTGTTCTTGACGATGTTGGTAATGGAGAAACCTTGAGACAAATTAGTATCAACCTAAAAGCTTATGAATGCAGAAAACTTACCGTAGTTGTCCAACAGGTACTTGTCGGCACGGTCCCAAACCTCCTTGGCGACAGGGCTGCTAGCGTAAAGCTCCATACCCATGCCCTGCTCCTGAGAACCCTGGCCAGTGAAGACGTAGGCAGTCACAGGCTGCTCAACCTCGGCCTCACCAAGGAGAACCTTCTCTTCGGTCTCCTTGTTGCTGGCCTCAACCTTGATGATCTTGCGACCACCAACCATGCCGACGTGCTGAAGCTTGACGTCAAGGTCGTCGTTAGGCAGAACCATACCAACCAGAGAAGCATGGAAGCTGCGGACACGACCGATGTTGTTCTCGGCAGCCCAGGTCTCGACCAAGCTGCGAACAGCGGCACTAGAGTACATGCCGTGGGTAATGGTGCCGGGCAGATTGGCGTAGTTGGCGAACACGCGGGAAACGTGGATGGGGTTGTAGTCTCCAGAAACACGAGCGTAGTTCTCGTTGGTGGCAGGAGCGCGGAGTTGGAGGGGTGTGCGGCCACTGAGAGGGATGGGGTTCTCAAAGTGGAGGGGCTGGTCGAGAGGAGTACCGTTGCGCTCGAGGTAGTCAGTGACAGGGTTGCCGTTAGACTGGCCGGCCTCATAGTCAACGCTAGCGATCTGAATAACCTCCTTGGTGGGGAGCTCAAGGAGGACCTGGCCCTGGGTAGCGACGCTGCTGTAGACAGTCTTGGTCTTGTAGCGCAGGAAGCTCTGCAGACGGAAAGTCAGAGTTTGACCAAGGAGATCAATATCGCGGGGCATGTCATCAGTGTTGAACCATTGCTTCGACTTGAGAACGGCGACATCCTTGCTGGTGGCAAGATGCAGCTGGATAGGGGTCTCGTTCTTGCGCTGGAAGGTGTTCTCGTAGTCGGTGTAGGTGCCGCGGTACAGGAACTGCGAAGTGACGTCCATGACCGCCTCACCATCACGGTAGATGGTACCGCAGACCTCAACCATCTTGCCAGACTCCTGGTTAATGACAGCATTGATCTGGGCAGTGGTGGATACCTCGTCACCCTTCTTGAGAGGCTGGGCACCAGGCTTCATGCGGAACGCGTTGGAAAGGTGGACAAGCTTCAGCAGATCTCCGTCAATAGTGCGAGGGAAGATGGGCTTGGTAATAGCCTTCCAGCCAACGACGATGGCAAAGTCCATAGGAGCGTAGACAGTCTTGCCAGGGCGCTCAACGAAAGCCTCGCCGGTGTTGCCAACGGCGTGAACGAAGTCGTTGATGTCCTCTCCAGTGATGGTGGCCTTGCCACCATCGAACTTGCTGGCAACATCGGCATCAAGGTCAAGAGCCTCGTCACCAAACCACGCACGCCAATAGAACTCCTTGATGCGGTCGTTACGGTCCGCCATCACCTCGCGAAGAGGAGCATAACCAGCCTCAGGGTGGTAGGTGAACTTGAGAGGGAGGGCAACAGGCTTGCCAAGGGCAGTGGTGTCCTTGATCATGTTGACAACGATCTCGTTCTTGCCCTGGAGTGTAACCTCAATAACCTCAACGTAGTGGTTGTGGCGAGGCTGCTCCTTGACGACAATCTTGGTGTTCTTCGGATCTTTGGGGTTGTGGATCTCAACGAAGAGGCCACGGGCAGGGGCGAAGATGCGCTTGATGGGGTTGGTCTGGAACTTCTGTCCCTGGACGACAACCTCGGAGGTGAGCAGAGCATGGCGCCAGCTGCGGTCAGGGCCGGCAAGCAGAGCCAGCCAGGAGTCAAGGCTGGGCAGGGTAGCGTTAGGCGCGGTAGACAGACGGTAGGTGTTCTTGTGCGCATCATCATACGAGACAGTAAGACCGTCAACGTCCTCGACAGGGATCTCAGTCTCAATGAGCTTGCCACCGAAGTATTCAATGGTGGGGATGGTGTTCTTGTCGCCCTTGTAGAGATCCCTGGTCAGGTACTCAACATGAGTCTTGTGAATGCCGTCCAGAATGTCCTTAATAGGCTCATCAATGACCTTGGAGTACTTGACGGCAGTAGGGCCCTGCAGAATGCAAACACGTCCAACATCCTGGCCGGGAACAGCGTCAAGATCCTCAGACTGCCAAAGAGAGTCCTTCTTGAAGTAGAAATCGAAGTTGTCATCGAAGCAGGGGATGAAGGGAACAGGCTTCTGAATGGGGAACATGCACAGCATGAGGAAGTGCTGAACATCCTGGGCATTGATGAGCTGAGTCTCGGCCTCAGGGTAGTGCGCGAGGATCTTTTCAACAGTTTCATAAGGAGACTCGAGGTCCTTGTAATCTTGAAGCTGAGCGGCTTGGCCGGGAGTAGAGGTGAAACGCTCCTCCACACGGCTGATGAACTTGCCAGTGAAAGTGCGCAGGGTGGGGTCAATCCAGCGCTTCTGGTGACGGACGTAGAGAAGGTCCACCATACGGCGGACGACCTCACCGTAGGTCATGTCCTCTAGATCAACAGCCTGGCCAGCGCGGTTACGACCGAACCACGGCTTCTGGAAATCATCGTTGAGCTTCTTGATGATGTAGTCGCGATTCTTCTTCAACTCGGGCACACGCTTCTCCTTGGGAAGAGAGAAGATCTTACGGTCCATCTCGGCCCAGAACAAAACACCACGAGTGGCGAGTTTGTGGATGGGCTCGCCCATCTCGGAGAGGACGGTGATGACACCACCAGTAGGGCCCTTGTAGGACTTCTCCCACTCGCTGTCCTCAACACCGGGAGCGTCAATGATGGCCTGCTTGGCAGCAGGGCTCGTGTGGGCCTCCTTGGCAACCATCATGCGAGAACCGAACAAGGTACCGTCGAAGGGCATAGGAGGGTAGCCGTAGTTCTTAGACCACTCACCAGTAAGGTAGGGGTAAGTGTCCTCGGCACCACCGAAACCACTGCCAGCCACGAGGATAATGTTCTCCTGGCGACGGATACGGCTGTACATGGTCAGAATGGGCTGGTGGAAATCCTCGTAAGAGTGGTGACCACCGCCGCGACCACCAGTCCACTGCAGAAGGACAGGGAACGTGGGGTTGGCCTTGGCAATGTTGATGACGGATTGGATGGCGTCAACCGAACCAGGCTTGAAGCTGATGTGCTTAAGACCAAGAGTATCAATGTACTCCTGAGCAACCTCAACGGAAGGAACACCAGCACCGATGGTCAGGCCCTCGATGGGGACACCCTCAGCTCGAAGCTTGCCAAGCATGGGAATCTGCCACTGCATGGCACGGGGGTTGACGTAAATCAGGTTGACACCGATACCACGGCCAGCAGGAATAGCGCCCTCGATCTTTCGCAGGGCCTCGGTCATCATACCAGGCTCGAAGTAACCGCCACCGGCCAATTCGATGTGGTAGCCAGCGTTCATAGTGGCAGCAACAAAGTCCCAAGGAACCGTGCAAGGAGTCATACCAGCAACGACAATAGGGGGAAGACCAAGAAGTCTAGACATCTTGGTGTCGACATAGGTATCGCCGTTGGAAGTAGTAACCAGACGAGGGCCGAATTCCTTGACCCAGTCGATCGCATACTTGACTGCGTGCTCCTCATCACGGTCGAAGAGCTCAGGCTTGTAACCAACTTCAGTGATGGTTCCGCTAACGGTACCAGCAAGGATGACGTGCACACCAGTACCCTCCTTGTTGCGGCTGGTCAAAACACCAAGACCGGAGATGCCACCAGGACCGAAGTCAAGGACGTGGGTCGCTTGAGGAAAGACGGTAGCCTTTTCCCAGTTGACGGGGTCTCTAGTGATGAGGCGGATAAGTGTGGGAATAATGTTACCATCAACTTCCTCGCGGATATCCTTGCCAGTATTGGTGTCAAAGACAGCGGTACCAAGCGACTTGGAGTCAATCTTGATGTTCTTCAAGTCCTCGTCGATCAGCTCGGTAGCCTCAGCAAGGTACTTGCTGTGGAAGGGAGCAGTGATGGGCAGGAAGCGGTGAACAAAGCGCAGTTTGCGCTCAGTGTGAGGAATGCGGTTTTGGTCCAAACCAACGGGAGCCTTGACCTTGCGCAGCTGAGCGTTGAGACCGTACAAAGAGATAGGAGGACCAGTCACAACAAGGTTGCGCGGGCTGTTGATCAGGGAAATGGAAATGTGACGGTCGGCAGGAAGGTACTGATTGGTAGCGTCAATGTGCTTCTGGACCTCAGCCTGAGAGAGGTCTCTAATGCTAAGCATGGGAGTAGGAGTGCCCTCGCCATTCTCAACAGACTCCCGGATCATTGTAGGCGTCAGAGAGGTGCGAGGGAAAACCTGCTGGCTACGAGCACCAATCCAGAAGAGGATAGTGAGCGCAGAAGGAGCGATCTCCTTCCAGGACTCCCAGGAATCAGCGGCGGCGGTAGCAGCAGCGAGCACGACACCTTGGGAGTGACCCGTGGTACCGCTGATTTGCTGGCGCAGCAAACCGGGATGGACACCAAGGACCTTGCAGGTAACCTCGTAATGGGCAAGCTGAACGAGACCAATCAAGGGGAAACTAACAGGCGCCGAAATGAGGTAGTCAACATCGGGGGTCGCGTCCTCATCTTCAAGCCACCTCAAGATGTCCAGACCCTTGGGGTACAGCTTCTCAGCATTGGGGTGCTTGGAGAGGTTCTGGAGGAGCTCGGCGGCGTTGTGAATGAGCTCACCGACGAAAGGTTGGTAGGTCTTGTAGATCTCACGCAGTTCGTCAAAGTACTCTTCGATGTTGCCCTGGCCACCAAAAATGGTGTAGATGTTGGCGGAGCCATCATCAGCAGCGCGGAAGAGCGCTGAGCCGTAGGCCTTGATTGAGCGACCAGTCGTTTGTCTGGCCTGGTAGTAGCTGCGGATGACAACCAACTTCTTGGCGTCGATGCCGGGGAGCGTGGCAGTGAGGGCGTGGACCTCGTTGCCCTGGAGGAAGCCGCGCTCGAACTCGTTAAGGACGAGCTTCAGGACCTCTTCGTAAGAGCCCGACTCGTCGTCCTCACCCTTCTCGACCTCGTCGGCGACGAAACCCATGTATCTCGCAACCAGCTCGGTGACGGACGAGGGCTCGTCATCCTGAGCAAGCTCATCTGTGGCGGGAGGGAGGGTAGCATTGAAGCGGTCTTTCAGTTGCGAAGCGTGAAAGTGGAGTGCGGTCGGCACAAGGAAGGAGGTCTCGAGAGAACCATGTCGGAGAGTGAGGGGGCGAAGAGAAGCGTTAGATCGGGGAGTAGAAACGCCCGTCTGGGGGCCAGTTCCGGCGCCGTACATGATGGCGGTTTTTGGGGTATCAAGAGGGAGAAGTTTTTTTTTCGTGGGTTACGAATGGAGCTGTTTCCGCCACGTGGTTAGCCGAAATGTTACTGTCTTGTAGTTTTGCTTTCTCGTCTCCCCGCACAAGTTTTCAATGGGGGGCATTGAGGGCGAAAAGTCAGTGGCTTACCAGTGTCTGACTCCGTGTACTCAGCGAAGAGCAGGAGGCGATTGCAAAATGCTCCGGGACGGCGGTGTAGGAGGAAGAGGCGGTGGTGGCACGAACTGTTCGTGGGGGAATAATAGTAGTAGCAGTATGTCTAAGGGACGGGGGTCGTCTAGAGCTGTCTCTCCGATTCTCCGAGAGCAATTGATGGTCTATGAAGGACAAGAAAAAAAGAAACGAGAAAGACTGCCCAGCACGATGTGTCCTTGACGTGGAGTTTGAGGGAGGAAGAGAGTGGGAGTGGCAGATGGCAGCTTAAAGAAGAGAGCTTTGGAGAGTCAAGGGAAGGTTGGGAGGGCGTCTATGGGTGGTTATGATGGGAAGGCGAGGCAATTGAACGGCATCCCTTTCGTTTGCGTGCAGCCTGGGTCCTGGATATTGGGTCTTGGACAGGTTGCCCGGGTCTCTCAATGTGGACTGGGATGATTGGGATAGTGGGATTGGGACACCAAGGAAGACAGAGGTACCAGCACTTTGTGAGATGGGCGGCGTGGGTGTGGATGTGTTTGATGGGTCCTCACTGCGTGAAGCAAGGTAGGTGAGGTCAATCCCGCCAACGTAATTGGAGGTTTCGGGTTCCAATTTTGGAGAAGGTACCTTGGGGATGTTCGCAGTGAACTCAACGATTAAAAATTAGGCCGGGTCTTTCTCTTTTTTTTTTTTTCTCCTTTCCCACGGTTGGAGTATTGGAATGAATCTAGTTGGTCCGGGCTGACGGAACGGTTTACTGTTGTTGCTGTTACTGTTGGCCAAAGTTACTTGTCCCTCACACCCCGCCATGTACAGGGAAGGAAAGAGAAGCAAAGGTACGTATCTTTGAGGTTTGCTGTTGCTTGTCTAGGACAGAGGAAAAAACAGCCACGACTTCTACATCAGCAAGGTCAATGTCTGTATACTCTTTCCTCACAAACCTGGTACACAAGCAAGACAAGTACTACGTCTGCGTGGTAAGTGGTACCTGCTCCTCCCGCCTGCTTGCCTCCTCCTCTTCCACCTCCTCATCCTCCAAGTCTCAAATCTCAATGTCTCGCCAAAATTTTTAGTTCTGTTGGGGATGGTCGCGCACCAAGCCCACCCCTCCAGCTCCACCCTTGACTTCATGCAGCCCGAGTGATCCGCAAGGGTGCCGCGTTGGAGAACGGGCGGCAATGTACCGATACTTTTGTTGGCGGGACGTAACGACTTGGCTGGATGGGGCCGGAACAGTGGCCGTCTTCTCCCTATTTTGGGCTTTTTCTTCTCGCTGGCTAGACTGTTTTCTGCCCGGATATTTCCCGTCTACCTCTCAACCCTTCAGCCCGCGTATTGTTTTTTTTTTTTTTCTCTTTCGCCTCCTTCATCGTAAGCTCGGTGTACGCACGCTCGGCCAAACGGCATCATCTTCGGCTCTTCAGAGGAAGCCGCGTCGAGCCAACTATTGCTTATCGATTTGCATGACGATAAGATGCCGAGATGTTACCCCAGATGCAGAAAACGGATGATAACAATGACAGCGCTCTCAGACATCATCAGGCCTGCAAGTTAGTTAGTTACATTGCTTGCCTCGTTGTATCATTTCAGTGTTGTTGGCGTCTAGTGTGTGCGTGTTTTTTTTTTTTTCTGTGACATTGATCCATTTCGCCTTTGCTCAGCTGGACCCTCGATAGGCAACTCGGCGCCAGTCCCAGATATGCGGAATCGGTCCAACCAAAAGTACCCGGGACTTGAGGGCCCCGTTTCGTTCCCGTAAACCCCCTGTCTATTGGCAGGCGGTCAGGGGTTAACGGGTTTTCTGCCGCACTTCTCCCCACCGCTTTCACCCCACGCCTGGGGCTGATGCTGGGGGATGAGAATTGCGCGGGACCCTGTACTAGTCGAAGGAAGGGAGACACCGCCCGGCATGGTCAGGTACCGATACCGCCACTACACTTGCTGGGGCGGGAGCTATCGCCTGCCATGCCACGCGGACGCTTGTCGGGGAATGCAAGCCCCTCGATGCCCGAATTTCTTTTTTTTTTTTTTTTTTCTTCCTACCTTAGCTGAGGGGCAGCTGGCACTCGCTGGTTGACACACAAGACATCGCGGTGCACACGGCATGATGTCGACAGTCTAGCCAAGCCGATATGACTACTGCATGAACTGGCGTGAGAGAAGACTGGAATTTGAAAATCTGCAAAGGTGTTCCAGCAAAAGGGCCAATAATCGGGTTTCCTCCTTGAATGTGTTGGATTGCGTCGAAGAACTAGGAGGTAGCCAGAGACAAGACGGCGATCCCGTTGTGAGTAATGCTTATCACTATTGTTTGTTGGCTGGCGAGTTGAAATTTCGTTCAATCCAGTCTGGGCAGAGTCAATGGAGCCAGCTAAAGGAGTTCGCCCACACTCCCCCGTTTCTTGCCTCCTTGCCATCCGTCTACACTAATCCAATACCCCCTGAAGAACTGGAGAAACCCGTCGCGGTTCGTCGAATTGTCAGCATCAGTCGCGAGGCAATGACAATGTCAACATCCGCATAGTAATCAAGCACGGCCAAAGTTAGCTCCCTCCCAAACAACTTTCAGGGCTGGATCTGAAGCACTCCCCAAAAAGCTTGGGTCAAGTTACCTTGATCTCATGGAACCAGCTGAAAGTATCGCTACATGCTCTTTGGCCCCCTCCTCTCTATCAAATTTGGCGGGTTCCTGGAGCATCGGCCACTTTTCTGCCCCTCCACTCCCTCCCATTTGCAATCTTGCCCCCTTTCAGATTCTGCTTGCAACCTGGAAGTTTGGGTCCTATTGCTGAGGAATTGTTGTCACGGCTGTTGCTTTCCGGACCCCCGTTTGTTGACAGGCCAAAATGCTATCATGACACCACTTTCCCACAACATACCGCATTCGTATTACTGAACCATACGAACACGTATCAACTATCACTAATCCTTGAATGGGCGGCGACGGCATGGTTTTGTCGAGGTGAGCCTTGTCTCCTTCAGCCTTTCTGCCAAGCTCCATCAAGCTCCCGAAAGTGTGCTTACCTGGATGTTGCGACATTCAGGAGGCGGCCAACAGGAACGCAGCGATAAGAGATCGGTCGATAGAACCCCGATCAGAGTTAAGGGTCGTCGGAACGGGTACCTCCAGGCATACTAATTGTAGCTGCTACGTTCACAGTGTCATTCTACACAGCGAACTAAACGTCCATGGTCTTAGACATAGAGCCTTGCACTACATACGCCGCGACTAGACCAAATTCAACATTCCGACAACACAGAGAAGGATGAGATGGAATGTGACGGATAATACAAAGAGCCAGAAAAAAAGCCGCCACAGCGCCACCTATTTAGCTTGGGCAGTTACATATAGTCTCTCCAAGTGTCTCACCCTACCTCACGACATCATATCGCGCGCCAGGCTGGGACCAGGTAGAGGTGGCATAGAGAAAAAGGGAAGAAGAAAATACAATACAGAGACGAGGCGCACAGAAGGAGTTGTTCTGGAAGGGGGAACTTGTTGATATCCCAGAGCATTCAATGTCTGCAGCATGATGATAATAATGCGCCTGACCCAGCTCTTGCACTCCGCACAGATCTTGTGTCTCCGCAGTCAAGGCAGATGACAAGAATGGCTTGGCCGACAACTTCATGCCATCGTGGCTTCTTGGTAGCTTCACGGCATAGATGACGGCAGCTCTCGCCTCATCTCATCTCTCGTCACAGATATTTTTTAATTTCAGCCGTGGAGTTGTTGTAGCGCCCCAACTTCCAAACGTCAACTTCGCAACAGTGACGACGACGTACCTCCCTGTCGTCCCTCCCAAAAAAAGTCTCCATCGTCCCACCCTGCTTTCCCCCAATGAAATGATTTTGTGGGGAAGGCCCCCCTGATCGTCCCATGCTCGATTGGGTTAGGCGTCTGAATATGGTTGAGGAGCTCTCTGCAGGCGCTGTTGCGCCGAGCAGCACCACCAGCGCCAGCAGCTTCCCACCTGCATGGGGGGGCAACCACCGGGAAGTCCATAAGGAAGCATGGTTAAAGACCCACTCTTTTTCCCTCCCTCCTTCTTCCCTCGCGAAGGGAAAAAAAAAATTAGAGAGAAACAGACAACAGCCAGTCGAAATGTGTCGAGACATGGTTCTCTTTCGCCCAAGTATGGGTACCCTTGTACTATACATGCCTAGAGTAGAGCGGCGAGATGACTACAACTTGCAATGTACTGTACCTCTGCCTCGAACCTTCAACCCTTCCACTTCAGCGTCCACACCCTTCACCACCGCTTCCTTGAGCCGGTGGGGGCCCTTGCCTGGTTCAACAATCGTCTTTTTTCCTGCTTGTCCCATCCCATCCAATCCCCTCCCTTCCAGTTGGTGTCTCTTCAAAGTCCCCCCCAAGAAAGTCAATCAAGTGCCAGTGACCCGATATCGAGGGGCCAGAGCCACCGACTCTACCTTGTCTTTCATTTTCCATCATATCCAAACCTCTTCCCTTCACCCGTGGCCTCGCCAATTCCATCTTCTCCCACTTCTTCATCTCCCTCGCTCGCCTCCGCCAGTTTGTTTCTCCCTCTCTCTGGCGCGGACTTAATCTCCCTCCAACAGTCACTCGACTTGCCCAAATAAAAAAAAGTCTCGCGAGCTTTTGCCCTGCCACTCATATACCCCCACACGCAGGCAATACCACGAAACAATAATCTCTACGGATTCCGACCTCCCACGGCATCCAACGAGTAAACACAGCAAAACGTCACTTTCGTCGACGATAGAATACCCTCGGTTTCCCGGTTCTCCTCCCAGCTCCGTGTAATTGAGATTCCAGCTCCCAGCTGCCCAACATGCG